CATAAGTATAATCAAATCTTGCTTTGCACATTATTATTTGTGCATCTTTTTAATATTCATATTTTAATTATTTATACCAATACCAATCTGATAAGACTGAAACTTTGTTGTCGATTAGCTAACTTATTATATCCAAATGATGAATAAGATCTAAAATCAATGATTTTAATTTTAATTGTAATAGATAATTATTTGACGATTGTGCATTCAATTGAGTATATTAATCTAATAATTTTAGCTATGTTTATTTGAATTAAGGTAATTTATTCGAATTTAATGCTGACACTGCTTATTCAGTGAACTTTATTCTATTAATATTTATATATAAATTACTCTTCTGACAAGCAAAGAATCTAAGATGGGAACTTATTGAAATCCATGCTCTACTCTTTTAAGCATTATTTCAACAATTGACTTAGAGTCTCTTTCATATTCGAAGATAAAACTGACAACCAACTCTCTACTATTTCATTTACTTAAATAGAATTATTAAATTGAACTTATTCCTTTTAGGATGATAACATAGAATAAATCTAAGTATTATCCTTACTGAATTCTACAGAGTTTATTCCAGCAAATAATTTCTTGAGATGCATCTAAATTACTTGAGGATTTTAAGATTGACCCAATATTTCTAATAGATCATCATCACCCAGAAAATAGAATCGTGGAAACTTGCCTCTTTTCTCTTCTAAGAAATCATTCAAAGCCTTTTAACATCTTTCTAATTAATCTAATACTGTATCTAAAGTGTCCTTAATCCCTGGAATACTACATAAAGAAACTACCTTTTAATCTCTTTGAATTCCTAACATTATATTTCTGAAATCCTCATCCAATCTTCTAAATCTTGCCTATTCTTAAGGAAGTGCTCCTCTAACAAAAATAGGTTCTAGATAAACCCATTTTCTTTAAATAATTTATAATTTGGATAAATATTCATCAATGCCACCCAATTTCAATTCAAATTAATCTACTTAATCTTTAAATCTATTAATAAATTTGGATTCTTTTAACGATGCCAATAAGGATTGATTATCACTAACTTTTGTCATTAATTCTTTCCATTCTTTAATTAAGGGAGTAACCCTGTTATTATTAGTGTAATCAGTTAAATCGAATTCTGATGTATCACACCATGTTTTCAATTCAAAGATAGCTTCTCTCAAAGTGATTTCTCCTTATGCTCTAGCTTATAACTCTCGAATATCATTTTGTTTATCCAATATCAATTTATCACAATTAAGTAAGTCCTTGAATAGCAACTTTTCCTTTTTCATTTCCTTTTATTTAAGAATCATAAACAAACTAGTCCAATGTTCTGGTTCAAACGCATCTCCCACAATTAGTTTTAACAATGGATTTATTTTAAGATATAACTCAATCTAAGAAAAGATGTAATTGATGATTGCATCTTTTTTAGTGAATGTTCCTTTGGCTAATTCTGCCTTTATTTATTCCTATTCTTGTAACAATAACTCTTAAAACATATATAATTTAGTTCTGAAACTCAACCAATCCTCTTTGCCTAAATTATTAATATTCTATTAGAATTTATCATAATAACTCCATACTACTTCTGACTCTGTCATTTCAACCTTAACCTTATCATATTAAGAAAATGTTGGAACTTCCATTTCAAAATGTTAATGATCCTTAATAAGAGTCTAAATCTTCTCATCCAATTGTTTCCATTATTATCTCCATTGCTACATATTCTCAGCTAGTTCATTTGCCGATTATCTATCTAATTCACTCAATTATTTTGGTTTGACTGCAGAATATCTTGAATAAAATTTCTCAATTTCACTATCTACCTCCTTAGCTCTTGCTTACATATCCTTTTTTAATTGTTTAGTCTATTCAGCTAAAATTGAATCAAAATCTCCTATCAGTAGTTCAAAATTCTCCCAATTCTTATTTATTTATTACAATTGTAGTAATATTGGATTTTAGGCTTGAGATTAAGAACTCAAAGAATTGATTAATTTTTGTTTTTATTGGCAATCTTGCATTTTCTAAGTCATTTCAAATTTCTATGCTTTGATATCAATATATTTCTTCTATGCTTCATTCATCTCATTCATATTTTATGGTTTTTATGATAATTTCTATTGAGTTTCACTTAAAAATTGTTCAATTTCGACTATATTATTTTTAATTTAATTTTTCAATTCATTCAACATATTATCCACTAATTTGGTCAACAATTCATCAACTTATTACTTAAATAAACTTATATTAATGTTAAAGCACTCAACCTTCTAATAATCATTAATTTTTTCTAATTCTTTTCTTCTTTGTCTAACTTCTTTCATGAAATTCTCCCATTATTCCAAATTACCCAATTATAATTATAATTATTCAGCATCCAGCAATGCAACAATTGACCAGCACATGTATTGACTACTTAAACCAATTAATTTTTCAAAGATTTATTCACTCTTCTCATATACTTATATAACAAACACAGCATTCCTCTCTGGCATCTGCATGTAAATATCATTATTTCCTCCCACACCTATGAATTGTGAAGGATATTATATATATTTTTTCAATTCATTATAGTATTTCTCTCGTAATTCTTCAATAGTTGGCTTATATGCAACTTAGCCATTCTTTATAATAAGATCTGCTTAAATTTCATTAATTGCATGATCCATTTCTTAGAATCCTTTCTTATACTAAAATTCTAAAGCTTTGTATAATTAGAAATCAATATGGGTTCTCCATCCAATTGTAAATTTACCATCAATACTATTACATGTCTATTCTATGATTTTCTTTATTTAATCCACCTTCTCCTTCCATAAATTCTTTTATTTCAATTCAATCTAAAACAACAAACAAATATTGTCAATTATTTATTAATGACTTTTTCTTAATCTTTTATTTTCTTGCATTATATCATTTGCTGATTCTTAAACCTTCTAAACATAATTTTCTAATTCTTAAGTATTTTCCCAAGTAATGCTGTTTTTCTTTTTTGAATTCTTAACAGTATCTTCAAATCTTACAGCTTAATTAACTAGCATTGGTTTTTAACATTCAATTATTTAGTCTGACATTTAATTATAGAAGCTAGCTATGGACTTCAAAGTTAGAGCTTCTTTATAAAATTTTTTGCCTGTCTCTACAATAGTATGAATTTCATTTGATATACTTTTTCTATAACCAAGCTCACATAGTTATCTCACTTCCTTTATCAATTAAACTAATTTATCTGAATAATTAACTCTGACTAAACCATCCTACATATCTATTTCCATCAACTTTCCTGAAATCTGTAAAGATATTTCATTCTTCTTTAATTATGAATCAATTTCCTTTCTCCACTAATCAAATAACTCCTATTCAAATTATTAAACTTATTTTATAAGATTTTAACACATGACTATGAATTGAGCAGATTTCTTAATATCACTAAATAATTATTAAATTAATTAAATGATTCTCTTCACTTTTCCAATCAATGATTTACACCAAACAATTTAATGAATATTTTTAGAGAACCCAACCTAATAGGGTAATTTCTCTTCCTCTCCATCATCAAGAAAGGCGGCTCCAGATCTAGTATTAAATTCCTATTCAATTTTTGAAATCATATTTGTTATTGAAGTAATCAATGTATCACGTTCTGTTAAAAAGTGCTTCTATATAGAATTTCTAGATAATAATCCAGTCCATCTTTGCATCTCTCGAATAGTTTACAAAGGATTTTCCTTCATGACTTGCTATTTAAACACCTACTGCCTTAAGAGATTTAGGATATCTTATTCAGCACTCTCTAAGTTATTAAGTACCTTTTTGTAGGCAACATTAAATAAAGAATCTTAACCTATTGACATGAATGGATTGACTTCAAATAATTCTTTAAAGAAATCTTAATCAATATCACTTCTCTTCAATTCTTCATAAATACTTCTCAATTCAATTAGATCACTCAATCTTTTCTCAATTTATTCAAACTCCTGCAAATTCGGATTCATTTTCCAATCATATTCAAAGTATTTCCTTAAATTCTCTCCAAACATTCTAACCATTTTTTGACATTCCAATAATAAAAGTTTTTGTTATTGAGTATTGCTAAATATTTATTGCCCTTATGGTATTAGATGTTGCAATTTGATTATAATTTAGTTGTACATAGAAGATAACATTCCTTACAATTTCTATTCATTATATAACTGTTAAGTATATAACTCATCAAGACAAACCAAAGTTTGATCCAATAAATCAGAAAATTTGTTTATCTCTAATTATTTAACATCTTTCCATAGCTAAGTAACCTTTTAGTAAATCTGACAAATTTGATTAGCTGTTCTTTATTAACTTTCTGAACTTGTTGCAGATTATGAAATTCTCAACCATTATTCTATTTCATCAATTGGTCGACTTACATTTCTCTATTCTATTTATGCATTGTCGAAATCATTATCTTATAGTCCTTATAACACCTGTCTATAATTTAAATCAAATTTCAATACTTGAATCCTGATAACTTTTTTTTAATTTTTTCATCAACCCCAGCTCCCATCAATGGTTAATATATCAAAGACAAATGTGAACTCAATTCTGTTACTACATTAGGTGATAATAATTAGACTGTTAGATTAGTGAAATAATTATCCTCAGTTATTACATCCGTATCAATCTTACTTATGGCAATCAATTTAGTTTGTGGATTTAATTCATCTAAATATTGCATTTATTATTACCAACTTTACTAGGGTTAAACAATTTTAATCCTTATCCTTGCATGTATTAAAGAATCAAACATTTTTTATCCTGCCCAATCATAAATTTATCTAATGTTTGCCCCGAAGCCAATCCTTGAGGTGTTTGAGCTAAATTAAGAAGGGCTTAAACACAATTAACTAAATATTATTTTGCCGGGTCCATGAAATAATAAAATAAATATTAAATTCAAGGAATTCTCTACTCTTAACATATTAATGTGAGTTTATAAATAAATTACAAAAACTAATATTAATGGGAAGTCATTTTTTATGATTTTGTAAAATAGTAGTTACTTAAGCACTTAAACTATGATATTTCTCTGACAAAAAATGATCTTCTTTGAGTTATTCATCTTCATCAAATTAAGTTGTCTTAAAGAATGTACCTGGTTTTTTCAATGTATCAGGCAATGTCTTTAAACAAATTTTATTGTGACTTTTCACTTCATCTGGAATCGGTTCTTAAAGCTCTTCGCTAATTTCGTCTATAGATCTCTAATAAATAATTCCCATCGAATTATATATGCTTAAATTTTGATTGCCACTTCCGTAGTTGCTATTGCTATTCTAATTAGATTCTTATTTATTTATTGGGGGTTATAATTATTTAAATTTAGATGGAGTCTATGCAACTAAGTTATTGCAATTAAGCAAGTTGGAAGAAAATTTTTCAAATTGTTTTAGTGGTAGTTCATCAGTTTGCAATGTTCCATACCTATTCATATTTTTGTCATAGTTATTCAATTGCGCATCCCACTCGTATTTATAATCCAAAAAAATATTAGAATGTTTAGCCGCTTATTACATCAATTTCACAATGGTCTTATAGTCTGGTTCAGATGCATAAGTTAATTTCCTTAAATACCTAATAATTATTTAATAGCATTACTCATATATTTTAATAAATTCATTAGGTAAATCTTTGAATAGTTCTTTCACATCAATGGTTTCTTTTATCTCTCCTATTTTCTAAGTCCTTTAATCATCAGGTACATGCTTTAGGTTTTGCCATGGTAAAGTACTAAACTAATACTATTCACAAGCTGATACCCTTTGAGACAGTATAGCATAACATAAAACAATGACTCCAAATCATCCTTTCTTCCTAATTCATATCCTTTATGCGCTGCTATTGATGCATATCTGGAAGTACCTACGAATGGCACTCTATCTTTAAAAGGGCTTGTTGGCATAATTTTAGATAATACATTAAAATCCCATTTTTGCGAATGTAAATTTTACTAATCCCAAAATCAATCAGATACACCTTATTTTTCTCATCTAACATTATATTCTCTGGTTTCAAGTCTCGATGAAGTACACCTTATTTATGTATTTCTTCTAATATTAAAACCAGTTCTATCGATAGTTAAAAAACAGATTTTAAACTCAGCTTTTTCCTTTACTTTAGGATTGAGGATAAATCTTTTTATAACATTTCCATGACGATAACATTGTAAGAATCCTCCCAACCATAATAAAACATTTAAGGCACGCCTTTAACATTTGATAATCTTGACAAAATTTCAACTTCTCTTTCAAGAGAACGCAAATGCTCATTTTCTGGCCTCTCTATTTTTATAGCTACTTGATTTCCATTTTTTTAATCAATTCCTAACATTACTATTCCAAAAGACCCTGACGATATCTTCTTTTAAGTGACGAACTGATTATTAATTTTGAGTTATTTCATACAGATTATTTTAATAAATATGCAAGAAAATACTTAAACTTTCGAAGCTATCCAATAATTATTGAATACTAATAATATCCAATTCAAATTATTGATTCATGAACCTACGAAAACTTCGGAAGAATCAGCAAAGGTGAGAGGAGTCTCCTTAGATAGTGGAGCCAAAGCAATGTTATTATAAAACAAAAAAACTTAACTTTTTATATTATGTGTAATGTCTGCTTCCAAGAAATTATCTTGGAAATTAATAAGAAAGCTGTTGGATTGTAAATAACTGGATTTAGCTAATGAACAATAAGTCTATGAGGTTACTAAGTGTGTCACTGGTGCAGTCCCTCCTTTCGGAAGTATATTCAAAGTTTAAACATATTTGGACCCATCATTAATTACACAAGGAGATTAGATCAATTTCAATGCTGGACTGAGAACACACAGTGTTGCAATGTCAATTCAAGATTATTTAAAAATAGAGAATCCTATATAATTGTAATTCTGTGAATGATCAATTATAAAATAAATATTAAAATGAGTAAAATTACAAAGGAGGAAGCCTATAAGTTAAAGAAATTGTTCTTTAAATCCTAAAATATCATCGATAAATATTAACCTAAGAAATATACCAACATTTCCTCTCGATTACCATCTCTTCAAAGTTGTCAATCACCAAAAACAGTCTTGCCTATGAAATAGTGTGTTACTTAATCGATTAAAGAACTTATAGTAATCTCTATATTAAACCTAATTAGAATGCCAATGTATATCAATATATTGAAGGAATCCTATACACAGAAGATTGTGTTATGCCTCTAAAAAAATAACCTTAGAAGGTTAAAAAAATTGTTAGATTTGTTGATTGATATTAAGCACTATTCAATATCACTAATTTGTATTTCAATAAATCTAAATATATTAAATTTCTTTTATGTTATGATATATCTGAAATTAAACAGTCAGTGATCAATTAAAAAATCAAAAATATATTTAGGATTATTAATTTAATTCTAGGTATTCGTTGATTTATTTGTTTTGGTTAGGATAGAGCTTATTCTAGATTATTTAAATCATGCATTCCTTTTTTCCATAATTATTTCGATTTCTGTAATTAAATTGATTTTAATAATATTATTTGTGAAAATAATAATTAGATTTTATTGGATTTTCCGATTATATATTAGAAAAATGAGTTTAAATCAAATCAATAAATTAACAATATATTAAATTTTTTCAATTTCCTTATTTAATTTTCCTTCTTGTTCCATTTAATGCTCCATCTAGCTGCGTTAATGAAGCGATGATATTAAAAATCATAAATATTAAAGTGCTAGCAAGAAAATAATAAAATTGTTTGATGTTTCCTTTTCCAATACATTTTCCAGTCCAAGGACAATGATGATCCATTTCTTAAATGCATACATCGCAATCACTACAATGCACTGTACCATGTAATTGTAACAATTTACATTTGCCACAATACCAAGTCTTGCTATCATTTTACATGTCTAATTATGGTGCACATCTTGTCCTCATTTCAATTTAATTATTTTTATCATAATTAATTACTCCTGGATTAATTAAAGCAACCCAAGCATAACTCCAACATTGATTTACACAGACTATAAAAGTTGCCCACTTTATGAATTCAGATGAAGTGCTTGTAAAATGCCAACCTATTAAAAAGATACTAGCTGCAACAAATAAAGAATATGCACAAATAAACAATGGCCCTATTTTATAATATTAGTAAAATATTACAATGAGGGCCAATAACAATTTTTGGTATATTGTTTTTTAAAAATAATGGGTAGCAATTTCCCCATCTAATATCGACAGGAGTTTGATAACTTTCATCAAGCTCTAGAGGCTCAGGGGCCATAGATTTTAAACCTGTTTCTTCATCGCATTTTTAAGAAGAATCCAAACTCATAATTATTTGTTTTTATTTTATTGAATTTAGAATAGTGATACAAATGTAGACATTATTTGATTTAAAATTATTTATTTATTGAATAATATCATTCATCAATTCCTGTGATATCTAATTATTTTTCATGAATGGTTCTATATCCTGCTCTAAGATAATAAAACAATAAGATAACTATGCTAACAACAGTTACAACTTTGCCAGAATAATATAATGATATTTTCTTTGGTTCCACAATTTCAAGATATTAACCTTAGATAATGTTTTAGCATATCGAAAATAAAGCTAAGTGGAACAATTCAAAAAATCTTAAAGATTATACTATGTGTGTGTAAGATCTTCGGGGAAGACCAAATTTCTTAGATTGATCATAAGTAATCATCCAATTTTTCCATCCATCACTTGCTACTTCTTCTCTAATCATTTTTTTGTCTATTCCAAAGGTTACTTAATAGAAGGAGAGTGTTTTCATTCCTAAAGCACTTTCTTTATAGGGTAAAAATAAAGTTCTTGCATAGATATTCAAGAATAATGATTTTATATAACTTTTAATTACATACAAAACTCCTTTCTCAATAGGCTGTTCTTAATTTTCCTATATTTTACCATCTTATTTTTCATTATCTTGTCTTTCAGCGGATTATTGTTATGATTAAATGGTTTCCTCACTTTTTTAATAATCAAATAGAGTAAATAGAAATGTGCATGAAATACTATAGATTAAATACCCTACTCCAATGATCAAAAGGGGGATAGTTTCAAATTAGCTAAATTTGATATAATAGCCTATTAATAAAGATTTGCATAGTAATTCTACATATCTGCATAAAAACCATTTAAAAGCACTATAAATAATACTATAAAACTTACTCTTTAAGGGTAGAAGCTGTTTTATCAAAAAATTAAATCTCATATAGACAGATAACACTTGCGAATACCATGCATCCATAACTTGTAGTGAGAATAATGTTTTAAAATTTACCAAAAACATCAATTTATTATTAATTGCCTATTAGCCAAACAGCTATTACAAAAATTGCAGGCACATATCCAAATATAGCGGAAAATCCGAATTTATAAGGAATTAACCACTATCTTTATTTTTTTTAAGTTCTTAATGAAGCAATTTTAACAGCATAATCAGCAGTTAATTGTTTCACATCGATTTATGGTTATTTATCTTAAACTTTGTTGGCTTGTTTTTTCTTTTTTGTATGTCGCTCATCTTCTAATTGCAATTAATCTTCAATTAATTTAACTTATTTAGTGATTTAAAAATTCAGTATTGGAAGGTCTAACAGTAAGAGTGATGTAATCGTTATTCCAAGCATTTTACAATAATATTTACCTCCTTTTGTTTCATTTTAGGCATCCTTCTATGATTCTTACATTGTATCGTCAAAATTTTAAATATCACCTATTGTTTTGTAATGAATGATATTCACTCCTTAGTAAGACACATAGAAAAGAGATAATATTGATGATACAATTATGAAATAGATATAACTATATAGACTAATAAATAAATACCTTTAGTAAAAGAAGTAATATATTAGAAGCAATAGCGATGCAATTCCAATATAATTAAAAATTGCTTAGATGCAAAAATAGAAGCCCTAAATAGTACTTGGGTTTTTCAAAAATTTAATGAAATGCCTCTTTGCTCTTTTAAGCTTTTTGGAGAAAGGAACTGATTTCTTTTTAGCTACAGGCTATTGTTAATTTTAATCTTATTTCATAACTGTATTTATATAATTATATTAATAATGTTTATTGTAATTTATATTGAATTAATAACATTAGTTAATATTACATACAAAATGTAGCTAGACCAGGAAACTTTCAATATATTATTCAAAGAAATATTTGATTTAGATTCTCTACCTAATAAGGATAGGGAAGAGTTAACATAGTAATACTAATATTATGATAACACAATGAGAAAATTTCTAAATGCTCTCACAATAAATAATTAAATAATGATAATGAAGTTAAGTATACACTATCATCATTCAATAGGTTATTGCATAGATTTATTGCCAAACTTGCAAAGGTTTATTAAGTAATGGTGGCTAAAAAAATCAATATTTAGATCAAAAGCATCAACATTTCAACCTACTATTTATAATAGTTTATCAAATATGTATGACAGCAAATAGGGAATTTTTATTTCAATTATTCAATCCATATTCTCTGAATGCAAATTGCAAATAGAAATTGCTCATAGGAAACTAACCAATGATGATATAGAGAAGCGAGTGAGTATAATATTCTAACTTTATAAAGATTCATAGTTAAGATTAAGGCTCATAGAACAACCAATATTTATAATAATCATCATAAGGCTCCATAACTTAATTATTGCTACAAAAAAAGAGCCCTTATCCTGAATGGTAAATCAATAACATGAAGAATAAAAATCTCAGCTAATATTATAAAAACTTATTTAAGCTTTATGATTTACTTTTAATCGATAAGTAAATAACTATTCATATAACGAGAATGCAGGAAGATTAAATTCTTTATTTTTAAAGCAAAGAATAAAACCTAGAGAAATTATATTAATAATTAATTTAATAGAATACTCATATTAAGAAATCTTTTAATTGGGCTGCCACCATAGACACAAATGAATTTGAAAAACATAATTAATAATTGCAAATCAAAGAAAATTTGACTATTCAAAATATTTAGGCTACAACTGTCAATATAATAAAAACAGATTAATTTGATTGCCAAAAGACAGGTATCTCATTTTTATCTTCAAACGAAAAATATAAAGTTAGAAGTTACTCTTAAAATTCTAAGGTGAAGGATCTTTATTCATATAGCGATAAAATTAAGCATTTTTGTCCAAACTACCAAGAGTCCATTAAATTTAGAATTCCATAATCACATTTAGGTAATTAAAAATAATACTAAAGTTAATTAGCTTAACATCAAATATTAAAATAATCTTCTGTAATTAATATGTTAACAAGAAAAAGAATTTTGAATAATAATCTCAAAATACCAAAAAAATAAAATAAGACTTTTGGATTTAAAATTGATCCTAATTTTTTGACAAATATTTTAATATACTTATTTATATGTTTATCATTTTTTTAAGAAATGTTACAACACACTTTTGTACTAATCTTTAGCAAATTAGGTATGTTATTAAAGACAAACTCCTAATTAACTTATTAAATTGGAATAACATTCTGAATTAATTTTATATTATTACAATCCATATCAGTTGAGCTCATGCATTTTGATTCTTATTATTAAAATTAATGCTATAAATAGAGATAAATTTACATCACATTATCCTATTTTATCTCCTATCGATTTTCTAATATATAAATACGGATCCAAACATTATCTGGCGCAAGCATCTGATTATTTTCGATTGAAATCTGTAGTGCCAAAACAACCCATTTAACATTCATGCGTCAATTTCTAATAATTAAAGGTATAGCCTAGAGTACTTTAAATAATTTGTATTCTGTAGTTAGCTCATCAAAGAAATGGTCAAATTTTTGATCTTTTTATCTATAAAATCCTTACAATTTCTTGTTGAGATTGTTAGTATCCTTACTAAATTCGAAGTTTAGATTGTTATTATTATTATTTTACATATTATTATAATTTAAATAAACTCAAATTATTTGATTAGAAAACCATTAATTTTCTTTGAAATAATAATGAATCTTTTGTTCTTCCTTATAAGGTCGAAAAATAGATTCAAACTTCGTTCTAGAATCTGCAATTACTTAAGGCATTGTCTATTTTATTTAGATAACATCATATGGAGAAATTGTTATTACTTTAAAATTTTCAGATAAATTGTTTTTATCTTGCATATTAAATTTTTCAACATCTGTTAACTATTTTTCAGCTATTTGATCTAAAATTTAATCAGGAAATTTTGTATGAAAACCTTTTTTTTCTTCTTTATCAATCAAACTCCAGTGATGTTCAATATTATCTAACAAAGAATTTTATTATGCTTTGATCTAATATATTTCTTTTGATAATGGAAAATGCCATAACAAGGATACGCTTTATGATAATTATTTATAGTTTTTTGATCTTCTATCTAAATAAATATAAATATTTCCATTTTATATTAGTCGACATCTTCCCAAAAATGATTCTGGCTCGTTTTCATAAATATAACTTAAGGTAAAATACTGGCAAAACTCTAATTGTTAATTACTCATCCTTGATTTTTCTATTTGTTATTCCCATTGCAATCCATTTGCATTCATTTGTAATAATGTTTAATAAATTGTTATTATTTTTATAAAAACATTCAATTCATAATTTCAACAATTTAAATCTTCTAAAAATCCTTCCTCAAGATTACATCGTTTTACAAATTATGTTATTTTTAGATGCTGAAAAGAAGAGTGAAAAAGTTAGAAGAAACATCAAACTAGAATATTCTAATCAAATGGTATATATAAAATAAAATTCTAATTGAAATGAAGCATAATGTGCTAAAATGCAAGGACTTAGAGCTAAATTTTGTATTGAAAAAATATTTATATTCTAAAAATATCTTAAAAGTATTTATAATCAATTTTATTTAATTTTAGATCCAACCTTTTCAGAGAAGTATTTAATTTTTATTTTATTCTTGAATACATTAAATTCTTAAAGCACTAGAGTGATTTAAATTACAATAATAAATAAAATAGATAGTATTGCACAAATCAACTGAAGAGTTGGTTAATAAGGCATTATTGATTTATTTTTGGAGTTATATATTTTAGTGGGTAAATGCTTTTCTTTAATCATTAAATCTAGCTTTTGCTTTTGTATAACATCGATTGCATCATTTAATTCTTTCCTAAACCATGGGGGATCATTTTTATTTATCAGAATATGATGAGCAATATTTGTATTTAATTTAACTTAATATCTTAATTTACTCAAATACATTTTATGTTATTCTAAAAAAATTAATAAATTAAATTCGCTCATAATTACTACATCAACAATTTATTCATTTAGCATTTACATGCATTATAATTAACTATCGCCAACCTTTTTTTACAACCCTCTATCTCTATCAAAAAGATTTTAAAGAAATTAGTCCTATTCAAAATAACAAGCAATTGCATTGATATCTTTCATATCTTGGATTGTATTAAAGTTTGATTTTGCTAATGAATTAATTATAAGATAAATGAAGTCTGAAAATAATATTATAACTATTAAGAAACTTACCATTGCAAAAACAAATCGATAGACTTGCTTACAAATATTATCTGTTTCTGGCCTACTCTATCCTCCAAACCAAATAAATGACTCTTTTATTTTAAAATAATATGGCTTATCTTCAACATAATCAAGAATGAAAAATGCAATAAAGTTTAAATTAATCAAAATCCATGGTAATATCAAATAAGCAAAGTAAATAAATATTTGTATTAAAATTTTAAGTGCTACAGGCCAAAAATTGTCCAAAAATACAAATAAATAATTTTCTTTATAATATTTAACCATTACCTGAAACGATGATAGGTGATAAATCATAAACTGACCTGTTATAATCAAATTAATTTTCAATATAACTTTGAGACACTGAATAATCATATATTTGAAAAAAGTTTAGTATTATTTCATTATTTTGACTATTATACATCGACTTGTCTTTAAATTCGAATTCTTTAATGATAACAACAAGCTTACTTGAATTTATAAATAATGTGTCCTTATTATTCATAACTAAAATTATTAATTACCACATGTCTATTAAAATTCCAATAGGTTCATCATTTCTGACGTAGGATAAAGCTTCTTGATTCAACACCGCAACACTTGCATTGTGGTAAAAAAATTCAATAAATGTCATACAAACAATTATTATTATATTCAATTTTTTTATATTTTTAATTAATCATGCATAAACTTTTGTATAGATAATTTTTAAGTTAAGAAAGAAAATTGATCATATTTCATTCTCCCTTTAAGATGGATAAAATAATAAAATGAGTATTCATATAGTTAATCTTCTTTACGCAATTTAAATCATATGATATCTATTTAATATAATTAATACAAAAACAAATAATTTTAATTAATATATACGAAATATATTAAGTCAATAAAATAAGACTTTTTTTTTGACTTGGTATATTATTATCTCTTTCATTAAGAAAAATTATATTATTTCCCAATTCAATTTCTTTTTATTTCAATTACCACTAGATTATGGCAATAATTATAAATCTGAATCGAAAAAAAATAAACCTTGCATAATAACAATTTAATTTAATCAATAATGTAAATTGATATACTTGTAGATTATTCAAAAAGTTGGCCTTTTTGACTTACTTAATGGTTTGAATTCTAATTTTTTGATTCTATTCTTGGATATTGCAATCTGATTTGGGATCTAAAATATTTAAAATTCATTTTTTTCTCATAAAAAAAAAAATAAATATATATAAGTTGATAATGAACATGGCTTAAGCTTCTTTCAATCATCTTTCTAAAAACCATCCTCTGGTAAAATAAGATTCTGTTATTTTATGAAAACTAATTTTAACTATTTTTTGTATTTTAAACAATCAGAATTAATTGATTTGTGTTATAAAGTTTGAATTTTGAATCACAAAAGCTTAAAATATTGAGTTGGTTGAAATTAACTATTTATACACAAATAGTTTTATACTTAATTATATATGTTGTATGATGTATTTTATCAAAAACCATAAATTATTATAATTTTTTTTGTGAATTGCTTTCGGAAAAATTAATATTTAGGAATAAATACATAATTAGCAATAATCGAGCTGATAAAAATGAATTTTTAAAGTTCTGACAAATAACCCTGTCATTCTGAATAAAGGGAAAAAAGTAGGACGAGATAATAAAATAATTTATATACATTATCATTATCTTGAGCTTATTGTTTAAAGCCCAAAAAATAATGGAGTATAATATCTGTAATACAAAATTTATGTTAAAACTTTATCCAATTATTTTTCTTATTAATATTCGTTTTTTCACTATTTGAGTTCTTCGTTATCATATTTTATAACCTTGAAATAGGAACAATCATTATAAAGTGGATTATATAGTCTTTTGTGATGAAAAAAGGTTTTATAACACATTCATCAATATAAAGAAACCATAACCTGTTTTAATATAAATTAATCTATTACAATCTTTTATCTTTAGTTTAGAAAAACATATAATACCATCCAAAGTGTAATGCTTAATTCCAAATAAAAAAACGAATTAAGATAAATTAAATTATTTTAACATCATAAAGTCCATTTATAATTTGTTCTGGGACATAATTTAAATCTTAAAAATTTTGGTAAATCAAAGGATTTCAATAATAGAAAAAATATAAAATATAATACTGAAACTTTCTAGCATATTAAGTCTCGGAAATTAATATAGCTATGCTCAANATATTATTATCTCTTTCATTAAGAAAAATTATATTATTTCCCAATTCAATTTCTTTTTATTTCAATTACCACTAGATTATGGCAATAATTATAAATCTGAATCGAAAAAAAATAAACCTTGCATAATAACAATTTAATTTAATCAATAATGTAAATTGATATACTTGTAGATTATTCAAAAAGTTGGCCTTTTTGACTTACTTAATGGTTTGAATTCTAATTTTTTGATTCTATTCTTGGATATTGCAATCTGATTTGGGATCTAAAATATTTAAAATTCATTTTTTTCTCATAAAAAAAAAAATAAATATATATAAGTTGATAATGAACATGGCTTAAGCTTCTTTCAATCATCTTTCTAAAAACCATCCTCTGGTAAAATAAGATTCTGTTATTTTATGAAAACTAATTTTAACTATTTTTTGTATTTTAAACAATCAGAATTAATTGATTTGTGTTATAAAGTTTGAATTTTGAATCACAAAAGCTTAAAATATTGAGTTGGTTGAAATTAACTATTTATACACAAATAGTTTTATACTTAATTATATATGTTGTATGATGTATTTTATCAAAAACCATAAATTATTATAATTTTTTTTGTGAATTGCTTTCGGAAAAATTAATATTTAGGAATAAATACATAATTAGCAATAATCGAGCTGATAAAAATGAATTTTTAAAGTTCTGACAAATAACCCTGTCATTCTGAATAAAGGGAAAAAAGTAGGACGAGATAATAAAATAATTTATATACATTATCATTATCTTGAGCTTATTGTTTAAAGCCCAAAAAATAATGGAGTATAATATCTGTAATACAAAATTTATGTTAAAACTTTATCCAATTATTTTTCTTATTAATATTCGTTTTTTCACTATTTGAGTTCTTCGTTATCATATTTTATAACCTTGAAATAGGAACAATCATTATAAAGTGGATTATATAGTCTTTTGTGATGAAAAAAGGTTTTATAACACATTCATCAATATAAAGAAACCATAACCTGTTTTAATATAAATTAATCTATTACAATCTTTTATCTTTAGTTTAGAAAAACATATAATACCATCCAAAGTGTAATGCTTAATTCCAAATAAAAAAACGAATTAAGATAAATTAAATTATTTTAACATCATAAAGTCCATTTATAATTTGTTCTGGGACATAATTTAAATCTTAAAAATTTTGGTAAATCAAAGGATTTCAATAATAGAAAAAATATAAAATATAATACTGAAACTTTCTAGCATATTAAGTCTCGGAAATTAATATAGCTATGCTCAATAAGGAATAGACCTGATTATGAACATTGATTTAAAAAGTATTTGAACCAATAATTATTGAGTTTAGACTTATAGAAACCATATTAAAAAATATATAGATATTTATTACCGAGAAAACAATGTGTTTCGTTTAACAAATTTAAAATTCAAAGCTTGATATTAAAATCTTTATTATATCCAAAATTTTAACATTATACAAAATATATATATTCAATATAGATTATTATGGTTTGTTTAAATATTCACAAAGTATTATTAAGTCTTTTTATCTTTCAATAGATAAAGAATAATTGCGTGAAAATCAAATGATAGTGTTTATCGTCTTTTTAATATTAAAAATTTCTAACTCATTTTAAAGTTTGAAATTTAAAACCAAGCCAATAACAGAAATTTTTCGATTATTTCATAATCAATCATAAGTGGGAATCAACTTTAAGCACTTCCAAACGAATTGTAATGATTTATTATTTAAAAAAAAATGGTATAAATTATAGATTTTTTCTAATTACTATTAATTTAACATAAAATGGAAATATAAATTAAGAAATGATTGAGATGTTACATTAAATTAATTAATAAAATGTGCTTACCTTTGGGCTGCTTAAAGTTTTCTGTTTAGTTCTAAGCATGGATAATACTAATTGTAGGAGTATCTTCGTTAATTGGAACAATCGTCATAAATGTCGATCAGAGATAATATTTAGACTATTTAGATGAATTTACAAATGTAAACCTATATTATAAGTTAAGTCTAAACCTTCAGACGGAATATTAATAGCATTATATATATTTAGCAGTATATTAATACTTTTTGGAATTTGCGGAATAATAGGAGGATGGAAAAGAATTGGAACACTGCTATTTTGCTTTAATATTGGAAATTTCCTACTTGCGTTAGCTTTTCTGGGTCTTGCGATTCTTGGATTTAGTCTTGGATAGTCAGCTCATTGGATAGATATATTTTCAGGTATAAAATGCTTTATATAATTTAAAGATGAATAATGCTTCTAATCAGAGTATTTTACTGGATCTGCTACTTTGAATAATGTATATGCCGAAGCCGAGGCTGTATTTTGTAAAACAATCTACCAAAATGCTCCTGGTTGTCAATGTTATTATACTGGAAGTATGACAGATAACACATCTTAATCAGTTCAATTTTATTCAAATTCAAATGCAGACTTAGTATATCATTTATACTATTTAGCCCATAAGGATACAATAATGTTAATAATATAATGATTATAAATCTGATTACGATGAGGAAGCAGAATACTTAAAGTCTATTGAAGAATAATTTTCTTGTTCAGGATGGTGTCTTCCTTATTAAATTTATATTTTTTCAGATGTTAATGCAGGAACTCCAAAGTAATTAGTTGTAATCATACTTATAGAGATAACTGCTATGGGGCAATAACAGGATTTGCAAAAGACATATGTATCTATATTGGCGCCGTAGCTGTTAGTGTATGTTTCATAATGATTTTATGCATAACATGTGTATTGTGTTTGTGCTTCCACCCAACTAAAAAATAGGAAGGAAACTTCTATTCTAGAATGGCTCATTATGATTGATGTAAAAATGAANAAAATATATATATTCAATATAGATTATTATGGTTTGTTTAAATATTCACAAAGTATTATTAAGTCTTTTTATCTTTCAATAGATAAAGAATAATTGCGTGAAAATCAAATGATAGTGTTTATCGTCTTTTTAATATTAAAAATTTCTAACTCATTTTAAAGTTTGAAATTTAAAACCAAGCCAATAACAGAAATTTTTCGATTATTTCATAATCAATCATAAGTGGGAATCAACTTTAAGCACTTCCAAACGAATTGTAATGATTTATTATTTAAAAAAAAATGGTATAAATTATAGATTTTTTCTAATTACTATTAATTTAACATAAAATGGAAATATAAATTAAGAAATGATTGAGATGTTACATTAAATTAATTAATAAAATGTGCTTACCTTTGGGCTGCTTAAAGTTTTCTGTTTAGTTCTAAGCATGGATAATACTAATTGTAGGAGTATCTTCGTTAATTGGAACAATCGTCATAAATGTCGATCAGAGATAATATTTAGACTATTTAGATGAATTTACAAATGTAAACCTATATTATAAGTTAAGTCTAAACCTTCAGACGGAATATTAATAGCATTATATATATTTAGCAGTATATTAATACTTTTTGGAATTTGCGGAATAATAGGAGGATGGAAAAGAATTGGAACACTGCTATTTTGCTTTAATATTGGAAATTTCCTACTTGCGTTAGCTTTTCTGGGTCTTGCGATTCTTGGATTTAGTCTTGGATAGTCAGCTCATTGGATAGATATATTTTCAGGTATAAAATGCTTTATATAATTTAAAGATGAATAATGCTTCTAATCAGAGTATTTTACTGGATCTGCTACTTTGAATAATGTATATGCCGAAGCCGAGGCTGTATTTTGTAAAACAATCTACCAAAATGCTCCTGGTTGTCAATGTTATTATACTGGAAGTATGACAGATAACACATCTTAATCAGTTCAATTTTATTCAAATTCAAATGCAGACTTAGTATATCATTTATACTATTTAGCCCATAAGGATACAATAATGTTAATAATATAATGATTATAAATCTGATTACGATGAGGAAGCAGAATACTTAAAGTCTATTGAAGAATAATTTTCTTGTTCAGGATGGTGTCTTCCTTATTAAATTTATATTTTTTCAGATGTTAATGCAGGAACTCCAAAGTAATTAGTTGTAATCATACTTATAGAGATAACTGCTATGGGGCAATAACAGGATTTGCAAAAGACATATGTATCTATATTGGCGCCGTAGCTGTTAGTGTATGTTTCATAATGATTTTATGCATAACATGTGTATTGTGTTTGTGCTTCCACCCAACTAAAAAATAGGAAGGAAACTTCTATTCTAGAATGGCTCATTATGATTGATGTAAAAATGAATTTGTTTGAAATATCTAATAAATCAATTAGTCAACCATTAATTCCTATTATTTTTTCTAAAACATAATAGAATCTTCATAGTGTAATTCAGTTGTGGATATTAACACATTATTTCAAATTTTTAATCATAAAATATATTGATTAATTATTAAAAATATAATCAACTACAAAGATTCGTCTTACAAATATATATTCAATTTTTTATTGATAAATGTTGAAACTTAACTGAAAACTATTCCAATTGTTTAAGCTTGTGATTGAATTTAAATGAAATAACTTCCAATCTAATTTGATTTTGCATTAAATAGGGTAAAGAGATAAATATGAGATCAAAAAATAAGGCATTCAGAAAGTAGAAAATCTAAACGCACTTGAGAGGTTTTTTCGATAAAAAAATATTTTTTTTAAGTAAATTCATTTAAATTATAAGATTTCTATAGATTCCTTCTTAAATCTGCGAATACTCATAAGTAGATTTAACACAAAATAAGAAGGAAAATGATTGAGAATAGAAAAATATGGATTGCAACAATCTAATCGTTTATTGTTGCAAATCAGAAAATTTAGATAATTTGATAGCATTAAAGTCAGAAATAGTTTGCTTGATACCACCTATGGAGTCATAATTTCATAAGGGATTTTCTTAAAATTTAAACGATAATTTTGTGATCGCTTAGAACAATCTTAAATTATAATGAGGCTTATGGAAAAGAGATTAAATCATTAAATAATTCTGTATTAATAATTGAATCATCATTTAGGAGGATGTTGCTATGCTTATTTTTACATTTCATGCGTGGCCGAGTCAAATTATGTTCTCTAATGTGTAATTATTAAAGAAATACTTCTTAAGTTTTTTTCACTAATGCTCCTTTCTTTTTGGGTCCATCCTTATATTTCTCAGCCATTAATCTCGCCTATTTCTGCATTTCATCTTCACCATCCTAAGTATTAATTTAACATATATACCATCTTCTTCTAATCAATTTAATAAATAATTATTAAAATTATATGCTTGAAATCAATTAAAATTGTATCTATAAACAAAATTTTATGCAATTTAGACGACATGGCCACCGTACTAATAATCAAATTATATTATGCAATTTTGTTTAAAGCAAAATGTTCATTTATTGAAGTTTTGTTAAAACTTATATAATGCTATGTTATTTAATAATCCTTGATTAATAATAGTGAAATGTGAATAATATTATTATCTTGAAATTCTTCTGGTTATTGTTTTTTGACAATATTTTTATATCCTGATTGGATTTTTTGGGAAGCCCTAAGCTGTTATTTGCATTCAAATAAATACCAAAATATTATTAGTAGATTAAAAAAATCAAAGATTAAAGATGTTTGGGTTATTATTTTGATTTATTAGTAATGAATAAATTCTCGAAAACTTTAAAGGTTGTAAATATATATTGGCAGCTGAAATCATAAAATCTTAACTGTTCATATAATGAAATAATTATATTTTTTAGTAATTTTTATAATACAAAAAGACCATCTAATTTTTGATGTCGAAAAAAAGGCCTCCATCAAGATTTGCAGATACGGCTTTGTTAATAATGTCCAATCAAAAAGAGAGTGAAATCTAAAAGGATATTAAATAGTAATTATATTAAGTTCCTTAAGAGGAGGAGTTAAATGCTGATTATGAAGAACTCATGAAGGCTTAGAATTTAAATAAATAATGGTAGTAGATGAAATAAGAGGCTGAATATTAGGAACAGGTGATTTAAAAGAGAAAATTGTAAAAAATAGAAGAAGAACAGAAGAGATTAGCAACAAAATTAGAGGAATTAATTAATTAACCATCTTTTGATGAATATGAAGAAAAACACAAATTGATAGCTTTAAAGAGGAGAATTGAATAAGATTACAAAGATGAGGTTGATAAATTGAAAGAGTAATTTTTATTGGCTAAGGAATTTGATGTAGAAAAAATAGTGAGAAAAAAAATAGAGATGGAGAAATTAATAGAGGCATAAAAGAAGAAGAATGATGAGTATGAGAGAATATAATTAGAATTGGCAGCTATAAGGGAAGTCGCAGAGAAAAAGGATATAAATTCCAAGAAAATGCTTGAAAATGCATTAAATAGAAGGGGAATACCTTAATAGTTGATAAGCGAGAGGGATAAGGTTTTATTATCGAATGCAATATTGGATGACCGAGAAGAAGAACAAAGACAAAGAGATCGTATCTATGAGGAAGTTCAATAAAAAGTTTAATAAGAAAAGGAAAAAAAGAAATTAGAAACTGCTGAAAAACTTAGAGATATAAATTCTAAGAAATTTGAATTAAATGAACAATAAGAAAGAATATTGAAAGAGAAAGCATTTCATAAAGAATTGTAAAAGAAGGGATTAGACTTCCTAACTTAGATAGAGCTAGGAAATGCACCGCCATTGGAAATACTGAAAAAGAATATTATAATGGATGAAGAGAAGTTAGACGAGTATAGATTAAACTATAATTTAAACAACATTGCTAAGAAGAATAAAAGGTATATTTTGAGATGATTAAAGATTTTTATAAGATGGAATTAAAAGAATAGAATAAATAAAGGAAGAGTAATACAATATTGAAGTTTAAGATAGACCATATAATGGAGAGATAAAATAATACCTAAATACAGTATAAGAAATTTAATTAAAAATTAGAGAAATGCTGAATCTCTATTCATTTGTCGAAAGATAGTGGATTATGTAGTGGATAATTCATTACGAAAAATCTTGGAGAGAGAGAATCGTATGCATATGCTCAAATAATAAAGAAAAGATTATAATTAAAAGGGGAAAAATTTAAAGAGAACTTAAAACTATCTAATTGATAGAGAATTTCTAGAGGAGGAAGCTGACAAGATATTTGCTAGAGTAATGAGAAAAGTATAAAGAGAAGCAGCTAATGAAATAGCAGTTGTTAATCTATTAGCATAATCAGTAGCTTTGAATATTATTGTGAATTCAGTAAAATATGAAAGGAATACAGCTAATCCAATCGATTAAATTAAGAAATTGTATTACGATTTAAGAGGAGAGAATATGGAGAAAAACATAACTGATTTGAAATTCAATTTCAAGAATAAGAATGAAATCTAATGGAATAAAGTAAAGAAAGGGAAGAAAAATTACAATACGGATGAATTATTAAAAATAATGAGGGAGAAGAAACAGTTAAAATAATTAGATAAGGAAGAAGACAAGAAGGAAGTTCGCTAGGACGAAGAAATAGACGAATCTGATATCAATATACTTGATCCAGAAGAATTTCAATGCGTACCTACTTTGGGGTTGGAAAAGATTAAGGCTTATGAGATATAGTATTGGGAAAAAGTGTCATTCGTTCATTAAACATTTAAAAACCATTATAGTAATATTAAAGCAGGTATCACTCATATAGTGTTGTCCCCCTTTAAAGATATGTTAATAATAGGAATGTCAAATGGAGAAGTAGCTTTGTATGACACTACTTCAGGTCCTGCTATAATAAGTGGAATAGTTCCATCATTCACAAAATCAAAAATTACGGATGTATAATTTGGAATGGATAATGTCGGACATTTATTAATATTAGATGAATCTGGGTTGATTAGAGTATGTTATATGGGATATAACTTAAAAGTGAATATTCCCAAAGAGCAATTAAAAGGCATTGAGTCTTTGCCAGAAGGATATCAACCAATGTTCTACGTTTAATATTTCACTCTAAATAATGATTTCTTGGCTAGAAATAAGAAATAGGAGGAGAAGAGATAGATTTTAACACACAGCATATTTCATCCCTCAATTACATTTTCTTGCTTATAACCAACTTTAATGGTAGGAAGTAATAATGGAACGATTATGAAATATAATAGTAATGTTGACATGTTTAATGGACAAAATTACAAATTTCCAATTCACAATATTTTGAATACTAGAATCATAGTCAATGAGGATGAACAATTCCCTAACGAAAACTTTCTAAATCTACAAATATAAGAAGAACATGAGGGCAAGAATCCACATGTTTTTAGAGAATTTTTCGAGAATCATAGACAAGAGATAGTTTATATTGGGTTCTTAGAAGAACCAGAAAAAATATTAACTATTGACAAAGGAGGTTATGTTAATTTATGGGAATATGATACAGGATATTATGATTTAAGAAAAAGATCTTTTAGACCTAAATCCAAATATAAAATCTAAATGACAGAAACCCAATTCACACCTGATACTACTGAAAGAAAAAAATATTTTCCAGATGAGAACACAGATAATGAAGTTTAAGAAGGATATCAAAAATATGCAGAACTATTTAATAGTCCAGATGAATGGATTAAATTATCAGAAAAGCCTTTGAAAGATGGAGTTAATGAATTAATTATTTGCTATAATGAACTCCCTTAAGATGGAGATACTGAAATCTTCGAAATTATTAGAGTAAATCATGGTATTCTATTTATGATATTATTATTATAGCTACTAAATAAATGATAGAAGGATATACTCAAGATTACAAAGCTACAGAGAGCGAAGGATTTATTGCTTTAGCTAAACCCTCCTTAGTCAATAAATACATATATCTAGAAATCATAAAACCCCATATCATCAATCCAGATATCTTCTAAATTGAATTCTTGGCTATTAATACTCAAAATTTTAAACTTAAGAAACTAAGGCCATTCATAGAAGCATCAACAGATAGAGTTGAATTTGATATCGTTGATAATTACTACCCTTTCATGGTAAGCTACTTGTTTGTGCATTTGCCTTAAGGAATTTACATCATCTCATTAGCAACCGGAACAATAGTCAAATAAATAATTGAACATATTTAACATGTAAGAGTATCCTTTCCATAAAGAGAATATATACCTAAAGGTATTTAGGTAATAGAGAACGAAGCTATGTTTTTTACATATGATAATTGCAACGGTTGTTGGAAGTTATAAATCCAGGATGATAATGATGATAATGAGAGCATGGCTCTTTATGATAACTATAGATTAGAATATGAGAAATTATTTCTATAATGAAATTAATAAATAACATTTTTTATTAATGACATCTGACCCTCTACAATAACAGTGAATTTATTTTTTTCAAATTATTCTCTTTCCTTAAACTTTATCAAAATTATTAGCCATTATCTCGAAAATATCATGTACTTACAAATCTTTAAATATGAGGCAATCAGTTTTACATCCTATGTTTTTATATTTGAGATCATATAATTAATTCATCATATTATACACATAAAATCATTTAAGTTTCTATTTTTTCAACCTTTAAGCCTATTTTCCACTTCTAACATGTCCTAATTTATTTTTCAAGTCCTTTATTTTGCTTTTAATTCTTGATTCTTTATTCTTTTACTCAACTTTCTTTGCTCTCATCATTTATAATGGCTTATTCTTTTATTTTTCTTTGTTTGATGTTGAAGCAAATTCTGATTTCTTTTTATTAGGACCTTAATACCTTAAACGATAAATCATAAAATTACCATTTTTCTTTGGTTCCATTTTTCAATTCTTCTAACTTTTCATGCTTTTATTCTGATTTAGTTTTTCTATATCTCATTATATCCTCCTCTCTTACATAACCATGAGGATTCTCATCTGATACTTTACTTTCATCTGAATAATACTCTTAAACAGAGTCTTCTTCTTCCAAATCTGATAAAGATTACCTCCTATTTTTATTCTATTCTTTTGTGATTTTACTATCAGGTTTAATATCGTCATCATCAATATCTTCATCATCAATACTTTCATCTTCCCATTCTTCATTTTCATTTGCGTTATCATCTAATTCAGCACTATCCCCACTAATATCTGAAATATCATCTTGATCATTCTCATCATCATCGTCTATAAAATCTTCATCATCTTCTACTTCTTATTCAATATATTAATTTTTTTATTATTTTTCTTAAAGTTTATTTTATTCAATTTCAGCTTCCTTCTTTCTTTTCAATGCTCTAATTCTTTTAAAATCCTCGTCCGTCAATATTCTATCACAATAGATAGGAATATCAAATTTTTTGTTCAATTTCTCCTCTTCTTCTTATTGCAATAGTTCAGCGCCATCTATACCTACTGTAATTTGTTAAATAAAATTATCATCAAATTCACCATCCAATTCTTCTGTACTCTTCCATTTATTACCTCTCAATCTTTTATCTAATAATTAAGGATTTGTATCTTTGAAATGATTCAATATGGATCTTGCAGCTTAACTGACATTTCTATTTTTATATTTGATGTAATGAATTAGATAAGTAATATTTTCTTTATCCAAAATCTTTGGGTGCTTCTATAATATTTCGTATATTCCTCTTAAACCCATAGTCAAGGTTAATTCTTAACACCTATCGTTAACAAATTGATCAATTAAATGTCTGACAGTTGGTTATAAGTCCTCCTTTGGAATTTAATCGTGTATAGATTCAGCTAGATAAGCGAATAACTTTGCCACATCCTTACTATTTGGGTATAAATGCTTTTGAATGTAAGTATAAAAAGGTATTAATAGTAATTTATGTCTGTGAATTAATCTGGATATCAAATGCATCATAGCCAATTTAACAGAGAATCTTTCACTATCATGTTTTTTTAAATTATCAAATAATCTTTCAGCAAAATCTTAGGGGGAATATATTTAATCTAAAGCAAAGAATCCTCCACCGCTATTAAATCGTTACAACTTCTTCCTTTATTTCTTATCTGCCATTTTCTTTTCTCTTTCAACTCTATGTTCTCTGGCCTTAGTAGGTTTAACACATTTATTTTTCCCTTTTTTTTAAATATATTTATCGGCTTCATCCTCTGATGATTCAATCTCAACATGAGTTTCAGTTGTTTCTATTAAGAAATAACAAGCCAATAATTTAATTTTGTAATTTTAATTAAAGCAACCTTGTGCAATTATATTCACACACTTATTATCTTTCCATATATTTTTTTTATATAATTCAATCATTATTTAAATAGCTCGTTTAGCTATATTTTCTTATGATTTCTTAATTAAATCAATTATGAAATTCTAAGGATATATATATTTATACCTAAATTTATTTATTTAATGTTTCATTTCTATGTTTCTTATTAAATTATTTAATGTCTTTAATAATAAATCTAAAAATAATTCTTCTTAAATCCTTATCTTAGCAGTTAAACAATTTCATTAAAAATACAATCATTCTATAAGGTTCAATTAAATTTTTGCCTCTTAATCTTAATAAACAAAAGATGATTTTTTTTCTTAAGCCTTAATTCAAAGTATTTTAAAAATGGTTGATAAGTTCCATTAAATCTTCTATGTAAAATTTCATGTCTGTTTTATAATAAACAGCAACCTTTGATAGAAATTAGGCAATTATGCTAAATTTGCCATTACTTTAACCTGGGTTTTATTTAACCAATTCAAATTACTAAAGAAATTGATTATGTACATACTTATTTATATTATTCGACAACATTTAAGACTTCTTTGACATAGAGGTCTGGAGCTTTAAATACTTTGAGTTACAGAGCTACAATTCGTTCTAAGAGTTGTCTGCACTCTTCTTTGTATTCTTTGGATTTATTTGAAACATATTACTACACATTTTCCTCTTAATTCATAATTAAAATTATTAAATAATGAGTAATAATAATAATATTAATTATATTATAAACACATTTCCATAAAAGCTCTATTTTTTCTATATAGTCTAAGTTAGAGTTTATAATTAGTATAGAAGTAAAATGCCATTCATATACATCATCTTTGATCAAACTTCCATATTTAATCAAATTCTCTAATCTATGCGGAGTGAATTGGATAAAATCAATTCAAATCCACTTCTTTTCAAGTAAACATTTAATTTAATAAATTATATATATTCTGTCAATTATATAGAGATACAAATGTTCTTACAATTCGAATTCTAATTTTCAAAAGAACTCATTATTTAAATTAATTCTAAAAATAGAGATTCTCATCTTTTTAATAAATATCATAATTTAGTTGAAAATCATTAAAAAGCTTTCAAAATTGTTTAATTTTAATTTAATTGTAACTCTATCTTATTCTTGTGTTTTATCTTAAAAATTAAAGTTTTGCCATTTTAGTAATACAAGAATTTAAGATAAATAAGATATTTTGTTCTTAAAATAATTTGTATTCACTAACTTTTCTAATCGACATTGAAGTAGATCTTAGTTTTCATACCATTTCATAATTAAAAATTCATTAACAATGTTGAATTATGAGGAAAAATATTGATTTATTGATCCCAAAATCTGCTTCCGTTTCAATTTTGTCATCGAAAAATTATTTACTCAGTACTTTTAATGAAATTTCTAAAAATTAACAAAATAATATCTAATATTCATTTCATCTTCCCCTACTCTTTGTTATTTTGAGTAAGAAGGTAATAAATTATCTTATTTATATTTCTGGCATTCTTATCAATTATCGCATTTAATTTATCATGTAATTTAAAGTTTACACTTTGTTTACAGCTACTCTTAACTGACTTAAGCAATTAATTTTATTTATTTTTTAAGTTCTCCTTATTAATTAAAATTACTTCAATAATTTTATCATTAATATTTCTTATAAAATATATGATTTTAAATACTTGTAAATTTTATTACTTGATTTATTAGAATTGCGATAAAGAAATAATAGTTAATATAATTCTACATTTCCTTAAATACAGGCTTTGACCATGAGATATTTTACCAAATCTTTATTTCGTTTTTAACAAAACCTGACTTATCCATGACAAAATATAATATAAATATTTACATAAGTATATCAACAATGTACATATTTATAATCAATTTAGTCATTACCTTCTACTTCTGCTCAAATTAGAATGTGAGCTCTTTTTCAAAGGCGGTTTAATGATTTAATCAACACTCAAGCTGGAAGAAGCAAGTAGTTTCTTTAATACAATGATATTTTATTATCGAGGACTCTACATATCTAATGTATCTGGTGTTTACAACTATTCCTTACAATGTATTTCTGTTTCCTAGTTCTAAGATTAATTTAAAAATATAAATACTGATAACCCAAGAGTTGGTTTCTTATTCTTTTATTTCTATATAGTGCATCCCATTGTAATCTTAAAATCAGTTTGAATTAAAAATAATGAATATTACATAAAGATGTTTTCAGGAAATATCAAAATACTACACATTAATCATTATTATTAAATAAATAATATCTTAATAAATTGAATTAATACTTTATATGAATTATCAAATTTTATTAAAAGAAATTTATATTCAAATGACGATATTAAAATTATCTGATTTAATCATAGATCTTCTCTCAAAACAATTAACTTCACATAACCAAAAAAATCAGATAATATTATTTAACATGTTTTCATTATTATCAATCATAATTGTATACGATGACCTATACCCCCATGGGTTCCCTCTCTGTAGGATTAAATTAATTAGAGTATAATTGAAGCATAAGATTTGAATAAAGATCATATCTATTATTTTCTTATTTTAGTCAATATATTGTAATATAATGCTAATAATTAATTTGATTTCTACTCAATTTGAAGATAAAATGTAATATAATTTTCAATATAATCTATCATTATAAATCATAATATTATGATTTAAACAAAAATATTTAGTATTTATGTTAACCAAATATTGAATTTTTGAAATAGATTAAGTAAATATTAAATTTTGCTAACGATTCAAGCTATGTGATCGAAAATCTATATTTTAACATATGAATTTCTGAAAATATATATATATATATGGCATTTTTTGGATTTAATTTATATTTAAAAATATACATTATTTTTAAAACCTATTGCTCTTATTTTCAACATATTTAAATCATAATCTAAATTTGATATATCAATAAAATTTTAAAGTTACAAAAATGTTATTTTATTTATTTCTATAGATATTTTGATAGATATTGGTAGCTAAAATCAAATTCATAATTTTTAAAATTAGCTAAACAACTATCTCATACTTGATTCCTAATCAAATAAAATAATTAAATTATCAAATTTAATCTTTTTGAACAATTTATCAATATTGGCATCTGTGAGAAGGGATCATAAATAACTTTGCACAAAATAAGAATGATTAAAAGATAATAATGGAGGATCTAAATTAAAATAAAAAATTAACGTAATATAAAGCAATATCTCTGATTAAAAAACATTTAAAAAATAATGGAGGAAAAAAGACGCTAAAAAATATATTGGGAGAATATAATTTTATAGATAGTATGAAGTATAATATAAAATAAAGGTTAGAATTTCAGTTTAAGTTATTTTGAAAACTAACCTAATTGGTTTAGTAGTTATTCAAATTAATTATTGAGTTATCCTGTTAAATTTAAACCTATTGTTATAAGAATTGTATTTTAATATTTAATTTGAAGAAATTTAACAATGATTATAAAATATTAATAAAATTATGAGCAATTCCCGAAAGAGGTTAATTCGCAATTCACCTGATAAAAAATCAAATCATACTGAAGTTCTATCAGATATTGAAGAAGAGTATAATCTTAACAATTATAAGTACGATCGCTAATACTAAATTGATTAGAAAAAAAAAGGTGAACAATAATTAAATGTCTAAAAGCAATCTTAATAGTCAATGGAGGAAAAACAAACACCCCAAATTTCTGAAGTGTTAGCAACATAAAAAACATTCAAATATACTAAATAGTAAATTCCAGCATAAACTTAGAAGAAAATATCCACCTAAAGAATACCAAATTAACCTAATTTATTTCAATTTTTTGGTAAGAGTGTCCCTATCAATCCTTCAATTGGTTCATAAGGGAAACAAAAGGAGACAATGAAAAAGCTCTCTGTTGATATTAACATTGATGACATTAATATTGAAGAATAAATTGAAATAGAGAGAAAAATTTAAGAATACAATAAGAACAAATTGCAAACAAAACAATCAGTTTAAGTATAATAATAATAGCCATTAACTCTGTTATAAAAATAGAATCCTTAATTAGATAATGGAAATGATATAATTTAACAATTAAAAAAGGTAGGTGTAGAGAAAAATAACAAAAATACAAATGACTTGGGACCTGATATAAAATAAAGTTAAAATATTCAATTTGAATAATTGCAATAATCTAAAAAGAAGAAAGGAGCTGTAGAAATAACATGGGAAAAACAAAATTCAATTAAGTCTTATAAGCCAGAAAATGAAAAGTAAATGGATATAGAAATAGAAAAATAAGATGCATTTAAAAATGATCCAGATTTACTTAATGGTTTAACTATAGTTTTGAGTGGAATATTAAATGTTTGTAGCAGAGATAAATTTGAATAGTTTTTAAAGAATAATGGAGCAAAGGTTACAGGGAATATTTCTGGAAAGACCAATTTTTTGATTGTTGGGGATAAATTAGAAGATGGCCGAAAGGGAGAAGAAGGAAATAAATTCAAAAATGCAACAAAAAAGGGAACAAAGATTATAAGAGAAAATGAACTTAATAATTGGCTTGTTGATAAAGTAGGTGTTGGAATTGATGAAATATTCCCAGATTCAAGCTTATCTAAATTATTAAAGAAATCAGGATCAAAGAAATAAGATTAGTAGGAAATTAAATAACTAGATTAAAATAGAAAAATTAGCTTAGCCGATAAATATATGCCATAGTCATTGTCTGAATTAGTTGATAATAAATCAAGTATAACCCAATTAAATGATTGGATATACAAATTTCAAAATCCTAATTCTGGAGAAGATCAAAAATCTAAAAAGAAATTCATTCCACTAAAAATGGGTAGATTTTAACCTGTTGGAAATATTACGTATTTATATTTTTATAAATTAAGGTCTAAAGCATGTCTGATAAGTGGTCCTCCAGGAATAGGAAAGACTTCAATGGTTAGATTAGTTGCTGAAGCTTTAGGATTGAAATTAATAGTAAACAATGCTTCTGACAAGAGAAATAAAGGAAGTTTGAGATCTGTATTAAATGATTTGGTTGACAACAGTGTGCTTATGAATCTATTTAGACCAAACAAGGACTTTTTAATTGTAATGGATGAAGTAGATGGAATGACTGGATCAGATAGAGGAGGAATATCTGCTTTAATAGAGTGTATAAAATCGACTAGAGTTCCTATTGTTTGTATTTGCAATGATATTGATAACCCGAAATTGAAATCGTTATTAACTCATTGCTATAGTATTAAATTTTAAAAACCAGAAGCCAAATCTGTGGCAAAAAGATTAAAATATATTTGTGAAGAAGAAAATATCAATATGAGTTTTGAAGATTTAGAGAAATTATCAATATGTTTTGATTGTGATATTAGATAAAGTATTAATATGCTGGAACTTTAAAAATTTCAATCAAATACAAAGTTGTTTTAGCCTTATGGATTCAAAAAAGATAAAGTTTGTGTTTTTAATACATTTAATGCCGCAGTAAGTTTACTTAATAGAGATCAAAGAAAATAGATGTCACTTAGAGATATGCTAGATATGTTTTTCTTAGATTATGATTTAATCCCTCTTATCATTTAAGATAGCTACATTTTATCTAATCATAAGGATATTAACGATATTGCAAAGGCAGCTGAATTAATTGCTGAAGGAGATATTATTTCCAAGAAAATAAGAAAAGAATAACAATGGTCTTTGATGCCTTCTTTTGGATTCTTATCAAGCGTTTATCCTTCCACTATTGTGGGTGAATAAATGGATTTTCCTAAATTTCCCTCATGGTTGGGAAAGAATTCAACTGCAAATAAAATCAAAAGAGAAAGACATCAAATAAAAAATAGACTGGCTCCCATAACTTACTTAACATCAGATATCAAATTATATTCTAAATATTTATTCTAATTAATAAAATAATTATTAGAATTAAAAGTAATTAGAAATGATAGAGATGCTGTTTGGAATGTAGTTTAAATTATGGAAGAATATCGAATCACTCCAGATTTATTGAAAGAGGATCTCCATGACTAGATATTTAATCCAGTAAAGGATAATTTATTAAATACTGTTAATGCTCAAATTAAAACACAATTAACAAAAATGTATAATAAAAGACATTTGATTTAGAAGGAAAAAGCATCTAAAAAGAAATTAGCCAATCCTGAAAGATATATAGTATGTATTTAATCTTATTTTAGAGTGAAAATTATAATCCATTAATTGGAGAAGAAGCTCCTTTAGTTGAACAGTCCTAAAAAGAAATCGAAGAGGAAGAAGATAAAAAGGAAGAAAAGAAACAAGAACAAATGGCATAAGGAACAAAATCTAAGAAAATCAATAAACGAACAAAGAAATAAAGTAAAAAAGAGACTAAAATATTAAAATTAGTTGAAGACAGATCTATTGATGAGGATTCTTAAGAATCCTTAAATAATTTTATTATTGATGATGAAGAAGATGAATGAATATTTTATCATATGTTAACTTGGAAAAGCAAATTATATTAAAAAAGTTCTTAACCTTCCAAATTTTGTAAATACCAGTATCTAATAATAAATTGTTGTAAATAATTTTGCCATATATATATTTTATATTTTTTATGCAATAAGAGAAAGGAAGAGTTTATTATGGAAGATTTGTCCAAAAGGAGAAATTAAGTTAAGGTATAATTATGGTTGATAAAAAGGATCTTTTGGAGTTGTTTATATTTGTCATGATAAAGTTACAAGAGATTATGTTGCCATCAAAGTTGAAAAAGAAAACAGTGATGTAATGAGTTTGGAGAGAGAAATATAAATTATTGAAGAGTTAAGAGGGATTGTTGGTAACTATTTATTGTTAATCTTAAGGAGTTCCAAAACTATTTTGGTACGGAAATGAATATAATTCAAATTGTATGGCTATGCAATTACTTGGAAAAGACTTATCACATTTTTTAAAAAGATATAAAAAACTGTCATTAAAAACCATTTGTAACTTGGCAGAACAATTACTAACAATCATAGAAGAAGTTCATAAAAGGTATAATTATTCCATTATAAAAGAGGTGTTATACATAGAGACATTAAACCTGAAAATATATTAATGGGAAGAGGAACTGATTCTCAATAAGTCTATTTAGTTGATTATGGTATATCTAAAAAATACCGTAATAATGGTTAGCATATGTAAATAAAACTCATTGATATTTTAGACAATTTTAAGAAAACAAGCCATTTATGGGAACAACACGTTACGCTAGTATTTCAGCTCATAAAGGTTATGAATTATCAAGAAGAGATGATTTAGAAAGTCTTGGATATGTGTTCATATACTTATTAAAAGGTATCTCTTTGAATTCATTCTAGGAAATTTACCCTGGTAAAATATTACATCCTCCTCAGACAGAGAAAAAACAAGGTTAGTTGGCAAATTGAAGATGGAATTAGAAATGAAAGAGCTGTGTAAAGGACTTCCAACAGAATTTTAAAGATACATGGATTATGTATAGAAATTGAAATTCGCAGCTTCCCCAGATTACAAATACTTATTTAGTTTATTCTAAAAAATAGCCTAATAAAATGGAATCAATTTTGATAGAAAATTTGATTGGAATGATAATTAAACTAGCTCTACTAAATCTTCTGATTAAGCTTAACAATCTTTTAATGATATTGATGTTTCAAATTTATAAGGGGATTATCTTAAAGTACCTGATATAAAAAAAAGTGAAAAAAGGAAATCTTTTTAAACCATAGAATAATATAGTTCTTAATAATCATCTGTTGTCTTAAATTATGTGCCTTCAGTTGTATCTAAAATAAATAGTAGACTAAAAGACAGTCATTATTAAAGATCTCGACAAAATTCAAAAAAGTCTCTATCTAGAGAATCTTCATTAATTCGAAAACCCCTTGGTCAAAGATTATAAGGTTAGATATTTTTTAATGGTGAATTCAGAGATTTGGAAGATAGAGAAAAGAGTAATAATGATATTTTAAAAAATTAAAAATAAAATAAGTTCAATAAAGTAAGCAATTTTGATGACTTTGATGATTTTGATGAACAGTTAAATGATGAGGTTGGAATCTAAACAAGTCTAAAAAAGGTAGGTGTTATACAAGTTCACTTTAAAGAACACCTATCGAAGTAATGAAAATTTTGTATTTTATTATTTCAAATACTATGAAATTCTATATTTGTAAAAGTCAAAATGATTGTCTGTTGTTTAAAAATAATTTTCTCTTCTTTATTTTTGTTTCAAAATAGAAATAGTTTAAAAGCAATTGAATTTAAATACATATATAATATTGAAGATTAGCTGTTAAAATTTAGTTTGTCTAAGAATTATTTAATATTANGCAGAACAATTACTAACAATCATAGAAGAAGTTCATAAAAGGTATAATTATTCCATTATAAAAGAGGTGTTATACATAGAGACATTAAACCTGAAAATATATTAATGGGAAGAGGAACTGATTCTCAATAAGTCTATTTAGTTGATTATGGTATATCTAAAAAATACCGTAATAATGGTTAGCATATGTAAATAAAACTCATTGATATTTTAGACAATTTTAAGAAAACAAGCCATTTATGGGAACAACACGTTACGCTAGTATTTCAGCTCATAAAGGTTATGAATTATCAAGAAGAGATGATTTAGAAAGTCTTGGATATGTGTTCATATACTTATTAAAAGGTATCTCTTTGAATTCATTCTAGGAAATTTACCCTGGTAAAATATTACATCCTCCTCAGACAGAGAAAAAACAAGGTTAGTTGGCAAATTGAAGATGGAATTAGAAATGAAAGAGCTGTGTAAAGGACTTCCAACAGAATTTTAAAGATACATGGATTATGTATAGAAATTGAAATTCGCAGCTTCCCCAGATTACAAATACTTATTTAGTTTATTCTAAAAAATAGCCTAATAAAATGGAATCAATTTTGATAGAAAATTTGATTGGAATGATAATTAAACTAGCTCTACTAAATCTTCTGATTAAGCTTAACAATCTTTTAATGATATTGATGTTTCAAATTTATAAGGGGATTATCTTAAAGTACCTGATATAAAAAAAAGTGAAAAAAGGAAATCTTTTTAAACCATAGAATAATATAGTTCTTAATAATCATCTGTTGTCTTAAATTATGTGCCTTCAGTTGTATCTAAAATAAATAGTAGACTAAAAGACAGTCATTATTAAAGATCTCGACAAAATTCAAAAAAGTCTCTATCTAGAGAATCTTCATTAATTCGAAAACCCCTTGGTCAAAGATTATAAGGTTAGATATTTTTTAATGGTGAATTCAGAGATTTGGAAGATAGAGAAAAGAGTAATAATGATATTTTAAAAAATTAAAAATAAAATAAGTTCAATAAAGTAAGCAATTTTGATGACTTTGATGATTTTGATGAACAGTTAAATGATGAGGTTGGAATCTAAACAAGTCTAAAAAAGGTAGGTGTTATACAAGTTCACTTTAAAGAACACCTATCGAAGTAATGAAAATTTTGTATTTTATTATTTCAAATACTATGAAATTCTATATTTGTAAAAGTCAAAATGATTGTCTGTTGTTTAAAAATAATTTTCTCTTCTTTATTTTTGTTTCAAAATAGAAATAGTTTAAAAGCAATTGAATTTAAATACATATATAATATTGAAGATTAGCTGTTAAAATTTAGTTTGTCTAAGAATTATTTAATATTATATATAGCCTTTAAATTTCAAAAAACTAATATTAATTAGTTGATATATATATATGAATAACGACAATTTAGATTAAATAATTTAATTTATCATAGGGTTGTGTTATAATAGTTATAGAAAACAGTAAAAAATAGTATTATTATTAATTTTAATAATAAGGAGAATGAATAGGAAATTTGAGAATCTTAAAGTTCAAACCAAGTTTGATTTTGAGTCAATCATTTCCTAACTTGATAACGAATCGCATCTTACCTTAATATATACAAAAAAGTTTTCAGGGATAAAGAATCTTGAATAATATGAGAGTCTTGATGATGAATATGAAACACCTAAAGATTCCTATAACTCCATTAATGAAGACCTTATTACTAACAAATAGAGCAATAAAGAATTATGATTGAGCTACTTACATATATTAGTTTATTACTCAAATTTCATTCGTTTTTATCGAAATATTTTAGTTTTGATCTTTTTAAATTATCACCGTTTTGATCTAAATTAAACCATTAAATCTAGCAATACTATCGAATAAGGATTATAGAATTTTTATAATTACAGCTCAGGAAATAGTTATAGAGAATAGTTCAATAAACAATAAAAAAAATAAAAATTATAATGAATGCGTCAAAATAATATTCAGAATAAAGATAAAGTACTTGGCAGTTAGTAAAATGAAAGAGAGAAAAAAATAAAGTTGTAATAAATTGGATTCTGTTAATTAATTTTTTATAATAATGTATTGTATAGTTTAAAATATATAATGGATTAGTTGAAATGTCGAAATTAAGTTATTATAACATTAAAATTTGATATAGTGTCGTATTTAAATAATTTTATTAATGGAATATTTGATAATTTGTCGTATTTGCAATGAAAGCATCAACATTAATTTAATGGATATTCATAATTAAACTTGTAGGCTTAATGCTGAATAAAGAAAGAAATTGATTTAACTTAACTTATAAGTTGCTCGTTTGTGTGAAAAAGCTTATATGAAGAAACATTAAATTCATTTGAGACAAGGATTAAAATTGTAAATGTTTGAAATATAGTGAATATAGCATGAAAGAATTGAGACTGCGTAAAAATGAAGGTATTTAATGTTGTGAAGATACGCGACAGGTTTATTAAGAATATAGAATATTATTACTATTGATAAGTTATGGGGAGAAAGTGGTGAATCAAGAGTTAGATGCGAAATGTATAAAATAGATATATTGTAGATCATTTGATTACCTAAAATGAGATAATGGCAGCCCAAATGAGTATAGAGGATTAAAGTACTCTTGATTTAATTGAATAAATGAATAGTTTAATCAATTAAAGGTTAGATTATTGTTTTAAATGTAAAATATGACTTTGTATTCGATAGTAAAGATATAAAATTTTGGCAGTATATCATTCAGAGTAAGTAAGTTTAGCAAGGATAGCCCTAGTTCTGTTCGAGATTCTCATAGGTTGAATTCCTTTTCGGATTATATCAGTTTGAAGTAAGTAAAATAATGACACATTTCAGTCTAACCGAAGAAACAAATGAATCAGAAAAAAGAACACGATCAAGACCTTCTACTCCTGCAAGATCATCGGTTTCAATCATGGGGAATCTAAAAAAGAGTGGAAAAATAAGCTAGTTTCTTTAAAGATAGTAGTCTGCTCAAACCATTAAGAATTAAGACGAATCTGAATAAGATAAACTCAGTCATTTTCAGACAAAGAAGAAAAGTTGTTTTGCATAGACAGCAAGTTCTGAAAGTGAATTAGACATAAGCATTGAAAATTCAGATTAATAGATGAAAACAATTGAGTCAACCGAACAAATCTTATTTGAATAAGATTGCTTTTTCGCCTCCTAAAAAGGGTATTTTTCTGATAGTGAAATAATAAAATTGGATGCTGAAAATAGAAATTAGGAAAGGAATATATGTTTAAAAGATTTTTAATTCATAAGATAGATAGGATAAGGTGCTTATGGTGGAGTATTTTTGGTTAAAAGAATAGCAACTGGTGATCATTATGCATTGAAAATAATAAACTGTTCGAATCGACCTTTTGAAAGACTGCTAACTTAATTGAAACAAGAAAGAAATATATTTGAAATATTAACAGGCGAATATGTTGTCAAAGCATTCTATTCATTTTAACATTAATCATCTTTATGTTTCGTATAAGAATATATGGTTGGTGGAGATTTCGCTAAAATATTGATGATTGAAGGAGTAAAGATTTATAATTAGTTAGGCATTTGATGAAAATATAGCTAGGCATTATTTTGCTGAAATTCTATTAGCATTAGAATATCTGCATAGTAACAATATAGTTCATAGAGATTTAAAGCCAGAAAATATTTTATTGGATTAGAATGGCCACATTAAATTGGCTGATTTTGGCTTAAGTGAACTAGGATTCAATAAAATGATGGTCAAAAGAAAAGCCAGCTAGAGAGATATCGTTAAATAAGATCTATCTTCCTCTCCTGGATATATCATTCAAAGAGGAGCCTCATTCAAAAAGTCTAGATCTAATAATAGTCAATATGATAAAGGATCTGAAGAGGAGAGAAGAAGAATTGTAGGAACTCCAGATTATATTGCTCCTGAAATAATTAAGGGAGTTTCCTCATCCAATAAAACACTTGATTATTGGTCTCTAGGAGTAATACTCTTTGAATTTTTAGTTGGAATTCCTCCTTTTAATGATGAATCAGTAGATAAAATATTTTCTAATATTTTGGAAGGTAAGATAGAGTGGCCAGATATTGGAGATGATCCAGAATCTTAAATTTCAGAATGTGTTTATGATCTATTGAAATAATTGCTGAACCCTGATTTCAATTAAAGGATTGGTCATGAATCAATTGATTAAATTAAAAAGCATCCGTTTTTGCATTCAATTAATTGGAATACATTGAGAAATAAACCAGGACCAATTATTCCAAGAATTCCATAAGCACAACAATAATAATTCGAAAATGTTTAGGAAAAGCTTCAAAAATTCCTTTAAAGAGGTGAAAAGAAACATTCTTAAATCGTCAAAAAGTTATAAGATGAATTAGAGTATTTAGAGAGAGTCGATTTGTTGATTGCCACAAATGAAAAAGAAGTACTACAAATAAAATAGCAATTCAACTTATGAGACTCATTTTTCAAAAACTAATATTTAATATATATATAATAATGTTCAATCGTAAAAATTCCAATTTATTATTCCTTCCCATGCCCAAACCAATCAAAGATAAAACTCCTGACTTTATGGAAATAAGAACAGCTAGAAATCAATCAATCGAAAAATAACTTAGGCAAATTAAACAAAAAATACCACCTATTTAAACAGATCGCCATTATTCTAGTACTCAAGATTTGTTAACGAAGGTTAAAGAATAAGTCCTATACAAAACAAGTTTATTAAGTAGGAACTCATCGAATGCGACTTTAATTTCTTAACCTAAAATGGCAGAGCAAAAACACCAATAATAATAATAGATGCAAGAAAGAAGAAACGAAGTTGATTTTGTGTTAAAGAAACTTTTGAATGCTCAAACTATTGTAAATGATGAACCTTAATAAATGACAGAACCAAGAATTTACAATCCTTATTTTCGTTCCCCATCAGTATTACCTTGTCATCTAAAGGATACATATTTCGATCCCGACAAGTACCAAAATTTTTATGATAAACTTAATAAAAACAACTTAAAAGTTAATCATCAGGTTAGAACAGCCATACTCAATTATAGAAAATAAATGTTATCCAAATAGTAAAGAATACCTAACTTTCTTAAATTAGTCTAATGAACAATTTCTCATTTTTATTACTATATATTTAAACGAATATTGTATATTAATTTTAATTATTTAAGTATAATTTATTTTTAACTTAAGAAAACTAGCATTTAATCTCTTTTAATATTGCAATGCCTTCCAATAATATTATTTCTTATTTGATTTCTAATCACTCATTGATCATTCATTATATCTCGATATCGTTATTAGTATAGTTATCATCATTTTCTGAAAAATTGCTGTGAGAAGAAAAAGATTATTTCTTTTGCAAAAGCCTAAAGTAAAAAGTAATTAATGAATTTTCAAATCAAAGTAGGGTTATCATTTATACTTTAAAAACCTATAATTTACTAAAAAATTTGAAAAATTTAATAATAGGTTAATAAGATTTTTGTAATTATTTTTTGATTTTGATGTCATTAAATTGAAAACAAATGAATTAAATGTTAACACTAAATACATTATTGATTTCAATTACACTTATAAGATTATTGAATCTGTGTTATCATATTATAATATTATATTTTGTTTTCACAATTGTAATCAATTTATTTCTGTATCAAGATTTAATTGTTTTCATTGCACTTTTAATTGCACTTTTAATGATAAAATAACATAAATAATGAAGTAAGAAGATATTTAATTGATATTTTTGAATAAATATTTTAGTTTATGATTAATTCATTAAAACTCAGATCTAAAGATATCAAGTGCCCAAAACACAATAATGAAATAACAAGCTTGTGCATAACAGAGAAATTCTCAATGAAAAATCGAGTGTTATGCGAGATTTGTAAAAAAGATAAATCCACTTACCCTAATTGGACACCTCTTGAAGATATTGAAGAATTAGTTAAAAATATTGCAGAATGTGAGAAAATAACAAAATCAAATGTTATCAAGGTGATTTCAATATTGAAAAAGGATATCATACAAGACTTGGAATAATTAGAATAAAAAGTCATAGAAATTCAAGATAAATTTGATCATACAAGGTTGATCAAAAAGATAATGAATTAAAATTAGATTATACTTTGCGATTTATAAGATTTATCAGAAAATCTAAGTTATTTAACTCTATACTCTTAATTCAAAAATATAAATAAATCCCAACTCCAAAGTGAGTAATTTCAACCAATTTTCACTTAATTGGCATCAACAAGATAATAAATAAAATAGATTTACGAACGTGTACTATAGATAGAGGCAGAAGTATATAATAAAATATTAATTAATTAGGAAAACACTGTTCCAGATTATAAATTATTATTTAAATCAACTCCAGTTATAATCCCAGCACATGATTTTGCAATAAATTCAGTAGTGATAACTCCTGATTGTACTAAAGTCATAACCGCAAGTAGTGAAGGTAAGTTGAAAATTTGGGACGCTTTAACTCATATAGAAATATGTTAGATAAGCGATAATTTCGATTATGCTTTTTGTGTTGATATTTCAGATGATGGTTAACACATTGCGGCTTGTGGGTCAAATGATTACATTATTAGGATTTGGGATATAAATGATACAAAGGAGCCTATATTCAGATTAAAATATCATACTAAAACTGTTGAAAGAATCAAATTTGTACCATAATCTTCATAATTGATATCAATTAGCTAAGATCATTAAGTAATTATTTGGCATGAAACTAAACCTGAACCATCGCGTATTTTGAAACATCACAAAAGTTCAGTCAAAGGAATAGCAATTTCCAATAATTGTAAATTGATGGCTACATCTGCTCTAGATAAACAACTCATTATTTGGAATATCTAAAACAATTTTTCAATTGTTCATTAAGTACAACCTCACAAAACTACGTGCAATTGCATACAATTCTCAAAAGATTTAAAATATATGGTTACAGGAGGAGAAGATGGAATTGTAAAATTATGGAAAGTGTAAAACTGGGAACCCATATTAGAATTCATAGGACATACATCATTTGTTTGGAATGTTTAATTCTCTAATCATAATAACCTAATCATATCGTCTTCTACCAAAGATATTAGAATTTGGAATATAACATCCGAATAATAATAACAAATCTTTAGCATTTAACAAGATTATTATCCTAATTTTTATCTGTCTAATAACCATCAGTTATTATGTACAGGATAATAAAATGGTGAACTATTTTTATGGAAATCTGCCCAAAATTGATTTGAGAAATATTAAAGAATTTATAAAAATTATTAAAGAATTATGATTTATATTTTCTCTTATCGAGAATGCAATTAATAAAATAAAAAAATATAGCAGAGAGTGGTTTCGATCCACCGACCTTTGAGTTATGAGCCCAACGCGATTCCACTTCGCCACCCTGCTTATGTTAATAAATTACTCTTTATTTTCTTTATATATGTAATTTACAATACAAGTGACTCAACATATTTCTAAAAATATCTATTCTCTAATATTATTTATAATAAATTATTAGTTTTATTGTTACTTTAAAGAATATTTATTATAGCAAATACTTAAGAATGAAAACCCTCTCATTCATATATTATTTGAATAAGAATTTATTTAAGATAATTTAAAAGTTGAAAACTTAACTCATATTTTCATAGTTTTAGCTTTGAACTCTCTTTATACATATGGATTTGAAACATTATACACTGTCTTAGGAGATTATGCTCTCTACTTCATAGGTTTAAATTGAGAATTTGGATATTTACCTGATTAAGATTTCTATCCTGAGTAAATGTTCCCTTTATATGGAGTGGTTTAAACTCTAGGGGCTTTCAACTAATTTGGGGCTGTTTGAGGTCTACTGGAACCAGTAAATCCATTTTAATTTTATTATTGCTACTTTTAAAAAAACTGATCTCTAGAATTCATGAAATTATTTTGTTAAACTCTTTGTTATTCTACATTATTTCAAATAATTTACGTATTTGTTATACTGATGAAGGCCTTTGAGGTTAAATGGGAGATGTGTACAAGGGACTTTATTTTAGTTGATGAGGTTAATTTAGTTTCTGAGCTTATTAATCATAAATATTGTAATTCTATTCGTAATTTATTTTTATTATTGTTCCTTCTAAAACTTTGGATCAATTTATTTCGAAGAACCAGAAACTTTTATGATGGGTTTAATAACTTTAAATACAGTTTACTTTTTGAGAATATTATTTTATCATAAGGAGGAATTTACATTGTAATTTTATCAGCAAATTTCAATCTAGTTAAATTAAATAAATAACTTGAATTCTTTTGGCTTGGAATCAAGATCCTTAAATTCTGCTACTCCCGAAGTCTAAGAAATTAGATAAGTGTTCCTTAATAACATTTCATCATTCTCTCCCTAGGAGTATAATTCATCCCAATTACAAGCTTTTGCTCCATATCCTTATTTCTACAATCTAGTTTCTATTAATAATAGTTGATTAAAAAAATGAGCTTTCTTCTCTAGATCTGGTCTTCGATTATGCATAAATTGTAATGTCTTATAAGAGTCCATCTATATTTTTTCATTAAATAAACACATAAAACTGAAACAGATCTATTTTGTCCTTTTGCTGAAAGCATAATCACGCTTTCCACATTAATCAAAGCATCATCAATGAATCTTATTGCGATGTTTGTACTCTCATCTGATTAAAAAATTATCTAGATATAATCAGATATACTTATTGGTCATTATCTATCCAAGGAAAGGAAATATATATAATCCCTATAGATTCCCAGTGATTAGGTATTTATTTTGATGCCCAATTTATTATACTGGAAATTTTATTGGTGACAATAAATTCTAAATCCTGATAAAATTGAAACTGTATACCTAAGATGCAAATTGATCCACTAAGAATATACCATCCTCCACCTTTATCACTCCGATATAATCATAATTCATTTAACTTTTCCTTTAAATTGATAAAATAATATATATATATCAAATTAAATGAAAATTTTAATTCCAATTTATCAAACTCTTTCAAAATTTATATTACATTCAAATTAACTTTATTTTAATACAAACAAGATCTTGCCATTCAAAACGAATTTCCTAAATCAATAATTAATATCAATTTGACTTAGTGAAAACCAGATTGATTTTCTTGTATTATTTTACTATTGTAAATAGAAATTACTTTAATTTTAAAATAATGACTGAAAATTTACAAATAAATTTAATTATGAAATGGATGTACTAGCCAGTCTCTATTTTAGCCACTTATATCTATAAATACTAAATGATGATCAAGAGATGAAAATACATTTTTAATAATTACAGATTAGATTTTCTGAATTAATAATTTAAGGCTTAATAATATCTCTCATTAAATCTATATCTAACATTCATTAAGGATATTTAACATAGATTTAGAAAAAGAAAAACTAAAATTTATTAAATTAAACATGATATTAATTAATGAAATTATTTCATCCCAGTATTATAGCTTTGATTTTTAATGATAAATAACAAGAATCATCTATTTAGTTGATCAAAATATTCAATAAATAAAAATTGAGAAAGATGATACAAATTAAGTGTTCATAATATGATTTCTATTTAATCATATAAATTTTATTAAGATTCATCAATTTCTTTCTTTTGATCTCTTGAGTTATTCTAGTCTGTTTCGTCAAGTTCTATAAAGTTCTCTCTCTATGTCAACAATTTAGATTTATGTAATTCATAATCTAATTCTGGTTAGACAGAGGGTATTTAAGTCCACAATCCCTTTTCAATCCAATTCATAATAGTTGATGATGAAATGTTGTATTGCTATGCCATAGTTTAGATTCTTAATTTAGAGGGCTTAGGTCCTAGTTACTTTAGGACCATAACTTTCTGATCAAATGATAAGTGTTTCTTTTTGATTCCTCCATTTCTATGATAATGTTATTTTTTCATTAATTATTATTATAAAACTAAATTTTGGTAACCAAATTTTCTAGAAATAAAGAAAAAAATTGGGATGAAAAAATAGATAATGATATATTGATTAATGATATATTGAATAATTCATGATTTTGGATCATACTTGTTTTGCAATTTCTTTAATAGATCATCAACATTAGATGCTTGATCTTATTATTTTGGTACTTCTTAAAATTCCTATTAATAAATATAGAATTTAACCTTTTCATTTATTCCAGATATAACCATTTATTGAACTTGATCTTCAGCCTTCTTAGCCCTAGCTTTGAATGATTCAGCTTCTTCCTTATATTTATTCATTTTTGCTTTCATTTATTCAATTTAGTTGCTCTAATGGCAATAAATTCAATTATATACTTATGATTCAAGTTCTCTAATTTTTTTCTCTAATTCTATATTCTTTTGTAATTGTTATTCATATTGCTATTTCATGAATGCATATCTCTCATCCTATAACTTTAACTTATGTTGCATTGATTAAATTTCTTAACTGGCTTATCCAGATTTTTTCATTAACTCGATAGTTGATAAATGCTCATTAATTTCCTGTGATTTCTTTTAGTTTTCAATTTCTAAGGCTTAAATTTTGGAATCTTTTTCCTTCATTTTGTTATTCAAAGCTTCAACTAACTTAGTATTGGTGTTATCTCCTTGTAAGAAGTCTTTGACAATGATCTAATATTTATAAATATGTATACAGAATCTGGTCTAGAAAAACTATAGATTTGATCATTAGTAAAAGCCAACTTACCATCTTTTTGTAAGCTCTCAATTTCAGGATTCTTAATTATCTTTTTCTCTTGTTAGACTGTCAAAGAGGTTGGAATTTTAACATGTTATGTATTTTCTAATAATAATAATGATTATTACACACAATCCATTAATGTTCCTTTATTTACTAACATGTAAATCTTTTTCCAGGTTCCTTAACTAAGATCTTTTTAATGAGATCTTATGCTTATGGTGGGAATGTAGGAGGAAACTAAAATCTCAAATTTACAATATTATCTTTGGTTGTTTTCTCAACAAAGGTCTGATTATTGATATTAATTTGTGGAGCAAATGGACTAAGACCAGTTAATAATTCAAAACAGAGTACACCAACAGCCCAAATATCTACTTGATGATCGTGCTGTCTAGATTTTTCTAACATTTCTGGAGCCAAATAGTCTAAGGTACCACAAAATGTTTATCTGATTTCATTAGGCTTCAAGAAGTTAGACCAACCAAAGTCAGCTAATTTGATATCTTATTTTTCATCTAACAATAGATTTTCTGGTTTAATATCTCTATGAACAATATTTTTGGAATGAATATTTTCTAAAGCAAGACATGCTTAAAGTATAAATTTTGCCGATGTTTTTTCATCAAACTTTTTTTATGGCTATCTCCACAAGACTGCATATAATTACCCCTAAGATTAATTTTAAGAATTACTCCTCCAACAAATTCTAAAATCAAATAAACATTTATGTCATCTTCAAAATGGTTGTACAACTTCAATATATATGGATGATTGAGTGAATACATGATTTTCACTTCATTCTACATTTATTCAACCATATTAGTTTTCTTAAGCATTGCCTTTTCCACTATTTTGATCGCATATACTATGTTTGTTTTTTTGTGAGTTACTTTCTTTACAACACCGAATGCCCCTATTCAAATATCTTAAATAACTGTACCCTAACCAAGGATTTTTAACTCTTCGAAATCTTCTCTCTTCGATTCAGGTTCCCAACCTGCCTAGACTGTTGGAGACAAAAAGAATAATCTCTCTCTCACTTTATTAAGAACAGGTGATGCCATTTATATAATAATTATAAACTTATTAATTTTTAATGTTTCATTTCAATAAATCTAATGATTGTATGGAATCACCATATAGGAATATAAGCAAATTAAATAAAATTAATATTATGAATAAATTTAACAGAGAAGAATTTCTATTCTTAGCTAAAATTGCCTAATAAACTGAAAGATTCAATGATATGATTGAATTCATTAAACATTTCCTTGATTAAGAACTTAATAAAGAAGAGAGAAGTATATTATCAGCTGCGTACAAAAATGTGGTATTCAAATTTATTACTCTATCTAAGGTTGGTAACAAAAGAGCTGAATTAAGAGTTTTGACTGCTATTGAATAAAAAGAATCCAGAAAATAAACAGATCAATACACTCTTAATTATATAAGAAATTACAAACATAAAATTGAAGGAGAACTGAAAAATTCTTGTGCTGAAATTTTGAATTTAATTGATACCACCTTACATCCTAATTCCAAGTAAGTTGATAGTAAAGTTTTCTATTTGAAAATGAAAGGTGATTATAACAGATATCTTGCTGAATTTTTATTAGATAATGAATATCATGCAGCCGTTGATTAAGCAACTCAAGCCTATAAGTAATACTTTCATAAATTATTAGAGATGCTGATGTTTTGGCCAAGTCCAATTTGTCTACTACTTCTCCTATCAGATTAGGTTTACATTTAAACTAATCTGTATTTTATTATGAAATTTTACAAAATGCAGCAGAAGCTATAAGAATTGCTAATGATGCCTTTGAATAAGCTATTGCATAGGTGGACTCTGTAAATGAAGAAAACTATAAGGATTGCACACTAATCATGTAATTATTAAGAGACAATCTGACATTATGGAATAATCCAGAGGAGGAAGCTAATGATGATTAATGATTTTAAATTAATGTCAACTTCTAAATAACTTAGCTACAATTTACTCTTTAATGAATAGAATTTGTTTATTATAAACAACTACATAGATATATCAGTTTCTTGAAAATCAATTAAATGATTTTATAAATAATTGATATAAGACATTTAAATAAACTAAATTTCCCTTTAAGTTTAAATCTTATCTTCTTATTAATCTTTTATCATTAAATCCTCTTTAATAGTATACATATCAAAAAGGCTAAACTACATTAATATAGTATAATCAAAGGGTGTCAGCATCATAGATATAATAATTATTCCTGATTTTTGAAATGTGATATCTGACTAAAACTATTATTGAGTAAAATGAAAATAATATTATTAATAATTTTTAGTTTAATTCACTAAACTATAAAAATATAATAGATGATTAACAATTAAAATATTATCACTTTTAATTCACAATTTTGAATCCGCATCTTTTTAATGGCTCCTCATAGAAAGATTCTTCTGTTGAATAAGATATGGGTCTGATATTAAAATAATCCAGCTCATTTTATTTCACTCTTTCTTGGGATAACCATTTCTAATCACATTCTGTTACAAAGTATGTATATTCAAACATTAAATCCTTTTCTTCATCATATATAAAGAATCCTTAGACTAAAAGAGATGCAGTAAATTGATCTCCATTATAATTCATATATTGTCTTTTGATTGGTTATTGGCCAACAATCCCTTTAAATGTCTTATAAAATACATTCAATTATTAATCATTTTAATCATAAAATGCACTAATAGGGATTAGCTGGGTTTCATTACAATAATGAAAGAGCATCTCTTCTGATATAGCCAAAATCCTTAGTAATTCTAGATTAAAAATCTTTTAAAATGTTTTCCATATGCCATCTTTATAAATATTCACATAAACTGCATAAGGCTTTCCTTAAATCTTTTATTCAAAATCTACCATTTCCGATATTTTGGATGGTACGAATTTAGTTGGGTCTAGGTTTCTGTTATTATATTGCATGAATGCTTAAGCTAATTTCTGGTTTCTATCTTTAAATATAGAATACAAAACTTCTGGCGGAGTTATGGGCCTATCTATTTAATCTAAAGTTAGTATTATGAGATTTTTCCTTTTATCGATTCTGGCAATTTTGTAATTGTTGGAATGAGGATCAACAAAGAGCGAACCTAATGAGTGATCCTTATTGATATTTAAGGAAAATTGAATGTTGGTTTTTAATCTAAAAACATTATTATTTGGGATAGTTGTCGGAATATTTTAAACAATCAGCAAAGAATCATTTTTTTATTTAGCATTCTATGTATCATCGTCAAACTTATATGGTATAGTATATTAATTCTTTCTTTTGTTTTTCTTAATTCGTTTTTTCAAGAGTTATCTCCATTCCTCCCTTATGCTTGAGATATTTCGAATGATCAAAGACATATCTCGAATAAAAGAACTTAATTAATTCCTAAAATACTACAACCGAATCTGTGGTTAAATATATATAAATATTCAATAGGTTCATTACGTCAATAACTTTAAATGAATATGTTGCTCAATATTCCATGCGAATCATTGATCCAAATTGTTTCTACACTTTCGTAATATCCATTTACTTGTATATGCCATATATAATATTCAAGAAAGAGAAATGTAAGGTTCAGATACAAATAATTATAATTTAGTAAAGTGGGAGTTCTCAAACTACTATCAACACTTCTTTATATATAATAAACTGAAATTAAAATAAATTCAAATATGTTACGAAGTTGATCATTTAAAAAGCGTGATTACAATATATTTGTGAATAATAAATACAATAATAATTTATAATTAAATATGCAAAATCATTTGTAAAACCGCATTTATTCTTAATTATTCATTACTCATTACTTTAAATCTATATATTTTGTAATATCAATCATTATTATTTTATTCTTGTATCACAATCCTTCAACCTTAAAGTTGTATAACTTAAGCTTTTCTAGTTGGACTATTAAAACCTTCTGGTTTTAATTCCAACCATTTATTTACATTTATTAAGGTTCTTCATTTTGAAAGGATATGTTTTTGTGACTCTTTCGCATTCTCAAAATTTTATCAAATTTATGATCTTATTAAATTAAGTATTGTCATTATCATTTTATCATATTTTTGGATTCTGCATGCAGCAGAACTAAAATTTATTTATTTCCAATTAAATTGCATTCAAACTTTTATAAAATCATTGCGATTAGGTAAGTTTTTCAAAATAATGTTGAGTTTTTTCAGTTTACTCACCAGCTTCCTCAGCTTATGAATCTAAAAATAAATATTTTCAAATAATTCTAAATTAAATGTTTTAATAATGTGACAATTAGGATTATGAATAACATTTTTATTACAGGTTTCTTTGTCAATGTTGCTAGTAGATATATTTCGTTTTAATTTCTTTTTTGAATAGTATTAATAATATACAAATTAAAAATCATCTGCAAATCATACCCCTCTTTAGAATAATTTTTATTAATATCAAATTATCACTATAACTAATTGAACTTTATCTTGAAAAGGTTTAAAAATAAAAAATTAATTATTTCATTTGATTGCAATGTAAATAAAATATAATTCGAACAAATTTAATTTTTTTATATATATAATCATTTATAATTTAATTTAAAGCTTAATAATTCAGCAGCTTGCATTGTTAATCTGGTCAATTTTTGATATTTTTCTTTGGTTGTATTTAGTTTATCTGATTATTATTATTAACTATTATAAGTACATGATTTTAAGGCTCGATCTCTCCATGATTCCAAGATTTCCATTAAAGGATCATGTTTTATTTGTTCTACTTCCTTTTTCATTTCTTCCTATAGTTCTATCAATTTTTATTGACCAACCATAATTTCCCTTCGTTAATTCTCAATGAATTCTTAGTCTTTTAAGTTCTTTTGATAATGATCAATTTCATGATGAAGTTAAAAGTTTTCTTATTCCAAATCTAATATTCTTGTTTACATTGAATTGTGCTCTTATTATTATTGATGGCAAAAATTAGTAATACGTTGCATTTCCAATTAATCTTAATCATACAATTATTTTAATTGCTAAAAATTCTGTTAAATTAAATTCAAATGATATTCAAGTCTCTTACACTCGTTTTATAATCTAACATTTTAATCATTAAGCTATAATTGTACATTTTATTTAAATACCTATTAATTTTATATTAATAACTATTCATTCAAGTTTTACTATTACTTTTAAATCGGCTATTAATAGAGAAATTAATTGGAGTTCTCTTTATAATGTTAAGTTTGACATCTCACTCTTTCAGTATTTATAGTATTTGCAAATGTCTGGCTTTGATTTGTATTCAACACTTAATGATAATACATTTTACTAACTGTTAATATAATAAATTAAAATTATAATTAAGAACTTCTAAAATTTATATATTTCACATCTATATTACTTAGAATCTTCACCAATTATATCTAGGGAGCAATTTCAGATAGCTTAATATGCATGTTATTTGCTTATGAAAACAACATTATAAAGTATTGTATCTTGAGCTCATTAGCCAATAATCAAATTAAATCCAATGATTTAAGTTATATATTGCTAAATTTAAAGAGCTTCTAATTGTTGATGCTATTATATTATGGTGTTATAAAATAAATCTTAATTAAATATATTAATTAATTAATGGGAGCAGCCATTGCAGTAAGAAATAGACATTGGTGGTTTAGAGGTCTTTATGATGACTACATTGGAAGAGAAACAAGACTCTCATTTGGCTTAGCAGCTATTATTTGGATTCCTCATTATGTGTATATGCTTAAGTTAATCATAGCTATGGTGTCTACTTAAACAGAACAATTGAAACTAATACATCACATAAGATTTACTCAATGGAAGTTGGACCATCTAGAAATAGATTGACTCATTCAATGATCTTTGAGTAATTTGAAATGGTTTTGGAAAATTGGGAGGAATTAAATAAAGAATATGCAGAAAAAGGGAAAAAAATGCTTGAAGAATGAAATTGGCCAATATTAATATTATAAATAAATATACAAAACAAAACTTTTATTATGCTTGAAAATAGTTCTAGAATATTTTTTTAAGGAATTTATTTCCTATATTGGTATATGATATGAAAAATAAATATAAAAATGTCTTAACAACAAAGATCTCTCAAATTCATTTTGCAATTTCTAAGTAGACACCATTTAAGAATGCTTACCAAAAAGCGAAGAAGTTGCTTGTTTATTCTATTTAAAAATAAATCAGCAATTTAAAGAAAAAAATTAGTTTCGATTTTTTGTGTAACAAATATGAAAGTCTTTTAAAATTATTTAACTGGATAATGTATATTTTAGACCGATTTATCTAATAAAACATACAGAGTATACTCAAAAAACCTTTGGCTAAATACATATTTTATTATGATTAGATTCAATGATATTATAATTGATAATATAAGGAATTGATAGTGTTTATACTTTAAAATATTTGTTGATTATTTTTCATATCTTTAAATCCTTATTACAATAAATGGCAATCATTTCCTATTAGTTGATATTGCAGATTTATTGTGCTTCTTGTACTCCAGGAGGTATCACATAAATGGAATATATCTCGGTTTAAATGACTCCAGCTCTTTGCTTTTTGGAATACAAATAAAATTGTTACTTTGCTTCTCAAATATTATACGTATTCTGAGAATTTTGGAATATCTGATTCTTAGGCTGGACTAAATATGAGAACAGCAGATTAATCTTGAATAGCTCGTTGGTAGGCATCTTGATAGGAACATAAATAACTCATCTCTAGATTACTAGGTAAATTGACTAAATAATTAGATGCTAATTTACTTTTGTTTCTATCAATGGCAGCACTATACATCCGAGCGTCAATTCCAACTCTATGTTATTTGCCTCTATTCATATATCCACTCCAAAAGGTGGCATTTGAATCTTCAATTTTAGTTGGTTAAGGTGGAGGCATGATCATATCCATGAATTGTTGTTGAGTATAATTTTGATTTAATGGCTATGGAGTTTGTACTTATTAGTAATAAGTGTTCATTGGCTATTATTGATGAGGCCTAAATTATTGTTGGGTTTGTGATTAAGGGGAAAAGGGCAATTGAGACTAAGCTTTAAGGTACATCATTTATTATTGATTTTATTGCTATTGAGGATACATTATCGGCATTTGATTGTAATCTCCATAATGAGACTGTTAGAATTGTTGTTAAGGCAAGGGTTATGTTGGATAAGGTTGCATCATAGGCATTTAGGGCTAGAACTATCTGGACATCATGTGCATAGGCATTTGTTAATTGGGTGTCATATAATCTATAATAGTGAATGATATTGAATACCCATTCCATATGGCATATAGGGATTGGCTTATTTCTTATTCTAGGGATTAGAGGAATAATTTGATAATATTGCTACATCGCATTTCTTATCTCCCAGGATTTGTATCTTGTACCTGCAGAACTTTCTTCTGGCCTTTTTGCAATCTCTAAGTTATGAAAACTCTATAAGAACATAGGATCTTAGTTATGGAGATTAAGGTTGGAAAAGCTGAACTCCTTTGACATCTCCTCCATATTTCTAAGCCATTTTTTTGAGGAACTTCTCATCAATTGTGAAACTTTGATTGGGGGGAAATCCTATAAACATTATAGGTAGCATGTCTTCATCCTGAGTTGTAATATAAATGAATACTTTTTCGGTATCCTCGGCATTGCCTACAATCTGAGTTCTTTTAAAGGGATCTGATGGATATATTTTGACATTTCCTGTACCATCAAGTTGGTCAGTGATAAATTGTTGGTTTTGGATTGCTTAATTGACAGCATCCAGTTTCTTAAATTTGACATATGCAAAGTTTGCTATTTACTTTGGTATTATGTCTATTCTTTCTACTATTCCATAATGAGAGAAGATTCTTTAGATGTCAGATTGGGTTTTAGATTAAGGAATACCAGATATGAATAACTCTCTTACATGCACATTATGTTTAATTTAATATTGCGATTATGGCTATTTAGAAAGAATAGGTATACTTATTAATACAAAGAATGGGGCTATAGTTCACCTGAAAACACCATATCGAAAAGATTGCTATCATTTGGCTTACTTTCTATTTTAACAAGGGCACTTCTGGTTGGCAATTTGGATGAAGATGATTCAGAGGAACTTGATTGCTTCTTCTTTTTTTATTTTTTTTGTTTTTTATCCGATCTTGCTATTGAAGAATCGGATGATGAAGATGTTTCCGATTTCTTATTCGTTTATGAATTAATATTACAACCTTCTTTTTTGGCTTCGTCTTGTCCTTCTTGAATCTCTCCTTTGATTTATCCTTCTTCCTTATCTTCTCAGATTTCTGATGGCCAGTCCCTACAATGTCCTTCATTTATTTAACCATATACAAACATACATCATTTTTGTCCTTACTAAATGCAACTGTCCAAGTAGTCCCCAAAGGACTATTTTATTTCAATTCGGTAACTGCATTCTATGCTCCCTCACCATCGCACATAAGAACAAACCCATAGCAATAATCTTTCAAAGGTTACTTATTATAATTTAAATAATAAACTAAACCCCTTGACTATTTTTTCGAATTATCTTCACTTCCTTTATCTGCCCATATTTTGAGAATACTCGATGCAAGGTTTCCTCAGTTATCTGCAGAGGAAGGTTCCCAATGTGCAATTTACAATTGCTGTTCTTCTAATTATCCTTTTCTGGTAGCATAGATGGCGGGAAGAATTGGTTTCTAGGAAGATCTATAGAACAGAAACAAATCAAAAAACAAATTATTACCATCCTCTTAAAGTTAAGTCCATGCATATTTATCATTCGACGTACTCACTAAGAATAAAAAAATCAACACTTTGTAAATATATGAGAGGGATTTAAGAGAAGAAGGAGCAGATATTACTTTTTCAATGCTTGTAAATGTTAGCTTAATTATTTAAATATTAAATATCTCATAAAATTCATAAACTCTTAAATTAATATCAATACAATTATATTTTTCTTATAGAAATAAATGCATCATTCTTCTCATAAACTTAAGCCAACTCTCTGTAATTAATTCACCGATTCATTAATAGATTATGAAATCCCAGTCCTGAACTTGTGTAAGATTTCTAAAGAGCGTAAATCATGATTTATTTTTTATGGAACTTCCTTCTTTGATTGATCCACAGCAAGAGGCATACTATAGGTCATGTCTTAACCAATCGTTGTAGTCTAAAAGATGTTGTCATCACTCAATGGATCGGTGAATTAGGCTAAACTTATAATCAAAACTTACGTCCCCTTGCATTCTAACTATTCCCTATTGAATTGATCTATCCAAAGCTTCCAGTTTTATCTAATAATTACAACTATTAGTTACTTTAATCTTGAGAACTCTAAGACTTAAATGATATCTATTCATCAGGAGGGACTGGCAAGTTCGAAGTAAATCCACCTCCATTTTAATTCTATGGATTATTAGATTAGAAATTTGATTATTTAGGTAGAGGAGGCAATTCTACCATCATTTGATTGCTTGTTTGATTAAGTATTGCAAATGGATCTACTACCTATTGTTATTATTATGAGTAACTCTATTGTTATTAAAATTAGGATTATTATTATTATTATAAAGGCACAAATGCAATGTTGTTATTTTATTATTAGGATGGTGTATTGTATATTGATTGTTATTGTTACGGATAATTGTAATTGGAGTTCTACTTTGGATTTATTCCAATTTGAGGCTGAGAAATTTGTGGTTAATAAACATTTGGATTATTTTTGTAAATATTCTATTAATTAAATTGCAGCTATCCATATGGATTAGAACTTTATTATAGTCCTTAATTGTTTGTTTAGGAATTAGGATAGAAATTATTTTATTAAGGGATTTATTATTGATATTAAGGATATTATGATGTTTGATGTGATTATTAATAACTACCTTATTATGGAAATTGTTAAGGTTATTATAGTTAATATCCTCCTTACTACGGATAACCACCTTATTACGGATAACCACCTTATTATGGATAACCACCACCTTATTATGGATAGCCACCACCTTATTGATGACCTCCTTATATTGGTTGATGATATTAATTAGCATTTTATTATTATTATGGTTGATAGTTTAATCCTGGGACATCAGGAACTGAATATTTCTTACTAAAGTCTTAAGCATATTTTTGGACAGATGGAGATTAGAGATTTAAAATACCAAACAAAGTTTTAGCTTAGGGATCGACTGATTTTTCAAAGGAGTTGGCAATATCACATCCGTAGTATTCATTTAATTGCAATTTGAGATCAACAGCACCTCTTAAATCATTAGTATTTTCTATATAGTAACACACACTGGCGATATAACTAATGGTAGCTGTAGAAATTTTACGGAATGTATTGTGAGACTTTGGTGGGGTCACCTTAACTTGCTACAATTTGACTCTTGAATTAATCAATGTTGCTTATTTGACTAAAATGAATAATATAAATTTGCTTACATAATTGCCTTATCATAAGCTTCAATAGTATTAATAAGATTAACAATTTTGATGATTTGAATTTCTTCGTCCTTCCTATTTCTCTAAGGAGCCTTGAGCATGTTCAATAATAATTTTTCTTGCTAGATTGCTTCATTGAATTTTTTCTATTTGTCTAAATTAATGTATTCCTTTGATTTCATAAATAACATGGTTAGTTTTTCCTAAGTTAAGGTAAATTAATTTACGATGGTGACAGTAACTTTCTTTGTGGGTTCTTCTTTTTTTGACTTAAAAATTTTCATGTCGGATATATTAAATAATATAGAAAAATATGAAAAATTCGCTTTTAATATGAGAATATATTAATTAATAAAATAATGTTGAATGTTCTAACAATCACTTTAATAGTGCATTCTATCTGCTTAACAGTTTCTTGATTGAGGAATTAACATTAGATTATTTCTATTTAATCTTTCCACCAAAGATTTATGCTAACATCAACAAATCAGGAGTAGCATTTTCTATATTAAAATAATGAATAAATACCTTCCTCATATACCAAACAGAAACAGAAGGATTCAGCCTTAGGATCTGAAGCAGGATCATGTCCTTGTGCGACTGCAGACAAATAATTACTCAAGGCACACAAAACATCAGATGCATTTTCTACAGTGATTTCAACCACTTTTGGACATCTACAATATAATATGTGAGATAAATACTTCTTCTTTTCTACTGGTTCAGATGGGATCAATTCCTTGGAGTCATCATATTCATAGACTGGTCTTGGGAAATATCCGAAAGCTATTGATATTAATATAATTAATACTGTAATCATAACTGGATGTTCTGTATGATCCATCGAAGAAATTCAACATGAATCCTTAAACCTTGCCATTGAAAGGAGGATAGAACTTATCTTATCCCAAATAGAAATAAATTTTGCTGGCATAATAGTGTCTAACATCCTTGAATTCCATTTGAGCCATCTCATGTGTGAATTCCATGTATCCATATGCCTTGTTCAAATGTCTACTGTATCCAAAGTAAACATAGAACCACTCAGTCAATTTATTACCATACTTAACCATCTTGCAATCATTAACCTTTGATTTACTAAAATAATTAAACTAAATACCCATTGGCAGTCTTGTAAGAGTATGTACAAAAGGCAACATGTCCTTATAAGTTATCTTCATCTCCAACAAAGAAAGAAAGTCCTCTATCTCCAAGGATTCTGAAATTTTGATTAGTTTCTTAATTATTGGTAGTCCATCTAAATCCTGAATGCCAGATATTTTAGTCATTTGGTGTTTCCCATTTGAACCAACCACTGGCTGAATATTCATCTGGTAACATGGGCTTCTTATTTTCAAAAACACTATCATAATCAAATGAAGCTGGAGATACAAAAGTTCTCTCCTTTTCAATTGGAATTGTTAATCTCTTGCCGCTGTAAATGTTTTTAGGAATTCCATAGCATTTAGTAACAAATTCAGTGAATTCAGTTGCTTATGTGTACAATTCATCATTGAATGCAAATACTCTAGCAATCTACCCATTAAATGATTTAACATCCCCATCTGGCCCACCAATAACCAATTGATAAGATTCATCTAATGTGAAATTGACATCGAATTCAACAGTCTCAACATCTTATCCTTAAATTTAGGCAAATCCTGTAACTTTTTGGTTGGAAATACCAAAGTATACAAGTACCCATTGTCCTTCAATATCACCATGGCCAGCATTCTTGTAAGTCTCAACACCATTCTCATCAAATGAACTGAAATGGAATCCTCCTTATCCTACATAGAATTTCAATGCATTTCCTAATCCAGCAACAAAGAACTTAGTTTCTTAACTCAATCCTTCAGGAACAGCATCTGGGAATTTTGATAGCCATCTGAAATAGAATGATAATCCAATGATTTAGGTTTCTGTAACTGGTAAATCACTTGCAGCTACTGGTTCTGTACTCTACCAACTGATATCCAAAACATCTTCAGGCACTTTTCTGCATCCTTCTGGTAATACTTCTTATTCTTCATCTTATTAATCATCAGGTACAGGTTCATCACCAACACTGCTCTCTTCAGCAGTGGTAGTCTCTTCAGCAGCTGTTGTCTCTTCAGCAGTGGTAGTCTCTTCTGCTGCAGGAACTTCACCCTATTATTCTTCTTCAAATTCTAAAGGTTCTCCAACAGAACTCTCTGTCTCTTCACCTTCTGGTTATTATTATTATTATTATTCTTCTTCTCCTTGTTATTCACCACTGGGTTATTCTTCTCCAGATTCTCCTGCTGGTTAATTATCTTTGTCTTAAGGTGTTTCTTCACTAATTTCTTCACTAATTTCTTCTTCTTCCCAACCCCATTCTTCTTCTTCACAGGCCTCTTCTTCTGCAGGTACTTCGATATCAACTTCTTCAGCTGGTTCATCAATTTATAATTCTTCTTCCTCAGCTAATACTGCTGTTTCTTCAGGTGCTTCAACTTCACCTTCTTCAGTTGCTTCAATTACACCTTCTTCAGATGGGCCATTTTACTCTTCAGCACCCTCTGCTTCTCCTTCTTCAGCATTTTCAACTTATCCTTCTTCAGTACTTTCTACTTCTCCTTCTTCAGCACTTCCTGCTTCTCCTTCTTCAGCACTTTCTGCTTATCCTTCTTCAGCTGTAGCAGCATTTTCTTCAGATTCCTCCTCTGGTACTTAAATCTCAATTTCTTCTTCTGGCTCAGTAATTTCTTCAGCTTGATCAACTTCTTCTTGTGGACTTTCACCTTCTTCAGCACTTGGTGCTTATTCCTCTGTTCCTTGTTCTTCTGGGACTTGAGTCTCAGCTTCCTCTTCTGCAGCAGGTGTATCAACTGCCTCTTCTGCTTATGTTTCTTCTGGGGATCCTTCTTATTCTTCTGCAGCACCTGGTTAAGTTTCTTCAGTAGCTCCAGCTTCTTCCTCTGGCTATTTTTCATCAACTGCAGATTCTCCTTCTTCTGGTTCAGCTGTCTCCTCAGCAGGTTATGGTTGTTATTGATCTTCTTCAGGTGTGTCAGCAGTTTCCTCTTGTGTGTCAACTGTTTCTTCAGTGGTATCATCTATGGTTTCTTCGGTAACATCTTCTGAATCCTTTTAATCATCTGGAATTGGATCTGTGGTTGGTTTTGTGATTGGATCGGTAGCAGGCTCCTCTGTGGGTTTAGTGGTTGGATCAGTTGATGGTTCATCTGGCTTGGTTTCTTATTGAGTATCGCAACTCTCATCACCTTTGATATCTATGGTGCCTCCACAGCCGGCTGTAATGACTTAAAGATCATGGATTTTTCCCTTAATTTTAATTACAGTTATTGGATGTTGTTGGCATTGGGATTATACATTTCTCAGGGAAAGGATGAAGTAAGATAGCAATTTTAATAGAGCATCACAATTGTCATCAGAATTTTTGAGACATCCGCATTATTGTTTAAGTGCTTCCACTTCAGCCAAACCTATCTTTGTGGATGTTTTAGGTAATTTAAGTTGACTTAATGATTTGATCACTTATTTGTGTGATGCTTTGAGGCCCACTTTAGCTTGGATGCCTTGAAGTACTTTAATATCATGATCGATGTAATCTTTATGTTCCAACAAGTCTTGCCATTAAGACAAGGAATTCTCCATCTATATGAATTCAGACTAAGGACGAGAACAGTCAAATTGGGATGTGTCCAATGAATTCATCTACTCTAAACTCATAAGAGTCAGAGACTCCTCCAAGCCATGTACATGTACTAATGTAATGGCTATGATCAACAGCAAATATGAGTTTCTCATATAATAACAAAAATATTAAAAAACGACTATCCATCAAAGCAAGATGATTTTTATAATTACTTTTTCTGCAGATCAATTTATTTTATTCCTCAGATTCATTTTATCTCATATTCAATACAATACCATTTTAGATCATATTAATTAATTTTATGTAGCCACTCAAAAATCCATTTGGTATTATAGATCCAAATGAAAAGCCAAAGCAATACCAGAATAATCCCTTTGACATATGTATCACATTTGCTGATAATTTAAGAAAATGATGAATTAAATGAAACCATTAAATTAGGTGACAACGTGGCAAATCAAGAAGAGAAACATTTGCTGTTTGACTCATAGAAATCACAGCCTCAAGAAACCGTAGAAGACTTACCTTTATTAGAAGGTACTCCAATAGATCCAGTAATTAATTAGACCTCGATATTACATCGCCATTGCTCATTAAATCTAGGATTATGAGTGTGCTCTTTTTCTAAAAATGCGATAGCGAATATTTGGAAGATCCTGATCTCTCAGGTCCCATCCTTATAGTTGTGTCATTGGGCTTATTGCCATTATTAGTAAAGACTTATTTAATTCATCAGACAGGAAAAGTGCATTTCAATTATATTTACGGAATTGGATTGTGGGGTTGGATGCTACTCTACTTATTAATGAACTTTATGATTCAACAACAAGGCAAGCAGATAGAGTTCTACAAAATATTGAGTTATTTAGGTTATGGATTGGCACCAATAGTTGTCCTATCTTTTCTCAGTGTATTTTTGTAATTAAAGTACTTAAACTTCATTCATTTTATATAGCTCTTCATTCGGATATGCATTAGCTATAGTATGTGCATTCTGGTCTACTGCCAGTGTTTCAAAGACTTTTGATACTGTAAACATCATATATTAGCTTCTAGATTTTAGGATTATAACATAGAAGATTGTTGATAGCCTATCCCCTGTTTTTATTCTATTGCACATTTGTAATTATAACAATATTTTGATCCAATTCATGATATGTAGATAAAAGAAAATCATTAAAAACTGATATATATTAATTAGTTCATTCTTACGCTCCTTGATCTTAATATCTGATTTCTTCCTCTCCTTGATTTCCTTGCTCATCCTAAAAGTCCTCCTAAATCGGATGTTCTTCCTCTTGAATTTCTACCTACTAACCTTGATGTTCCTATTATTATTGTACATCCTATTCATCTTATTCATCCTATTATTCCTATTGTTCTTCTTCATCTTCATTAACTTCCCGTATAAATTAATCATTATCTTGTTGATTTTCCATTACTTCCCTTTACACTTACTCAAGTTGTTCCCTCCAATCTCCTAAATTATTCAGTTATTCTTGTAAGTTTTATCTCTAAGTAAAAGTCAATGAAAATGTATTAGTATAATTATTTTAGTTGCTTAAAGTTCCATCCAGAGCCCCTGTTTGAAATATGTTCTACTCACTGGTAACATTGAAAGTTTATTGATTTTAATCGTTTTCCAATATATGTTCTTATTGCAATTTGTATTTCTCTTCCTCATACTCTTATTTCAATTTCTATTCACTTTCCTCTGGGAAATCTTCCAATTCACCGTCTCTCATAAATGATCCAGTTCCAAAGACAGGCTCTTGGTCTTGTAATTGTTACTATTGTTGCAAAGTCAATTAATTGTTGTTTTATTATTGCTTGTTCCTATAATTCTCCCAAACAGCAGCCTTCTAATATTGTTCCTTATATTAATCTTCATAAACACCAAGTATTGATTTGACTCTCTCATTCTAAAATATCAATAGAAAATAATAATACCTGTAATAATTTTTTCACTTGATCTTCATTTGATGTGATTCTCTTATCTATTGATACAATTAACTAAGTAACTTGATCCATTTAAGATACAATCTTCTCAAATTTTGTTGATAACATTTATGCCAAAGGACTTTGATGAGTCTGATTAATCAATAGAGATTAATTGGTCTAGTTTTCATAATTGATTTTATTTTATTATTTGTTAGCTTTGAATGTAGTTTATGGAACTTTAAATTAATTTGAAGATGATAATGTTTATGAATCATTATTTGATATATTCTTATCAACAAAATTGATAACATTGCAAGGTTTCATGTTTTCATCAAAATTTGATTGCCAAACTAATACATTAGAATCCAATCCAGCTGAAGCAAAATAATCACCTGCATAATTAAATTAGACTTATTTAATAGGCTAAGAATGAGAATATAATGACCAAGCTAACCTTCCTTGTCTTAGATCAAATATCTTTAGATTGCTTTCGTCATCACCAGACAACAGAAAATTGCCACTAGGATGAGTATTAATTGTATTTACTGATTTCTTACTGCACTCGTAATATTAAATTAATCTCATTGAACGAGCATCCCATAATTTAATTTTGCCATCCATTTAACCTGCACATATTGTTGTTCCATCACTTATCCAATCAATTGTATATATTGAATCTTCACATTTGAATTTCTGCAATTCTTTAGATAAATTGACATCCCATAAACGAACTGTTGAATCATCTGATCCAGACACAACTAATCTAGAATCTGGAGACAATTTCGCTTATCTAACCCAATTAGTATGTCCTGCCAATGAAAACATAAAGTTGTTCTTTAATACATTCCATCCCTTTATTGTTTTATCATCTGATGAGGATACGATCATACTGCTATCTGAAGAGAATGATAAAGATCTCACACTTCCAATGTGTCCTTTAATTGCTGTGCACTTTCCTAAACTATTCAGTTCATATTAATATTAAATTACACAGAATTCTTCCATAAACGAATAGTCCTGTCTTCTCCACCACTTGCAATTATTTAACCATCTGGTGAAAATTGCACACTGTACACTGCTCCTTTATGTCCATTAAATTTGAATGGTCTGCCTTGTGGCTTGAAGCTATAGACATATATTATTGAATCATTTCCTCCAGATGCCAATTACCTCATTTATGGATCAAATGACAGACAATAAGTTTTTTCGTGTCCTCTATATGATCTAGACAATTGAGGATCTTGCAATGTCTATATATGTCGGACAATCCCTTTAGGTTCTTCCATTAATTTGAATTTAAATTATATAAATAATCGTATATAGCACTTGATAATATTTAATTAATTTTGGAACAAATATTATATGAATATAAAAGTAATATATTTTATATATATATATAATTTATAAATCTCTTAAACATGAGCATATATAACAATGTTTCTAAAGATAAAACCAACTCTACTTATACAATTATTTTCCCTTGAAAACAAAAGAATGCTTAATTGTATCTTTAAGAAAATAATCACAATTTTTTAATCAATTTATTAAATATATGGATTTGTGATGATCATGAAGGGACATTATTCACATTTAAATATACCAAAAACCGTAGGTACACTTGATGTTATATATTGAGATATCTATAAGTTAATAACTTCCTAATTAACACTCACTTATAATAAATTATTTAAAATGATTTTGAATTATTTAATCAAAACAGGGGAGTAAATACAAAATGATTTATAATTATTTTATGTAGTAACTATTAATAAATGTTATTTAGAATAAATTAAATATCTAATAATTGTGCCAACAGGCTATTTAAGCGCTTTCTTTGAGGTAATTGAAAAAAAAAAAATATCCTGCGGGAGAGTTTCGAAACTGTTAGAAAAGTGCCATGTAAAAGGTTTGTTAGTATTTTGGATTATAATGTGTATAATATATATGTGTATAATAACAACTCTTGTTCTTGAGTCTGTGCGGGAATGTAAATCGAGCACCTGTAAATAAATTTAGATAATGTATTAATTTAAATTATACCTGATTTCATTATTTTATTTAATAAATATCACTCTTTTTGTAAGAGAAGAATTCAAAGAAAGGTATTGTTATACAACGAGAATATTGAACGATATTCTTCCGTATTCCTATATACATTTATATTTTGCTATTTCAAGTATATTATTTTAGGAATGAGCGAAGAAAATTAATTGAATGCTGATAAAAACTAAAACAAAAATAATCTTGAGAAAATAATAAAGTTAGATAAAAAGAATGGGAATTTTGATATTTATGATAAATACTCCAGGTAAGATCAATATTCATTACAATTAGACGCAAGCTGAAGATTAGGACATCATAGAACAATTCCTACATCAACAGTTCGTATTAGAATGAATACATTTTATGTTATTTTTGGAGACATATTAACTAAGTGTACTTTAAGAAAATGGATGAACCTGAATAGGAGAGACTTGAATACCTCAAAGCTATGAATGATGACGCTATTGTGACAGAATTTCCTGTGAAATATGCTGATTATAAGTTTTATTAAGCCAGATAAATCTTAAATAAATAACAGATTTAATCAGAAAATAAAACTTATTGGGAGAATATTTAGAAGCACATCAAGTTGAGTGGTCTCATTCACAAAGCAAAAGCTCTGAAAATACCTTAGATCGAGAAAATATATTACATGAAACAAAAATCAATGGTTAAATTTAAATAAAAAAACATCAGGTATTGTGTATATTATAATTAAGTTCATTAATACAAGAAAATGCTCAATTGGATAAATTGCTAGACAAGTTGAATGAACAAATAGAATTGAGAACAGGATAAAAAGACGAAATCTTCCTATAATTGTAAGAGTATTCAAATGAATTACAACAATTAAACAAATCTAATAAGAAAGATCTATAAAATCTCACTTAAAAAATTAAAAGTGAGCAACCTTTAAATGTCTTTGGAACCTAAGTGCACATTTACAAACAAGGCCGAGGCAACAATAATCTTAGCAAGAATCAAATTATATATAATAATGAGGCATTATTGACTTATCTCAGGAAGAGTCTGGAACAACTGGACTTTAGACAAACTGCAGAATCAATAGTGAAAGTTATTAACTCTGTGCATTCTCCTAATGGTTATTAGTTCTGTGTGGCATTTGAGTAGGCTTTAAATTCTACATATGTAAATATAGATGAAGATTTGATGTATGAATTGGACAAACTAAGAGATACATCTTTATTTAAATTCTACAATATCCCTTAGAAAACTAAATATTCTCACATCGCTTAAAATGTACGAAATTCTAGTATTAATCAAGTTTGTTGGAATAAATCAAGTACAATAAAATAGGTAGAAGCCTAATCCATTAATAAATAAGAATCTAACTAAAGAATCTAAAGCATCTTAATCTGGTGATAATGATTCTACTTTGCTAAGATATGAAGCTTGTCATCATTGCAAAATGTTGTTTAGAGAAGAATATCTTATCTCTTGTAATTATAGAAGTGGAACCATGGGACTCCCAATAATCAATTCATCAATAACTGATTCATATTTGTTTACTCAAAGTAAAAATTAATATGAAAACAATAGTGGATGACGAGGGCATCAAGAGTAGAAGACAAGTTCCAAATAGAAAGAAGACTGCATACAGCATTTATTCAAAGAAGAGTACTAATCACTATTGATTATTATATTAGATGGTGAGTTGATATGTCAAAGAAAGTTCTGTAGAATGTGCTTGAAATAAAATTATGATATAAAAATAGAAGAAGTCATATAGAAGACGGATTGGGTTTGTCCTTTTTGTTAGGTAATTTCCAAAATTAAATTAGGCTATATGTTTTTGTTCAAGATGTCAAAGAAATGATATAATGATTAAATTAAAGGATCTATATACCATATGTGGAGGGGATTTAGAATAATTAACTAAGGATTCCATTTTTGAGAAGTATGTTCGTCCCTTAACGGATGATTAATTGTATAGGAAGAAACCCAGTCAACTTCAGGTACATATTTTTGAATAATAATAAGAGAACTGGCTATTCCTTTGTAAAATAGTAGTTGAATAACTTCAAAGATATGCAAGCAATAAGATTGGACTTCGAGAATTTAAGATTGTTGTGTTCTCAATTGATGAGGAGAGAGAAAATGAAATGGAAAATATTGGAATAAGACATTCTTATATGGAATAATGAAGCTAAACAATAGAAAAAATAAAAATAACAAAAATCATCAATTACAAAATCAGTCCAAAAAAAACAGAAAGATCAGAAGAAGTTAAAAAAAGTAACGAAAAAAGTTTAGAAGTATTATTTGGTAATTCATGATTTAGATCTGATGTTTAGTATATTCAAGAATTATCCTCTTCATCTTCATTGTCATCAAGTAGTAGTGAGTACTAATAAAGTAGTGAATATGAATCTGAAGAAAATGATAATAATAATAATAATAATAATAATAATAATAATAATAATAATAATAATAGCAATAATAATAATCATAAATAGAACAATGAGAAAGTTAATGTGATATCATAAAAAATGAAATAAAAAAACAGTAAATAAGTCAGTAATGACAAACAATAATCATTAAATAAGATATTACAAAATTATAAGTCATTTCCTGCCAAAAACGTAAAGAGAGAAGTTGCTTACTTGTTGCAATATCAAGACAGTGACACCTACAGTCTCATTGTAAAAAAAATCAAATAAGATTAATCGATTAACTCCTTAAAGAGATGAATAATTTTATAAAATACAAAATAACTAAAATAAACAATATATCAAAGGAACCAATAAAGGTTTATTTAATATTTTTCTTTTCTTTTTTTCATAAGCTGTTGAAATAAACTCAATTTCCTTTGAGAATGCATCCTTGCGATTAAAAATTATGATTATGTTACTAAAGTGTATCGATTTGATGTGGTTTATAAGACAATTTTCATTTTAGATTAAATAATTCTTTTGGATTTAAATTATGGAGTTTCTTCTTATACAATAATAATATTTGGATAAGTATATATTTTACAGTTAATATGATCTTAATGATTTTATAATTCTTATAACATAATAAAATATATAAAAATATTAATGTAAACCTTGAGATAATTCTATCTTAGTAGATATTATAAGAAATCGATGTTTGGTGTATTAGGATTAGGTGTAATAGGAGTAATACTATTGGTTTCATCTAAAATAAGAAAACAAAATTCAAAGTAGTAATCTCTTAACCAATTTCAATCAGAAGAATAATCATTATAAGGGACAATATTTAATAAATTGGATAAATGCTCATTATCTAATTTAGAAGAGGTTGTAACACTGAACACGTCAATAAAGATTGAAATTGATTTTAAATAGTAATAACTAATAGGAAGTGTGACTTTGAAGATGAAGGCTGTCAAGGATATTAATAAAGTCTTATTAGATACTAAACTGTTGAATGTTCAAAAGGTAAGTGTAAATAATGAAGACACTCAATTCAACTATAAATAATAAGTAGTTAATGATTTGGGAGATCAATTAGAGATAATAACCTAAAAATAAGCAAATGAAGAATTTCAGATAGAAATCACATATTCGACATAATAAAATGTGCAGAATGAATAAGTAGCGTTGAATTGGCTTTAACCTTCTTAAACATTTGGTAATAAGCACCCTTTCTTATTTACCCAATCAGAGCCGATTTATGCAAGAACATTAGTAAATATTTTAATGTAAATTATAAGTTTCCCTGTTAAGATAGTCCATCTATGAAATCAACTTTCGATATTGAATTGATTGTTCCGGCTCCTTTAAAAGCATATGGGTCGGGATTGATAATCAAAGAAACCACTTAGGGAGACAAGAATATATTCTTATTTAATTAACCTGTTGCAATTCCTGCATATCTCTTTGCTATTTGTGCTGGAGACTTGGAGAAAAAACAAATAAGTGAGAGAACATTTGTAATTTCAGAACCTATTTTAATAAATAAATGCAGCTATGAATTTTCTGATATGGAAAAATATCTTTCAACTATTGAGGAATATTTAACACCTTATAAATGGAATTAATACACAGTTGTTGTATTACCAAAGGCCTTTCCTTTTGGAGGAATGGAGAATCCAAATTTGACATTTTTGTCACCTTCCTTGATTGTGGGGGATAAGAGTGAAGCTTCAGTTGTAATACACGAGATGATACATTCATGGTCTGGGAATAATATGACATGTTAGAATTGGGAATGTTTTTGGTTGAATGAGGGAATCACTACTTTTATCGAGAATAAAATGGTAGGCAAGATTTTTGGAAAAGATCAATAGACATTACATGGCTTATTAGGAGTATTTTCAAATATATATTTAGGATAATGATTTATAGAAAAGCATAAGTAACTTTGGAGCTACTCACACTTACACTTCTTTATCTCCAAAAATCAACTAACAAAATCCGGATGATTGTTTCTCTGTGATTCCATATGAAAAAGGATGTTAATATTTGAGATTACTTGAATCTTAGATTGGAGAAGTGAAATTCTAAGAGTTTATAAGATTAATTGTTTCTTAGAATACTCTGAATTCAGATTAATTCAGAACTCTTTTAAAGAGGTTTCTTCTCGAAAATAATATTTAAGGAGTAGATCTTTAATGGTAGTAATGGATTGTTGATCCTGGTTTGCCAAAAAATTCATTAAAAATAGATTAATAATTTACTAAGAAATACTAAAATTTAGCTGACGATCTCTTTTAGAATAAGTTGCGATTGTAGGATTTCTAAGCATTACATTCAAATGAAAAATGTTATGTCTTGGATTTATTGGGTAACAATCAAATTGACTAAAACACATTAAAGAATTTAGAAGAGGAGTATCAACTATTTGACTCTAATAATCCTGAGATTTTACATAGAATGCTAATTTATGGAATAGAGTGTGGTTATCCTAGTGCTTTGGGGTAAGAAGAAATTAATATTAATTTAGAGATAAATTGAGTCAATTTTTAAGTATGAATGGTAGAATGAAGTTCATAAATCCTGTATATAGAGTTTTGTCAGAAAAGCAACCAGATTTAGGATAGAGAATATTCAACTTATGCAAAAATAGTTATCATAGCATAGCAGTGGGCTAAATATAAAAGATGTTTTAGAAATGAAAAGATAATTACATTATAGTATATACAANTTGTGCTGGAGACTTGGAGAAAAAACAAATAAGTGAGAGAACATTTGTAATTTCAGAACCTATTTTAATAAATAAATGCAGCTATGAATTTTCTGATATGGAAAAATATCTTTCAACTATTGAGGAATATTTAACACCTTATAAATGGAATTAATACACAGTTGTTGTATTACCAAAGGCCTTTCCTTTTGGAGGAATGGAGAATCCAAATTTGACATTTTTGTCACCTTCCTTGATTGTGGGGGATAAGAGTGAAGCTTCAGTTGTAATACACGAGATGATACATTCATGGTCTGGGAATAATATGACATGTTAGAATTGGGAATGTTTTTGGTTGAATGAGGGAATCACTACTTTTATCGAGAATAAAATGGTAGGCAAGATTTTTGGAAAAGATCAATAGACATTACATGGCTTATTAGGAGTATTTTCAAATATATATTTAGGATAATGATTTATAGAAAAGCATAAGTAACTTTGGAGCTACTCACACTTACACTTCTTTATCTCCAAAAATCAACTAACAAAATCCGGATGATTGTTTCTCTGTGATTCCATATGAAAAAGGATGTTAATATTTGAGATTACTTGAATCTTAGATTGGAGAAGTGAAATTCTAAGAGTTTATAAGATTAATTGTTTCTTAGAATACTCTGAATTCAGATTAATTCAGAACTCTTTTAAAGAGGTTTCTTCTCGAAAATAATATTTAAGGAGTAGATCTTTAATGGTAGTAATGGATTGTTGATCCTGGTTTGCCAAAAAATTCATTAAAAATAGATTAATAATTTACTAAGAAATACTAAAATTTAGCTGACGATCTCTTTTAGAATAAGTTGCGATTGTAGGATTTCTAAGCATTACATTCAAATGAAAAATGTTATGTCTTGGATTTATTGGGTAACAATCAAATTGACTAAAACACATTAAAGAATTTAGAAGAGGAGTATCAACTATTTGACTCTAATAATCCTGAGATTTTACATAGAATGCTAATTTATGGAATAGAGTGTGGTTATCCTAGTGCTTTGGGGTAAGAAGAAATTAATATTAATTTAGAGATAAATTGAGTCAATTTTTAAGTATGAATGGTAGAATGAAGTTCATAAATCCTGTATATAGAGTTTTGTCAGAAAAGCAACCAGATTTAGGATAGAGAATATTCAACTTATGCAAAAATAGTTATCATAGCATAGCAGTGGGCTAAATATAAAAGATGTTTTAGAAATGAAAAGATAATTACATTATAGTATATACAATCAGTGTATTTCAAAATTAACTTACAAATTTGGGTCTGGTCATTATTATTCGTTAAGAACCTATTCTAATGGATTTCAGAAAAGGGATGTTTATAAATTAATGCTTTCTCTATATATTAAATAATTTAATGTCTAAAAAATAAGTAAGTGACAATGCTGATAGATACAAAGGAGAGGCAGGCAATTTCTAATCCTTAGAAAGTGATGATGGACCAGGACCTATGAAATGTAGAACATTAAATTATATAATATAGCTGTTGAGGGATGGATTCTAATTGCAAAGGGAATTCATGAAGAAGCTTAAGAAGATGATGTATTTGATGCCTTCAGCAGATATGGTCCAATTAAGAATCTTCATTTGAATCTTGATAGAAGAACTGGCTTTGTTAAAGGGTAGAAGCTAATAATTATTATTAGTTATGCATTAATTGAGTTTAGTGAATTTTCACACGCTTCAGATGCTTTGAATGGTGTTAACAAATCAGATGGAATCTGCGGCAAAAAGATTCAAGTAGACTGGGCATTCAAAAAACCTAACAAAAAAGGGGCATTGAAACAAGTGAAGAAATAATGATTTTAATGTTATATCTATGAAGGCATTTAAAATTTGTTATAAGCTGTCCTATGATGGACGAGAGATAACATTTAAATATTAATCATACAGTCATCATCATCATCTTTAAACAACTGAGAAATAAATTACAATGATATCTTGTTGATGAAGTGAAATATTGTTGATCTACAACATCAAGAGAATCTGTTCAAAGAGTGTGCTATTGATGATATATATTAATATATATAATATATATATATTTTAAATTTGCAATTTATTACTAATCTATAATTGTCTTTGTTAGGCAGATTAAATTTTAAATTGTAAGATTGTTAAAATTATAATTATAAATATACCAATTAATACAAGGATTTGTACAACCTTAACCTCCCCCTTTGAATAAAATTCCTTAATAATATTATCACTTCTAATGAACTATAACAATAGCAGCAACTCCAATACCAAGCGTTAAAATAAGAAGAATAAAGCCTTGAAGAAATACAATATCTTGGGTTAGGAAGACAAACAACATATTTTAGAGAGCTTACAAAAAGACTCATCCCTTGAGATGTATTAAATCTTAAGTGAGAAATACAACACCTCAATTAAAAACCTAAGAAGATGGTATCAAGATGGAATTGCTCGCAAACCTGGATGTGGAAGAAAGAAACTCAACACAAAGGCAGAAGAGGAACTCAGATAATGGATCATAAAGGAGAGTGTGGAATTGAGAAGGAGAGTTAGGAGATCTTAGTTAAAATAAAAAGCTATAGAATTATTTAGCATTCCAAACTTTAAGGCTAGTAAGGCTTGGTAGGATGAATTTATCAGAAATTTTGATATCAAATATTAGGTGAATGAGATAATTGTAGAAAGTAAAGTTTGAAGAGCAAAGAAGAAAGAGGCAACAATAAGTTTAATCTGTTGATTAGAAGTCAGAAAAGTAGGAATAGCTTTAACAAATCTTTTCATAACAAGCAACAGAAATTCCTCAATCAAAATTAGAAGTATTAAATATACAACCAAAAGTTTCAGATTTCAAATTGGAAGATTGGTCTTTTGAAAAATAAGAAGAAAATAAAGACTATTTATCAGAAGTATTCTCTCCAAAATTAGAATTCTTTAATGATGAAAAGTCAAATTAGTATTTTGATGACTATTGTTATCTTATTCTTAAATATCTTCCTTTTCATAATAAAGAATTCTAGATAGCCAATTTCTGTATTGCAATATAATTATTTAAGTATTATTATTAAATATAACAACCAATTAAATGGAGAAGGATTGTAAATATAAGAAATTTCTTCTTAGTTTTCAAATAAACCGCATCCAACTTCTGCTAAAACCCTAACATAAAGCATCCTGATCAATTCCCTTAGGTTATGGAATAATTCGATCGAGAGTATTATTTACATCTCATTTTAGTGTTTGCTAGAACCTTGGCCAAGCATATCCCTAAGCACCCACTTATTATCAATAACAATTGAATATACCATAGCAAAATTCTTTGCTTGATCATTTCTCTCGTTAAACTTTGTTAGCAGATTCAGGGTAATGAAACAATTTATCTAGATAATTACTCCAATATTCATAAACTCTAGAAAATGCTAAGGTTCAATAAGAAAATAGCAAGCCCATTTAATAAAAACACTTATTGATGGATCACATGTTAGGGAGTTAATTCGTTCCAGTTCCCAATAATTATTTAGACTTTAATGTTAATTCAAATTAGTTAGGTCAAATAATTAAGTAGCCAACATATTTCAAAGACCCTCATGATGTCAGTGAATTTTAAAAGAGATAAATTCAATATCTCTAAGCAATAAATGATCCTTCTCCTCCTGAATAAGTTAAACTATTCAAATAAAATATCCAACAGTTGGGTGGCATCGAGGATACTATTGGGAGTAAACTTTATACTAATATTAGACATGTAATAAACATTAAACCAATATGAAATCAAGCATTTGAACAATAAGAATATTAAATATTATCCATTATCCTCTCCTCCATTGACATAGGAATAGATAGAGTATTAGAAGTCCATTTCCAGTAATAATTAATTATATAATTAGGTAATCCTCATCCATTTCTATATAATCCAGCAGATGACAAGGATAGGTTTGTATATGGGCCTTTGAAACCAGCATAAAATATTTTAGAATAACAACAAACTCAATAATCTTAGTTTTATTGTATTTATTAATATGTTATTAGAAACATTGCGATAACAATACAACTAAGATTTGAATTAGATGTAAGAAAGAACTCAACCTTTATAATAATAATAAGATTAAAGATACTAATAATAAAATTGTTAACCTTACTACTTTGATTCCATTGAGCAATCTAAAAGATTAAGAATGATGAAATAGCAGTAATTATAGTAAAAAAATTGATATATAAATAAAAGTGATTTATGATCTTTTTTTTGATATTTTAAATCAATTAACCATAATATTATACTCAAAAGTAATTTGAAATTTCCTTTTCATTTTAAAGGATTGTTTCCATCAATTAATTGTTAAACACTTATGTTCAGATAAAATGTAAATCTATAAACCATTACTATCATTAGGTATTCATTTTGATAATTAAATTTGTTCTGTCATATAGTAAGTTATGTAATTCGAATATGAAAGGCGTTGAAAAGAAAGATTATTCAACAATGAGATATGTTTAAGAGATATTAGCTCTATTATTTGTTATGAAGATAATTAGATAAAGCAAGTAGGGCAATGATAATAAATACTATATATGATGAAAATGAAATATAGAAATTTAATTGATTTATGGTTAAATAGTATTGTGGATTTACTCATTCAAATACTAAGTTAATCTCAAGTATTGAAAAGGAAATTGAACATAGAATTAATCAATTTGATGATATGCAAATTGATATTTATAAATTATTATATTATTTATATTTTAGAAAAATAATAAATGAATATTAACAGTAATAGCAAGCCAAGTCTTTAAGAATATCTTGATAAATTGAAGCAAATCCAAGATGCTAATAATAGGAGACTGAGCTAAGCAAAATCACAGACAAATGCTTCAAAGATAATGACTCCTAAGACAGTTTCTCAATTAAAATAACAAACCAAATCATCAACTGATCGTTCTCACTCTTAACATAAATTGATACCTTTCTTTTAAAACAGGAATGTATCAAGTTCTAAGAGATAAACAAGTTAAGCTGATGAACCTAAAATACCAATCTCTAGTTAGGGTATTACAAAAACATTAGAAACAACATCTCCAAGGACTGGTGAGCTAGAAGATATAAAAAAATAACTAAATTAATGGTTCATTAAAGAGAGTAAGAACAATAATACGGGAGGGTGTCTCTAATTATTGGAACCTACATTAGTTCATAATATTTGTATAAATGATATCAATAAATCTTAGTAAAATTACCTCCCAGACAGAAGATCAATTCAGAACTAAGAGCTTCTCTTTCAGCTAAGGATATGTTAGATAACACAGCACTTCATTATGCCGCCAAAAATGGGAATGCTTAATTAACATCTGCATTAATATTTAAGTAAATTGCTATTGATGCATAAAACAAAGATCACATGACTCCTTTAATTTTAGCAGCCATCAAGTATTGAATTGATTAATAACATATTAGTGGACATGAAGAAGTCTTGATGATCTTGATGAATGCAGGTTCAGATATCAATCACTAAGATTCCGTAGGTAATACACCATTGCATTATGCGTGTAAATAGAATCACAAAGCAATTGTCTAGTTGTTATTGAAAAGACAGTCGATTTAATTTAAAAAAAACAAAGAACATAAAACTGCTGAATAATATGCACAAAACGAAGAAATTCAACGTTTATTCTAAAATTACAATGAGGACATCAAAAAATAATGTAAGTCATTTGTTTATCTTAATTTAAGAGTAGAAAATGAATATGGTCTAGATATAAAACACTTAAAATGATGTCATTCTTAAAATGTTCTAATATAAAAGAGGTTAGATGAATTAATAACAATAACAAGGAATTTAATAATAGACATAATAAAATTTTGCATAAACTCCAACACAATTAACTAGTTATTCATGCAAAAATTTGAATATTGTTAACAAACAATCATCTTCTCCAAACAACCGAACTCAATAAGAAATCAAATAGGAGAGAATAAATAAAATAAACTCAACTCATTCTAACAAATAATAATTAACAAATACAGTTTCGACAAACTCTGATTCAATTAAGAATAAGGAAGAAGAGAAGATTGGACCCTAGCAATTCTAAGTGATTGGATTAATTGGAAAGGGTAGTTTCGGGGAAGTATATTTGGTTTAGAAAAACAATTAGTTATATGCTATGAAAGTACTTCATAAAAGCAGAATTATGAGTACATTTATATTATAATACAATTAGAACATAATTTGACTAGATATGCTTTAACAGAAAGGAATGTATTGTCAATTACATCACATCCCTTTATAGTTAAATTAAGATTTGCATTCTAGACCTAGGATAAATTGTTTATGATTTTAGATTATTGTCCAGGAGGAGATTTGGGAGAAGTCTTATAAAAGTAAAAGAGACTTCCTGAAAACATAGTAAAGAACTATCTCTGTGAAATTGTCTTAGCCTTAGAGGATTTACATAAACGAGATATTATATTTAGAGATTTGAAACCAGATAACATTGTTTTGGATGCTGAAGGTCATGCACTATTGACAGATTTTGGATTATCCAAGGAAGGGATTTTAGAACCTAGTACTGGTGCTAGATCATTTTGTGGATCAGTTGCATATTTAGCACCTGAAATGTTAAAGAGATCTGGTCATGGAAAGGCAGTTGATTGGTACTTATTAGGAGTAGTGATGTATGAATTATTGGTTGGATTACCTCCTTATTATGCCAATAATAGAGAGGAATTGTTTTATAATATTGAAAATGCTTAACTCAAAATACCTTCATATATTTCTAATGAGGCTAAAAATCTATTAAAAGCAGTATCAATTCATTATAATTATAATAGTTATTATAACGAAATCCAGCCAAGCGTCTAGGCTCAGGTAAAGGGGACTCAGAAGAAATCAAGGCACATCAATATTTTCATGATGTCAATTGGGAGGTTGTTTATAATAGAGAATTAACGATGCCAAAACCTAATAGGAAAATCAGAATCAATACCAAAATCGACGGAAATGTATTTGACATGCAGAGCATAGTAGATGAATCTAAAGCTCATTTAGGAGGCTGGACCTTTGTTAATAATGATGATTTATGATAAATCTCATCTACATAATTTATTTCTTTATTAGAAAATCTAACAAACTCGAATTTATAATTTTCTTTGCTATCCAGAATAAAGTGGATAATTAGTATTTCATTTAGTAGAAAGTATTTGGATGTGAATTCGATAAGTCTCAAGTAGAATTTTTAATATAAGATAATTAAAAAATAAAACTGGAAAAAGTGTATCATATTTATATAATAATAAGTGTGTCATGAATGCGTTATTTCAAATTACAATTTCAGGTTCTCTTTTACGTCCACATCCACCGCAATATTTATGATTTGCCTAGAATCTATTTCCACATTCTGTACAAAATTTTTAACTATTTCCAATTGGAGGCAAAGTTCCGGTTTCTAATTACTTATTGGTTTTTCTTTAAATCTAAGGTAACATAGCTGTAGGAGTCAACATCATTAAATTATTTTGTTTAATGGGAACGCTCTTTCTATTTTGATATTTGATTTCTTAATTGTTAATTAAATAGTAATACGAAAGGAGTGTTTTCTTGTTAATTTTTCACAAATTGGAATGTGTCTTTCAGCTGCCTTGGATATAAATCTTCTATTACAATGTGGACATTCTGTATCTTAGATAGCTGTAGCTCTTGCCTTACAGTCAATAAAACCTGCTTAGAATTTGATTAGATACCTATGTTTGTTAAATTCGCTTTGCCAGATTATTCCGCTATAAATTTTTATAAGCTAGTAGGTCTAAATTGTTATGATGAATCTGATAGCTGCTTTTTGATAATTGGTTTCCTTTCCATTTAACTAGAAGTAGATGGTGTGCTAACTTAGGCTTATCTTTTCTCTTAAAGTGAAGGCTAAGAAGGTTAGATCATTTCAACAGTCTTCTTTCTGGGAGGTTTAGGTTTAGCTATGATTTCTTTACACTTAGGTATATGTCTTTCAGCAACATCTTAGAGATAAATATTTAATTGTTACGTTTATCAAAATGCCTTTCACAATATTCGCAAAAAACATAATTGGAATTTACTTTGGTTTCTAGAGGTTTTAACTAATTGACATCTTATCCTTCAGTTTCTAACTTAATATATTATGCTGTTATTACTTATTTTAATTTTCGGTTATACTAGATTTACTCTTAAAATTTTTGATGTTCCTCTCTCCAATTAGTTTTAATTATTTCAACATCCATTTATTGAAGTTGCTATTTTTTCTGTTCAATTTGTTTTTTCTTTTTTTATATTATTTTATCCCTTTCTTATTATTTTTATTGTGCTTTTTGACAAGCAATAAGATGTCTTTCAATTCTTTCGGGATGAAACTTCCTATTGCAAAGATCGCATGATTCTAGATCTTGGTTTTCTGGATTTTCATCAAGAAATTCGTTATCAATCTAATCTTCCATATAATAATAATAACAATAAAATAATAGATTAAAATCAAAGAATATCTTCATCATAAAGCAATCATATGATTTAAACTGCAATAATTACTACAATGTCTATAAAAATAAAGTAAATGTAATTGTTGATTTCTTCTTATCCTTCATCCTTAACTTCAACTTCTATTTGTTGATCATTACGAAACTATATCTCATTTGTAGAATAATCTGAGATTGTAATTTTCATATAGCATTGAATTAGTTCTAGAGTTTTGATTTTAGTTAGTAGTTCCATTCTACTATTTATCTTGTTATTTAAAGCTATCAGTTGTAAGATATTTTATTATTGGTGTTTAAGTCGGGATGAATTGGAAGGAGCAGAGTCAAGTTATCCACCTTTATTAGATTGACTTGAATAATTGACTCCATTATAGTGTTTTTCACTTTAAAATGAAGCTTATTATTTAAGGTACAAGTAATAGTGTTTTTATTCGTTATATTTTCCTTATATAATATGAATTATATCTTTTAATCTTTGATCCTAGATCAATAGAGATTTAATCACTTATTTTACAGTCAATATTATTGACTTTGTTTTCACTTTATCTCAGTTAATCTTTGATTTCTTCAATGAAGAATTATGTAATCAATTTCCTTTTTGGTTATTTAATAAGAGTTCTTATTTGATAATATCTATTATGATATGACATTATTCTTATTGTGTAATATTTCAAGTTTGAATTCTATTTCCTTATTGTTCAGGAGTTAATAGTTTACTTTGTAATTCTACTACTAAAACTGTTATGCTAGTTAGAAGATAATCATCCATGATTATATAATTTTATTATTATATGCAATAATTTCATTTCCTCAACTCTGCTTCCAAAGTAGCAATCTCCTCTCTCAATTGATCCTAATACTCCTTGTGAGTTTATTTGGCTCTTTCCCAAGCTCTCCTGGTCAATGGATGCAATTCAAGTCTATCATCCAAAGTTTTTCTAAAGTTGAATGGTGAAATGGAAACCTATAAAAGTTGTTTTATCTCAATCCATCAAGTTTAGCATTGGTAGCAATGGCATATAGAGGAATGAATACAGCAGATGCAGACCATAATATTCTAATGGATTATTGGGAAGAAGCATAATGTCTGCCAAGAAGACAAATGAGTCCTAAACCAGCATTAGTCAACCAATCTATGTAAGAATGAGTATACATTAAAGTGAATGGGGATTTGCATATTCTGGCAATGGTCTATATTTAAATGGCTTGAATCCTTAATCTTCCAATCTTTATTTGACTTCTGGTGTTATATTAGGAATAGCTTATTACATTTTAATATTTAATATATTTTTATACATTCAAAAATTGTTTCTAGAATCTCCCCCATTATCTTAAATTATAACTAATCTCTTCTCTATATTAATGAGAATACCCATATGTATTATAATAGATTATGCAAAACACCCTAACATATATTATAAATCTATTCGATTTTCAAAGAGTTTTTTATTTCTCACTTTATTCTTCATTGATTAATTATAATCATGCATTTCTTGCTTCAAAGATCACTGAATGTGGTTCATCTCTTTTTTTGATATAAACAAGAAGTTTGTAACAAATATTATTCATATCTCCCACTTTATCTTCTTTTTTGCTACTGCTGTTACTACTCTTCATAAATCTTAACTCTAGTTGTCTTAATAGGTAAACTCATTAGGTTTTTCAAATTAACTACAAAGTCATAATGTTCATTCCTATACAATAAAGTCAGTCATTATATTATGCAAAATAGTTATTTGTTAAAATTGTTATGAAAATTTCTTTTTCTCAATTTTAATTATTATCTCAAAGTTCCAATTGAGCTATCAAATACCGATTTACACTCATTAATAAGAACTCTCCCTTTTACATAACCTTTAAAAAGTGTAAGTTATTGTAGTCAATAATAAGCATTAAATTGATAATGTCATATTTGGGTTATATTTGAAATTCAAAGGAGAAATGTTACTATTTTTAGAGATTTTTAATAATCCAATTTGCCAAATGATATTAATTGTAAAGTTGAGCTTTGTTATAAAATCTAAGGATTCCTCTGAATTGATATTAATATCTTATAGGATACAATAAAAGATTGCTCAATCCCTTTAGTCCCATTCAATTCTTAGTATGTTATTTAACTGAGTCTAATTAACTTCATTTGCTTAATTCATCCTGGCATTTTAACATTTAATATTTGGATTATTAATATAATTATGTAACATTAAATACTAATTTCTCCATCAAGATTGGCTGTTTAGTAAAAAACCTAAATCTCTAAGAACACTTTGATCTCCCCTTAACGATTTCCCAATAGGAAGATATCCCAGGGAGTCATTGAGGATTTTGTTGTTAGATCAAATTATATTACCAAAACAAATAATGGGAGCTTGACTGAAAGAGTTAATAGCTTATAGAAATCCCAAAAGTCTGTTTCAAAAGATAAAATAAGACCCATAAGCAAATAATTACGTATTCCAACTGAAAATTTTTTCCACATTACAAAAGGTGTTAATCTACTTCTCACATAGAAAAACTCGAATCCTTAAAAATAAAATAGTCAATAACTCAAACCTATTTAAGGCTCAATGACAAGAAGAAATAGTATGGAAGAACTAATTGGGAGTACGATGTATACTGGAATTGGAAAATCACAATCTCAAGATAAAATTCAGAAGTAAGAAATATCAATTTATGTTCACTATTCATAAGAAGATGTTCAAAACTATCGTTTCACTCCCCAAATCACTACTGATAAAATAACTAATCTCCTGAAATAAAAGCAACAGAACAACATTCCGATTATAGGATTCTCAACAGTGGATGAAAACTATGCTATTGATTACTATTTATAACAACCAAATTTACCAATGGATTCTTTTATCAATAAAACAATTAGGTTGAAGCCTATTTATAATTAAAACATTAAACGAATCAATTTAAGTAGTTTTCAATTCATTTCCATTATTGGCAAAGGCGGATTCTCAACTGTCATCTTAGCCAGATCATTAATAGATGGCAAATTTATAGCCCTTAAATTGATTAATAAATAATTTATCTAATAGCATTAAAAGTAAGATCTAATATTGAATGAAAGAGACATTCTCATTCAAAGCACTTATAGTGGTTCTATTTTTACTAATCAAATCGAATGTGCTTTTGAAACTAAAAATTGGATTGTTTTTGGAATCGAATATTGTCCTGGAGGAGAAATGTTCAATTTCATCAAAAGACTCCAAAGACTCTCAGAATAACAAGCCAAATTTTACATTATTGAAGTTATCTTAGCCATAGGATTCCTACACAATGAATAGATAATTTATAGAGATATTAAACCAGAGAACATTTTAATTGATTCTAGTGGTCACATATAATTGGCTGACTTTGGTTTGGCTAGACCTAATATGACCAAAGATACATGTGCTTATTCATTCTGTGGTTCACCTGAGTATATGGCTCCTGAAATGTTTTAGACAACAGGTCATACTTAGTTAGTTGATTATTATTGTTTAGGATGTCTATTATATGAATTTGTAACTGGATTACCTCCCTTTTATGCTGAGGATAAAAATATCATATATGCCAGATTGCTTAAGGAATAGGTTGAATTTCCAGATTATCTAAGTACAGATATTAAAGATTTAATAAGATAATTGATGGTCAAAGATCCTCATAGGAGATTAGGTTCTCGTTTTGGAATTGATGAAATCTTTTCACACAAATGGTTTAGAGACGTGGATTTAGTGTCTTTTATTAATAAATAAGTTAAACCTCCTTACATTCCAGATCTTCAAAAATTGAACATCAAATAACTGAGTTAAAATGATAAATACTTTTTTGAATAAATCTAAAGAGAACAGAAGTAAAACATTGCCTTTTAACCAATGTTCTCTTCGCAGTTTTATTTTACTAAAGATTAAGATAAAAATAATAACAACGTCATTTTAAACAAGGCAACATTAGATAAATTGATTAAAAAGACTCTTAAAAAAAATCCAAAGTAAGGGTTAACAAATCTTTAGTTATAAACAAACTTTGAAAATCTTCTTAAGCAAACATTCACTAATGTTAAGTCAAAGCCTGATTCAAGAAATAAGTAGTAACTTCAATTTTGATCTATATATTTATAATTTAATTCTAATTCCATTAATATGAATTTATTAACATAATAATTAATATCTTGTTATATAATATAATTGTTTCAAGATTTTTATTTCTAAACAATCTAAAAAATTTTAGTTTTTGTCTTGATTGATTTTAGTATCTTTAGTTATTATTGCTGAAATTGATACTCATCCCTGATGTCCATTAAGATTTATTTTTTGGGAATCATTTTAGGATCCTCTGCATATGTAAATAATTTAGTATGCAAATGAAATTTCTCGATATTAAGATTGTGTTTTTTATCATAAAAATCTTCCTATTACTTGTTATTTATCAATTTTTTAATTGATTATTAATCTTCTTTACTTATGAATCTGCCTTTAATTCTCAATCGTTTTTCAGCAACTTATGACCTTCCTGAGTAAGATATTTTTCGTTCCCAATTTCTTCTTTTATTTTTATATCTTTGAATTTTTTATTATCTTTCCTAATACTTATCCATGACAGTCTTAATTTATTCTAATCCTCTATTCGAGATATTTTCATCGTCAGTTAAGGCATTGATATCACTTTTCTTCTCACAAGAATCAGTTCGTTTTTGCAATGCTCTCAGCAATGACAAATTAATACCTATATAATGTTTAAGATGTTTACCCTATCCTTAATTGATGACATTCTTCAATTGGTCAATTATATATTTTCTCTTATATGGACACATATGATCATCACTCAAAGAATCCAAATTATCTTGATTAGGCAAGCAATGCAAAAATGTTTGGCAACTCATATGATCGTCGAGTGTTCCCTATGCTTTATATATAATTTAGATACATTAGTTAGTTCATCGAAATTTAAAGTTCTTAATTATGGTTATAATATCCCACTAACCTGCTCCAAGTCCTTCTTCGTGATATCTGAGCATATAAAAAATAATTATACAATTTGATAATATAACACTCTTGTCATTCCTCCCCTCATTGCTTCTAGACTTCTCTTTTGTAAACTATCTATTCATATTTATTATATTTCTTTGTGAAAATATTTAAACAAATATTTATAATATTATATTCTTAACATCTAATATTTCAAACAATCCCCTAATCTGATTCCCTATAAATTCCAATTATAAAACTCATTTAAAAATACTTCACTTTAAATAAATCGAATGATTCAAAAATAACTCATCAAATGACTAAGTAATAAATCATTGTAATTTTTATTATCAAAGAATCAATAAATTAACATATAATTACTTAATCTTCATAATAATTGCTAATTTTATGTTAGTTTAAATTAAATAAAATTATTCATCAAATGAACAGATCTTTAAGACAAATCATAGGGAGCTAAGCATATTGTTAAGATCTCATCTAAATAAAAAGACTAATTATTTATGAATTATTTTCATTATCTATCACAATTAAGTTTTGGTAAGATTGACCATCCTATAAAAGGTGATGATTCTAAACACACAATCGTTAGAATATATAAATCAATTTAATTATAAAATCATGGCTACTCCTCTTTTTGTCCAATGGCTATCAGATTATCGGATTGGTACTCTAATATTACAAATGAAATTCGCTGATCCTCCAGTGCTAGTCACATTTCCTCTTCTCTAAACAGTGTTGTATAATGGACATGCATAATTCTGTAATATCTATTATTCTAAAGTAGGTTTAAAGTGTATTATAGGAGAGTTGTAGTAAAGTATTAGATTTTCAGGTTCTTCTATTGAATTAGTCTTAAAATCAAATTTAGCACCATCAATGTAAATGCCTTCAACATAAAATCCATCATCAGGTTTCTATGTTGGTCTATTCTAATGGAATTCATAGTCAAATTTAACTTCATCAATTGGTATCTAATGTTTTCTAGCATAATTTTGAAGAATTCCAGTTAAAAAGCTTTGTATAAAAAATAGACCACCTAACCAATATAGTATTGGTTCTCCTTGGATGATCCATCTTTGAATAAAGGATACTCTATCTAACAAATCTTTGATATATGTTGCTAAAGGTTTCGTTGTCTAATATGAGTGTTTCAACCATTCATTAGGGACTTTGTTATCCATAATATTTCCCAGTATGTCTTAGGAATCATCAGACATATTAATATATCCATCTATCTATTTAATAAGATTAGACAAAGATGAATTTATTGTACGCAATAGTTTGTTATATCTGCCAACATCTTATTGTAGTACAGTATTCAAAGAATTCTTTGATAAGATGGGATACTTTTATTCCAATTCTACAAGATTGAATTGTTATGGCAATAAATCAATGATTTCTTTGCATTTTTGTTTGGAAATATAATCAGTATTTTGTTGTGCTCCAATAGCTCTTGGTAAAACCTACAAGATTTCTTAACTGATGTGATCGACTTATAAGATTGAGGAATATATTTCTGCATTTGAATGCAAACCAAAAAGTTATGGAGGGTCTTCAATTGGCAAGGTTTGAATGTAGTTAATATATCCATGTATATTATTGGATTCTGGTATTTTTACATATTCACTAAACACATACCCTACTTTAGCTGTGTTTTCATTTAAGAATTCATGTACTAGAATATTCAACAATTTTCTATCCTAAGGATCTGTTACTCGACCACCATAATTTGATTCAGCAACTAAATATTGTAATGCATCCCATTAGATTTCATGTTAATGATTCAGGATGTAGAGAATTTATTCTTTTGATATTTCGAGATCATGTTATGAGAAATTATAACTCACATTCCATCCCAAAGGACCATATTTTCTTCTTTCTAAAATGCATGCATGAAATAAAGTCAAAGAAAAGAATAAATTCTTCCACTCATCTTACTTCTTACATTATTCAAACTTCTCTTAGTCTTACGAGAAATATGATCTTAACATATTGTTCTTTAAACCTCTTGGCAATTCATATGTCAATTTCAATGCTATTAATTATTTAATAAATTGATACTTTTTAATAAAACATTATGTGGAAATAAATTTGTAGGTTGACTTGTTAACCATAATCGAAATTCCTTATTGATATTCGGACCTTTAAATTGATTTTCAAATAACTACTCTAACTCTGGCATAAAGGATTAGGCAACATGGCAATTTTATAATAAAACCCATTTACCTTAATGCAAACCATTCTTTATCAATTTCAACGCCAATTATATTTGACCTTACCCTAAAGAAACTGTATAGATATGATCTTAGTATCCTAATTTGTCTGCCAACGATATTATTTCTTATCTTGCATCACTCCCTGGTTAGATTAAACATAATAAGGGCGTAGTGGGAGTGGACTCTTAATAGAACTATTCAAATGTAAATGGGATATTCTCTAAGAATTGCTTACCCATTAAAGTTCTTACCAATTCATTGAAACTATTAATAAATTGTTCAGGTTTTATAATCTTTATCAACATCAAAGAATTGAATTAATTTACAATCTAAGGTATCTGTATTTTATACGATTATTAACTATAAAAGTACCCATCCCAAAATTGATGATTTTCTTCCATATCTTAACCCAGCCATCCGAAATCCTTAGGATACTTCTCCATCAAATCAACCAAGCCTAACCACATCTTTGGTGTCAACCAATCATATTGTTTGGGCATTTTTAAATCAGTTTATGTTATAGAGGGACCAATAACACAAGTTCTAATTTATTCTATTGGTATATTTAGTACTTTTAAACAAAACAAGAATCTAAATATGAATTTATCCTTATCCAATAATGATCGATTTATTGTTGTGTAAATGTGATGAAGAAATCTCTCAATGATATTTTACACTCTCTTCTATTTCCCAAATTAGGCCTCCTTAATTGATCTCTAATATTATTAGATGTAAAATTCCAATGACCACAGATAGGTTGGTTCGATTATTGATAAGTCATTTACAATAAAGTATATATTTGAAACTAGTTCACCTACTTGATTATAAAATGACTTAATTTAATTGAAAAGTAATTGATCATGTTCCAATTTCTATAATCTCTATTCAATTTCAAAAGCATCATCTTTAGACTATTATAAAGTCTTGATTAGAACTTCATTTTCTAGTAGATCCCCTGAGGCTTCAGATAGTAATTTTAGAATTAGATTTTCAGTCTGTATTTATTTATTCTTATTTATCACATATTACGAAATGTTTTTATTCCTCTATTCGTCTTTCAAAGGTTCATCAATTTTAACAACGATATTCAACATTTGATCTATCAATCCTTCTTAAGTAACCTAAAAATTGAGCATGGTCACAACTACACAAACTTAAGGCTGATAATGAGGATTCGATAGTTTAGTAGTGATATAAAATCTAAAATCACTAGAGTATTCTATCATCTTGTCACCAAATTTGATATATAAATTCCTTTATCCTCTTTATTAGTTGAATTGTAATATTTATTCATACAAAGGATCCAATGTTTATGCTGCATTCTCTAATAAAACAGCGTAACCAATTTAAATAGCATGTTGTAGTTATAATTATATCTAATTGATTGGCCACATCGCATTAAATATGATTAAGCTTTTTTGATTTTCCATATTTTTGATCCACTCATTTGCTTAGAGTTATGGATCAATCATTAGTGGCCATCTTGTTGATTGCTTCATTATGATGGCGTTATCTATACTAAATTAATCATTAGGTAATTTCTATTGAAGCCATCTGTTTATTTGCACAGGATCACTTAACTGATTTTGTAATGAATAATGGGTTGAGATTTAGACATCGTATTCGTGCAATCTAGATTTCCAATAGTCTAAGCAAATCTCTCTATATTGTATAGGGAATACTCCTAAATAAGCAATAATGGCTGAATTGAGCATGCAATCACCAATAATATTCTTTTAGCTATCTTTATACTGTTATGCTTTTAATTACCATCTTGACTTTTCTTCACTTAAATTTGCAATTAATTGTTCTGCTCTTTACAATTAAGAACTGATCGTAACAACTTACTCTTCTATTCTTTCTTTTTCTGCCTTTGCTCTATTATATTCTAGTTAGTAATTATGTAACTCTTCTAATACAACCTCCAAAGCATTTTTCTTCTCTTAAACAAGTTCTTCAGCCTATTGCAATTTTTCTTCAGCTTGTTTTAACTCTGCCTTCTTAGGCTCAATTATTTCAACTGCCATATAGGATTCCAGAACTGCTCTTATCCAAAGTGCTAGATTCCCTGCAGCCTTTGAAGCATTAAATACTCTATCCTTTTCAAATAAGGGATTTTTAGCGAAAATCTACAACTTTTAGATATTCTTTAAAGATATTTATCTAATCTACTCTAACTTTAAGCTTTTAATTCTCTTAATCAGCTTATCATTTAACAAGCATTTCTTGGCATAATCCCAATAATCTTATAGAACAGGAGGTTCTTTGTTTTTGCTTTTCACTAGATGATCCTCTTCAAATGCATATGCTAGACCCTCCATAACAATAGCTGCAGAGACTGGAGGATTTGTGAATGATTTCAATAATATCATATCATCCTTAGTAATTCTTTCTAATGCTTCAGTAGCTTAAGTTAATAGTGGAAGCACATTATCTAATGCTTATTAACAACTATTTCTCAATTCGTTAGCCTCTTCACTTTATTTTAGACACAATTTCTCTTCATATTCACATGCTTACTTCTTCCTATCTGCTTCTTCTTATCGCTTTTGAATCTTAATTAGCAATTGATTATTATCTTCATTTGCCTTTTGCAATTTGGGTTACAATTCAAATAATTTAGCTTTGATTCTGTCTACATCATTTTCAGCTTTTTTGATTTGTTCAACTCCATTCTCAAATTTCTCAATAAATACTTAAGATTATCCCATCTTCTATTCCTGAATAATTTAAAAAGTTTAAAGCATTTGCAAATATTGAGTTGGAGTCACATAGAAATACCTTCTTAGTTCTTGCTTAAACCTTTCAGTAATTTAAAGAATCTTATAGTGTACTTCCACAGCCATCTTAACAAGTTATTTAGGTAAGAATTGCTCTGCAGTTGATTCAAGGGCATCTTAAGGCCAAGTTGAAAACCAATCTATTGTTGTACAATTGATGATGGTTGGAAATGTTCGTAATCTTTTTCTATATAGAGGTCCTACCGGTTACATACACAAAACAACATGGATATTCAATTTACAATTTTTAACAAATTAACTATAAGTTGTGGTTTCCTATATTTTGATCCTTTCCTCAGGAGGAAATAAATGTGATACTTCGCCATGACTCATCAAATTACATACATCTTCTAGCATATATTCTGATTGAAATTGAGAATCATTAAATAGAATTGTGTTCTATTCATTTTCTAATCCTGTTTCTTTTAATTAGATTAATAATTGATCATTCCAAGATCTAGAATCTATCGTTTTAAGGGACTTATTAAATACTATGAAATTCGCTATTTTACTTAATGAAGATCTCCCAGTTCCACCCATCCCTATCATCAAAACATGTCCATAAATATTAGATAAAATACGAACAATCCTTATAATGTGAATGATGGCCATGTCAAAAAAGATTAATTGAAGTCTACTCTGTGAATCAAGCGAATTAAATTTATCTAAAATCATGTTTAGCTTTTCTCTGAATTTGGATAAATCATACACTTCTTCATATTGTTTATTTAAACATGATGAAAAAACTAGGTTATGGATTTGGATTTATTCTAATCCTAATTTATTTAGACTATCCTGTATGAGTGATTCGAATTTATTTTGATCTTCCTCATCAATGAGTCTATCACTAAATACTCTAAAGCATTCATGAGCCCATAATTTAAATAAATGAATTGAGTTTTCAATGACTTTAACCTTACTGATTCCTTCAAATATTTTAAATATATCTCTTAAATTATATATATAATGAGATTTCTAAGGAGTTGGTAATAACAATTTCTAAACATTTGAATAAAGATTGATTGTTTTCTCAACCAATTTATTTTTTAAATCTCTGATTTCTTCTACTTAATTCATTATTAGCCATTCACCGAAGACATTCAGCATAATTGTTAAACTTTGTTAGTTAAAACCACCAATATATAAAAGATTAAAAAATCTTAAATATCTTAAAGTAATCTAGTTTCTTTCTACAGGGTGAATTGCTCCTAAAAATGTTATATCGCAAATGTATTTGAATTCTTTAGTTTCTAAATCATACCATCCATTCATTTCCATCCATTACCTTAAAAGTTCAACTGCTGGAACTGATCCTTCAGGTTCTCTATAGGGCATATTTAAGTCATCTACAAAAATTCTGATTTATCCTTCCTCTGCGTAATAATGACCTTTCTTTCTTCTCTTATTAATTTTTGTTTCTATTAATCTTTATAATATATTTGCAGTAGTCTAGCCAGAACAAGTTATTAAGAATTATTGATATTTATTCATAGATAAAGACTTACCAGTACCAGTAGGACCTGCAAACAAAAAATGCAACCCTAACTAACATAAGTAATCATTTCTAATAGTCTCTGCTGTTTATGCAAAAATCTCATGAAATTGCATGGAGACTTGTATTTTTTAAGGAGCTTATGTCTATTTATAGGATAAATATAAATACTTCACTCCATTTAACCCATTTTCCTTGATTAAAACAATATGAAAAGTAGTCATCTTAAACCTCTACTTATAATTCTAGCTAAGAATCATCTGGAAATTATGTTTATAAATTCGAGATCTTAGTTTCTATTAAATTATTCAAAAACAAATTAAATTATGGTCTAATTTATTCATCCATAGCTGCTCCAAAGGACCAAATTAAACAAAATATAATGATATTATCATTATTTTTTTAAACTAAATCTTCAGTTAGGTACTTGGATAACAACCTAAGGAAACTGCATGTCAATATATTAATGGAATCATAAAGAATAAAAACATGATGTTTAGACTTAACCCAAGCTATTGTGTTATCTAAAAAACTATAAAAATATTAATCATATCTTACAATCTAATTCTTCTAATTGTGTAATCTTTATCAAATCCTTTAGGTAATTAGATAGATTGAACTATTAGATACCAATTTACGGGTAAAAAATATACCATTCCACATCTTGATACTGTTGCTGGAGAAGCAGCCTTTAAGTCTTCTATTTCAAAAAGCATACACATTGTATCTGGTATTTTTAAAATTTCACCAGAAGTTAAACATAACTTTTTATTATCATCCAAAACAGTGTTCAAATTTTCAATCCAAATAGAATCTACAGGGCCGTCAAACATTATCCAAACCTTTTAACGTTTATCAATGTTATCTCTTATTAATATAGGTGCAACTCCATCTGACCACTATTTTGTTTCAGGGTCTAGTTTTCCATAGAGTTAATCACTTGTTATGGATTTAGGATTTAATTTCAAAATAAGAGCATCTTAACTCTTACTGAGTGTTTATAAAACTGAAGTCTTTCCAGCACAGGCTTACCCAATACACATAACTCCATTTCTGACATTGATGTTATTGTTTAATTAAATGCATTTTTCAATGAATTCTGCATCCATTTATAAGTCCAACTCTTAACATCCATCATACAAATTTGATAATTCTTCTCCTTCAGCTAGTTAAATTCCTGGGAATAAATCCTATGTTATGGCCATAAACAACATAAGATCACTATCAGTGAATTTAGGTTTATTAACATTGATCAAAGCATTTAAACATATTTCCTCCTCAATTTCATTAAACATAGATTTGGCAGAATTTAAGACGGCTTTCAAAGTTCTCATACCGAAATCATAATGCTCCTAACTAGATAATTATTCATTGCATAGTTTTAGACATGTCACTATTTTACTGCTTAATTCTCTTGCTTTCTAAAAACCAATACTATATAAATATATCTCAGCTATCATTGCATAATCAGGTACCATCATAGCACAAGGTCTAAATAAAATTTTTAAGTTATCTGGTAATTCAGTTCTTCCTGCATATCCAGGATTCATAGTGACATTTATAGCACATGTTTTAATTAATTGAACATGTTCACCTTCAAAAATAAAATTAGTCCTTTCCTCTTTAATAGCTTTTTAGATTGTGTATATCTATTAGGCAACTACAGATAAAACCTCAGCATCAATACGATTGAATTCATCAAAACAACACCATGATCCAGAAGAAGCTAGACCTTTAAAAAATTTACCCATAGCAATATAATTTAAACCATCTGAACAATTAAACACTATACAAGGCATTCCAACTGCTTTAGCCAAATCTTTAACTGTCTCTGATTTTCCTGTACCTGCTGGACCTTCAGGGGCTCCCCCATAATTCATATGTAATGCTTCCAATAGTGTCCTTTGACATCTATCTGTTAATGATGTCATTACTAATCTGGTTACCTTTCCTAAATACTCAAATCCATATTAAACAGACACATTTATCATTCTGGCTGAAACATTCTTATTATCTTCATTGTAATATCTTAATTATGAAATCCATGCAAATTCAAAAATAGTTTAGACATTTTATTTATATAAGGACTGTACTATATCTTTAGCATGCACTTCCATGACAACCATGGCTTCTAGAATAGTTTTAGGAATAATTCTATTCTCTTTTCTCACCAATTATACAGTTTCATGCAACTCTTTATTTAATTATTCACAAAATATTCCCAAATTAAGTTTCTGTTAACCTCTGATAGCTGATTCCGTATTTCGAGTCCATCTTATATGATTTGCCAATAAGATGCATTAAGCAGGCCACTTTGCAATAAATTCCTATTTGGTTGATATCAAATCAATCAAAGTTTAATAAGAATAATTTTTGATAGCTGTTCTCATCTCACTCTATAGATCTAACAACCATAATTCAACATTTCCTTTTCTAGAGCCTTCCATTACTTTAACATCTTTGAATAATTAAATCTTCTCCTCCTAAGTAGATTGAAATCCAGTAATGGCATTGTTTGCAGTGAACTATAATTTATGCATAGCTTCAAAACATTTGTAAATATGATTCTATATTTGAGTTGGATCTTTGGTCTAAGATAGAATCTGGACTAGTTCTTCATCTGAAACAAAATAAAATCTTGGAAAAACAATTCTCTTCTACTCTAAATATATTGTTAAACTCTTTTAGATTTAATCTAGCAACAAAACTCCATTACTAAAATCAACTTTCATTTTATCACTATCAACACATTCCCATAAAATGGGTTCCTTCTTAAATTCCTTCATGCAATTTCTAAATGCTTGATCCACTAATTTAAAACTCCTAGTCTCATCTACTAGTTTTGTTTAAATATCTTCACTTGAAAAGATTGGATCTAGATACATCCATTATTTTTGGCATTTCATTCCAAAATCTAAAGTATCTTATACTAATAATATTTTATATTCCAATTGATTGGCTTAACCGACGGATAACTTAATATGAGGTTAAGCTTTTAGAATTGTCAATACACTGAATTATTCATCCAAAATTACTTATACTTCATCTAAGTTTTTAAAAATATAAGTTTCTCTATAGGGACTCACTTCTAATAGGACTTAACATAACTTTTCCTGCATCTCTTATAATCTTTTCTCAATATTCCATCCTTTCTCTGCTCTAATTGATATTTAAATCACTTATTCCTTATAATTCAAAATTCCTCTGTTTAACAAAACATAAAATGGAAAATCATCTTTTGGATCAAAATTACTAATCTTGCACTCTCTAAATAATTCTCTCCAAAATTAAGGTTTTTTTGTAAATGCCTCAATTGCCAAGGCCTCCACTACCCATAAGATGTCCTTCAGAGAATCCAAAGCTTTCCGAAATCCTTTTAATAAATTTATTAGATTTTCATTCTCCCCCTCAAAATTGGCACTCATGGATCCTATCTCGCTTGCAAACTAATTTATCTTCCAAATCATATCCTAATAGTTCAATGACTTGAAAGATCCGCTAATCCATTTTTCCTTTTGGGACTCAAATTTGCTCTAATGCATATGCTGGAGATGAATACCACTAAAGTCCACAACTTTTCATAGGGCTTGAACTAAAATATTATGTTATCTAATTCAGCCTAATTAGTTAATTGCATCGATAGCATTTATTAGCGAATATTAAAACTGCTGATTTAGTCTTTTGCATAATTGAATGATCTAGTTAATTAATTAACTTAAGGAAGATAAGTCTTAATTTAAGTATAATCATTAAATTATTTAATTTAATTAAATAGTTCTGCTATCTCATACATGGTTTCTTTGAAGTCTTATTCATCTTATTTTAAACGTTTTAAAAAGTCCTTCTCTTTAATTTAAATTATATCCTTATTTGAATGTATTATTTGAGTAATATCCTTAGGTTTATATAAGAGATGGTAATATGATTCAATTATTTTGTTATCATATTCAAAATAATTATCTTCAAATATATTAACATACTTCATGCTAAATTTAAATTATTAAGTCTTACATTTAACTAATTTCGAAACGCAACTTCCCAAACTACACATTAATTTCATCGAGCATCAATTTCAAGTCTATTAATTCTTATTCTGTGTCAGGTATGTGTGATCCTTTCTTGTAGGCTTCTTCATATTATTCTCCTATGTTTTTTATATTGAATAAAATAACTTCGTGAATTCTATTCAATATCATTTTCTTTTATTCTTCAGCTTTGTTAATGAGAAATTCTTTGATTCCTTTTAATTTCAAAGTGAATAAACCCAGTTTTAGTGAATCAAAAGAAATGTTGATTATTTCCTTTTTAGCCTATTCTAAACTTTTAATCTTTTCATCTATATCATCAAAATTTAATTAAGAAAGTGGAACTCTTTTGGTATGTATCCCTAAGAGCTCATTTACCTCAGTGCTTCTGAATTTCTTCAAAATAAATTCAAATTTTTTAAATTTGATGAGCTCTTGTTCACATTTACTATACTCCAACTTTATAAACTCTGTAGTTGGTTCTATCTATTATTTCTAATATTCTATATCCTCTAGTGTTAAAATTAATTCATTTTTTAGCAATAGTAATGTCATAATATCACCTTCCATTTTATTGACTTTACTGACTTATTCTATTAATTATTATTAAGGGAATGTCAAAAGTTCAATAACTTCAGATTCAGATAAGTTTATAGTAATTTCTTCATCATACTCAATCTCCTCCTTTTGTATTTCCTATTCTTTCTCTCTAAATGATTGTTTAGTTAATCTTTCCATCTTTTTCACTACTTACTTTTTTGGCTTTGTTTATTTTAATATCTTAACGTGTAGCTCCAACACCAAAAAGGTAGATGTATTGACATAATAATAATCATTAGGTTTTAGTATAAATTTCTTATAAATATTGAGAATAGCTTCTGTGTTGATTAGTAATTGATGTTTTAAAAAATCTGCATAAACTAAATCAAGTCTTCGTAAAATTCTATGCAAAGGACTTTACTGATGAGCATTTTAATCTTTGCCTAAGAAATTATACTTTTTTTATAAGACATCTTAAATTTCTGATTTTTTGTACTTTCGTTGCAAATTAATTTAATAGATATAATTTTTGATATTTTTCTAACAATAATCCAAGAAAACAGTATTGAGAACTGGTAATTATAGCTCATTTAAATCAATAATTTAAAAATTGAACTTTAAACACCTAGAATTCATTACTTACCAGACTTATACTGTTATTTATTACATAAATGATTAGTTATTTTCAATTTATTATTAATTCTTCTAGTAAAATTAAAACTTTGGCAAAGGGCAATAAACTTATTTGTATTTCTACAAATCCTTGTAAAATACACATTTTTTCATATCGAAAGTATAAATTTAATTAACTTCTTCTAAAAGCTTTGATAGTAATCCATAACGATCATTTTAATAAAATCTTCTAATGAATCTAAACCTCAAAGGATCTGGGAGTTTATTAACTTCCACATCATTAACATTTATTATATCTTGAATTTTTTTCAGTTCAATTTTTTTTAATGATCGAAATTGGATTCTATATTGATATTTTTAATTACTTTTCTTTTTGAGCTTATTAAAAAAGTTCTTAATTTTAATTATAAAACTAAATAGACAATCTGGTAACATTTTTTGTTTATCCATCTGGGTATTTTTAAACCGAGAATTTTTTTGTCTCTTAGACATAGTCCAAGACTGTAACATCATACCATATGTATGAACTTATTTTAAAGTATATTTTACTTAGTAACTTTATCATAAAATTAAGCTTTGGCTTAAGGTGGGTTCATTCTCTTGCATTTTTCAAACCATTCTTAATTGCTAACATCCTTATCCTCATCATTTGTAGGTTGAATTCGTTTTTATTTTCTACTCATCAATAATAAAGGTGTTCTATCAGTTTTAATTCGAGAAAAGCCATACAAAGTATATTCTTCAGAGATTTTTTTATCGTCTATTTTTTTAATGCTTCTTGAAGTAGATCTGAAAGTTCTGTTATAAAAGGTTCTGTCCTAAAAGGAAACACTTTAATTAGCTTTCATGATACCTTTAATCTATTTCATATGAATCTAACATGCATTAAAATTATTCTTCCTCTTTTCGTATTTTGCTAATATCAAGTATTTTTTTCATTCTTAATTTAACTATTGGCCCTTTTAAATTATTATTAGTTAATACCGTCCAATTTTCTTTAAGGTGATCTGAAACTCTGATTCATTTATTATTTTAATAAAATATTTAAATATAATTTTCAATACTGAGATTATAAATGAAGTGAATCGTTGCCTTCATTTTAATAATTCAGTGTTGTTAATAAATCATTAGAACTGGTTATGTGAAAATTTAATAAATAAATAAAATTAGTATTTAACATTTATTGAAAGGTTCTGGAATTAATTATTGCATGATAAGGTAACAATTATCATTGATATACTTCATAAAAATTATCGAATTATTGAAAAATGACTCAAATTAAAGATATATTAAATGAAAAATTAACTTAAACTTAAACTAATAAAATAAAATATATAATCAATTTTTATACCAATAATGAGATTATTAAAATTACAGAGATTTAATACATGGATAAAATTCTATATTTTTCATCTGAATATGAAAAATATATGTATTTAATGAAATACCATATTAATACAGTGAGCTCTTCATTTTCTGTCTTAAATAGGTCAGCTATTCCATTTTATGGAGATAAATAATAATATTTTTAGATCGCTTCGATTTAAATTTTGAATTAAAGTATATTTTAAACATGTAATAAAAATAAAATAAATAAAACTATTAAAGAAATCATCAGAAGGAATCAAGTAAATCAATAGAGACTATTAAACATAGAGATTTAAAAACTCAAATTGATGAATTCTTATTAATTTGTTAAATATTATAAGCATTAAACAGTTATCCTTCGAAACATTTCAATACTCTTCTGTTTAATGACAGCAAAAAAATAGCTTTTGAAATAGGTTTTTCTTTTTTGAACTAGAATTCTTAGAACCTACTCCTTATTTTTCATTTTGCTTGATTGCAGAAGAGTGCTTGGAATTGGAAAGGCTAGTTGAATATTTCGATTGTTTTTGAGTAGCTTTAAGAGAGAACTCTGTTTGATTTGTTTAGGATAGCATGGTTGAATTGGCAAAGGCTAAAATTTGAATGAACAATTACATGGAAAATCTTCATTAGGAGTTCCTTTTTTCTTTTTTGGAATGTACAATTCATACAAATATTAATTATTTACATCTGATGAAAATGGAGTTTGTAAATATTCATTTTAATCATTAAATTAAGCTATCGCTAGTTAAATGAGATCTCCAATTGTGATTTAAAAGTTATTAGTTTTGATTGGGATCTCATATTTATGATCAATATTGGAATCATACCAATATATCATATAGAGACATTTTTTATCATAATGGTTTTATGCAAATTGCTAATATTTGAAAAATATATGTACGCCATCGTCATTTCTCATAGTATGGTCTGCCAAAGATTGAGAACCTCTCCTTTAACTGATTTACGGGGTTAGAGTCAAGAGACTTCCTAATTAGATATATTTTAAAAATACTTTAAGTTTTAATTGGTTTGATCTTACAATTGTTTTCAGTGAAAGCAGAAGTTGTGGAAAGAGCATTGCTACTTTATTTAAACTAAGTTGTCGTAGACTAATCTTGATTATCAAGAACTTATTCTTCATTAAATTTAGCAAATTTCTGTCTTTCAATGCTCTCTGCTGACATTGTAGCTATATTATAATTATATTTATTTATTCAAAGCCATTTTTCTCTATTTAATATGTTTATATGACCAATTAATTAATAAATAGCTATTATTTGATCACGTAATATTTAAAATATATTAATCAAACACTTGAGTACTCTGATTATTAAAGAACTGAATTTACAAATAGGAATACACAAGTTACCATTGTCCTAAATTGTTTCTTTTTTTTGAAATAATTTAATGTCAATATACAATTTATTCTAAATTATAAATATAATGTATATAGAATAATTAAACTTTAAGAAAATTTCTATATTCAAAACAATTACAAGAACCTAAACTCACATACTAAAATTAAGAAATCATATAATTATAAGTGATATTATTAATGTTATTATAATTATAATATCATCTAGCAGTATTTAATTAAAAACTAATTTAATCGAAATTGCTTTCTAGTGACAACTTATATTTATGAGAGGCTGAATGAGTATTTAATGCAGTAGAGAATTAAGAGTTACTATTAAATGATTGCTTGTTGCTATTTGATTTAAAAAAGGCTTCTTTTCTTTATTGAATGAGATCTAAATTTTATTAAAATAGATATTCCTTNCCTACTCCTTATTTTTCATTTTGCTTGATTGCAGAAGAGTGCTTGGAATTGGAAAGGCTAGTTGAATATTTCGATTGTTTTTGAGTAGCTTTAAGAGAGAACTCTGTTTGATTTGTTTAGGATAGCATGGTTGAATTGGCAAAGGCTAAAATTTGAATGAACAATTACATGGAAAATCTTCATTAGGAGTTCCTTTTTTCTTTTTTGGAATGTACAATTCATACAAATATTAATTATTTACATCTGATGAAAATGGAGTTTGTAAATATTCATTTTAATCATTAAATTAAGCTATCGCTAGTTAAATGAGATCTCCAATTGTGATTTAAAAGTTATTAGTTTTGATTGGGATCTCATATTTATGATCAATATTGGAATCATACCAATATATCATATAGAGACATTTTTTATCATAATGGTTTTATGCAAATTGCTAATATTTGAAAAATATATGTACGCCATCGTCATTTCTCATAGTATGGTCTGCCAAAGATTGAGAACCTCTCCTTTAACTGATTTACGGGGTTAGAGTCAAGAGACTTCCTAATTAGATATATTTTAAAAATACTTTAAGTTTTAATTGGTTTGATCTTACAATTGTTTTCAGTGAAAGCAGAAGTTGTGGAAAGAGCATTGCTACTTTATTTAAACTAAGTTGTCGTAGACTAATCTTGATTATCAAGAACTTATTCTTCATTAAATTTAGCAAATTTCTGTCTTTCAATGCTCTCTGCTGACATTGTAGCTATATTATAATTATATTTATTTATTCAAAGCCATTTTTCTCTATTTAATATGTTTATATGACCAATTAATTAATAAATAGCTATTATTTGATCACGTAATATTTAAAATATATTAATCAAACACTTGAGTACTCTGATTATTAAAGAACTGAATTTACAAATAGGAATACACAAGTTACCATTGTCCTAAATTGTTTCTTTTTTTTGAAATAATTTAATGTCAATATACAATTTATTCTAAATTATAAATATAATGTATATAGAATAATTAAACTTTAAGAAAATTTCTATATTCAAAACAATTACAAGAACCTAAACTCACATACTAAAATTAAGAAATCATATAATTATAAGTGATATTATTAATGTTATTATAATTATAATATCATCTAGCAGTATTTAATTAAAAACTAATTTAATCGAAATTGCTTTCTAGTGACAACTTATATTTATGAGAGGCTGAATGAGTATTTAATGCAGTAGAGAATTAAGAGTTACTATTAAATGATTGCTTGTTGCTATTTGATTTAAAAAAGGCTTCTTTTCTTTATTGAATGAGATCTAAATTTTATTAAAATAGATATTCCTTGATTTCTGGTTTCCTCTGTAATATGCTGGCACTCTTCAATCTTACTGACATCGTCTTTTGCTTTGCTACTCTCTAACTTGAGCCAGACAATGTTGAGTTTGAAGAACTGTATTTCAGAAAGCAGGATTCACAAACTAGTATAGTTTTGATTAAGAAGGCATCATTAACTTTCATCTATTCATAAAGTGTTACAGTGATTTAGGGATAGAGCTTAATAATAAGTGGAGGTATATGAGAATGTATGTCTCTAATGTGATCTTGACTTACAACAAAGGATTTTGGTTTAAGAACTAAGATGTTATCATTAATGATTGGATTAGTATTGGGATTCATCTCAAAATGTTTAATTATAAATTCATAAGCCAAATGATAGAGATCATCTTTTTAACAGAGTGATCCACATTCAACACACTCTATATTTTTAATTAGAGTAACTGGATGCATAGTATTAACAGTTAACACATTTTTAATTTAATGTGGTCGTCTGAAATTAGTATTGAAAGATATTGGTGTATTATTCTTTTTGATATTTGAGTTACCCCAAATAGATTTATATTGCTAAATTTGTTCATCAGATTCTCCTTACAATCGAATAGATGTGCAATATAAAAACCAAACGTGATTCTACTTGTCTGGTTTAAAGTACATTACCACTCTAGATATATTAGTTTACCCATAACTTAAATTGGTCAATTTTTGGATGATCATCTAACACTACTTTCTGATTTCTTGAGAAATCTGTTTGCCTCTCAGAGGAATCACCTTCGAATATGCTTCACACCCATCAAATGTTGCACATCTCTCTAAGGTTTGAATAGGACGAGTATTTACCATAAGGATCAATTTGCATGTCATAGAGGTCTCTATGGTTTTACTTTTTTGAAAGAATGCAAACAGAAGGACTCCAAATAGCTTATATTAACTATTCATGATTTGCAATAGGATCAATAAATTTCTAAAGTATTCCCTCAGGGGCCTTATTATTATTTTTTATAAATTATGGAAACGTCTCTTTTGTCAAATAATAAATGCAGATTTTCTCATTTACATCAAATTGTTTAGATTTTTAAATCTCATGAGGATCATTGATTGGATCCTTAACATTGTATTTGCTATTGTAAATATAATATGCAATAACTTATCCATTTTATTTGCTATTATTACAAAAATAGTTGATGATATTTTCAGGTTTACGACAATCATTCTTCTTCATGAGGATTTCTCCTTATTAATTTGTAAAATACCACACTTATGGCATTCCATTCTTAAATATAATTGTATCTGGCAATCTCAACTGGAACGACTCTTTGATTAAAGAATCATCCTTTAACCAAATATAGTGATAAATAGATTCAGCAATCCCATTCGTGTTAGTAATCATTAAATTTATATATTTATTATATTAATCAATAAATTAATGTATTGTGACTTTAACAATTCTTTGGCCACTTTAGAATATTATTTTTATAACATACATTAATAGAACAAATATGAGAATTTTAGGTTTTTGGTTACGTAATTTATAGAGAGATTCACTTTCCTAAATTGCTAAAGGTTTCAATTTGTTCGCATCAGTTAAAAAAATTGATTTTGTATGTTAAATTCAATAAAATGAAAAAATTTAATGTCATTCATTTTTTATTAATTTGGAACATTGTCCATAAAAGTTTGATAGTTTTCAATAGATAATTGTAATTTGAATATAATTGATATAATATAATATAACTCAACTATGAAGAACATATTAAGGAATGTATCCTATTGTTTACTGTATTTCATAACAATGTGATCTATTTTTAGTTAGATTCTTACTGATTTAGATCTATTGATTTTTTCTCCATACTTTTTTCAAGAGTAGGAAATGTGTATTTTGGTCCATCATTAATATCTCTTATAATATTATATCTGCCAGGTCCCAGTAAACTTAACTCTTGAGGTTTATCATATTTTTTTGCAATATGATAACTAGGTCCTTTATTAGAGATCATTGAATCATTGGGATTATATTTTCCAGGTCCCTACTATAAGCTTAAATCATAACTGGTAAATTTTCTAAATTTATTTGATCCTTAGGAGCTTTTGGAATTATTGCCCCATTCCTTCTTAGTTGTGAATCAATTTTGTATGATCCTGGCCCTGGCGTTCTTTCTGTTGATATTATTGATGGTCTCATTGCCTTATTGAAGCTAAAATTATTTATAGATCAAAGTCAAAACCTTGCATGTCTAGTAGGATACTTATAATTAGAAACATCATAATCAAGTGGAGATGGACCAAGTTTTGAAAAGTTTTAACTACTTCTCTTCGACTTCCCTATTCTTGAAATTAACAATTTAATTACTTTGCTCCATAAATACTTTTAAATTTTCCATCCAACACAACTGGGTCATAACTACCTGGTCCTGGAACATTTGCTCTGTCAATTTATTAATTTATTTTGCTTCCAAATGTAATGCCTTATTATTTTGGTAAATTAAGATCAAATGCTCCTGGACCTGGCCCAATCTGACTCCAATCCATGCTCCTTTAAGATTTTGGAAATCTTTTTACATAAAACTATAGAATACTTAATGTTAGTCTAAAACTTTGGCTTTTCTATTTCATATGAACCAGGTCCTGGATGATTTGATAATAGTATGTTTGTTCTTTAACTAGTAGAAAATCCTTTATTTTTAGGTCTTTGAGTATGACTCTGCTCCAATTCATAATTTCCAGGACCAGGAGTCTTCATGATTTCATTTCCAATGGAATCAAATCTACTTTAGAAAGTAAATGCAGGTGCTTTTTTTGAATCAGATAAATTATATGATCCTGGGCCAATTTCAGTTTCTTTGGGAGATGTCTCTTTTGCTTAAGTGAATTTGACTGAGGATGTGTGAGGTAAGATTGCCTAAATAAGTTATACTAATAATTGCCTGTAATTTAGAGTCATAAGTCCCAGGATCAGGGGCTAGACTAGCTTAATAAAGAGGTTTCCTGTTAGATTTCGAAAACTTATATCCCGTTGGTTTATCTAAGGGATTGACTGAATAATGATTTGGTCTAATGTGAATAAATATGATACCCAGGATTTGGATTGGTTTGGTATATGGCACCTAAGATTAAAACATAGATTACATTCATATCTTTTGCCTATAGTGAAAGCGCCAGAAAATTAAGAATTGGGACCATGAATCATTATTTATAAAAAATAAAGTATGAGACAAACTTACAATAATGTAATTGAAAATAAATAATAATATAGGTACATACAATAAGATTGACATCTTATGTTCAATTATCAACTTCAACTCCTTAAATTCCATTTTCTAATTTAGAAAAATAATTTATACATAAAGGTACTTCCTCATCATTATTTTCAGAAAGACAAATCTGGATAAATAGATTATCAATTTAGCTGATTCCCTCTTTGATTTATTTGAAGATGTTTTTTGATTTTTCTTGTTCCTCAACCTCGTAGTTCTCTATAAGATTTTGACTATACTTTGTGAGTATTGGATCTAACATTACTCCTTAAACATAGATCTAAATAATAGTCTATTAGTACATTAATCATTATAATAGCAATAGAGATAGTTAAGAGCACTTCACCTATTGGACCATAGAGTATGATTGTTTATATTGATAGGGCATATGCCATAGCTCCTCTTAATCCACTAAACCATAGCATATTCATTTAATATTCATTTATTGTGTGAATACTGCGAAATTGATTTGCAAATTTTGTAATTACAAAAACAAAGAAGTATCTCGAAAGATTTATTGCTAGAAAAGTAGATATTACGATTCCAAATCCAGTTTCTTTATATGGCAAATTAAAACCAATTACTCCTATTCCAATAAAGATGAACACTGAATTTTCAAAGATATGAGCTATAATCTCATAGAATTTAGTGAATTCTTTCTTAGACAACTCATTTGTATTGGGAATTGTGTATCTAGCCATTGAAATGCCACAAAACATAATACTAACTATTCCTGACATTTCTAGTGCTTCTGAAATGAGATAAGTAATCCAGGGTAATAATAACAGCAAAGATGCCTCAAAATTAGCAATCGCTTGATTTTTAAATCTTATTACAAAAGCACTTATTATTCCCATAGCATAACCTATAGCTATTGAAAGGAAGAATATTAATAGAAATTAACTAATTACTTTCAATAAATCACTTGTTTCTTAATTGATTATTTCATTAACTGCACTATTAATATCAATAAATATTCTTGTTACTTAAATAATGTTAAAGAAACAGCATCATTTAGAATGCTTTCTCCAAAAATAAAAGTGTAGAGCATTTTTGATTATTTCATATTTTTGAAAGCACTTAGAACAGCAACTGGATCTGTTGAAGATATTATTGCTCCGAATGCAAAGCATTTAGACAATTGCAGTTCCTTTGCTAAACCTAATAAACCACATATAAAGATGAAGAATGAAGTTATTATCATTGATATTATTGTGCCAAAAATTGCATAAATATTGATAGTACCAAAATGTTCAAAAAAAGTTACCGAATCCATGTGAATAGCACTTATATTTATAAGATTGAATACCTTTCAAACAAGATAGGCGGTAGCAATATTATTAAGAATAATTAACTAAATCCCATTTTCATGGTTGTTGTTATATCCTTTCCTGATTTAGAAAAGGTTAAAATATATCCTGTAATTAATCCAATGGATGTAGTTATAATAGTGTCATTGATATATTTTAAGTAGGGATATTTTAGTTTTTTGGTGGCAATGGTTTGGAGCAGCAACTCATTGAATACCAATAATCCAATAATTAAGAGAATTGAATCACTTATTAATGATGTTTCCTATATGAATGTCTTGAGCTTACATTGCTATCATCAATGTTGTCTCCACATTTTTTAAATAAATGTAAAAACATCAAAAAATTTATAAAAATATTCTAACACATTTTCAATATTTATTTGTGTTCTCGTTTCTCCTTTCTTTTAAAGATTACTAAATTAGAATACTCCTTTTGTGACTCTTAATTCTCAATCAATTAATAATTAAATGTTAGAAAATGAATAATAAATTTAAGAAGACCCTAAAACTAATCTTCTTAATCTTGATTCAGGAATAGAATTTATAAAACCCATAAGACATAAATCTTCTTATTATGAAAAGGATTTTTTTGTAGAACCTTGGGATGAAAATCAGGATAATTTTCTCCAATTATCTCCAAAAATGAAAGAGGAACAATAATAAGAAAGAAAAACTAGATCAATAAAAATTAAACTTCCTTAATCTCGAACCTAAAGTAGGCAACGCTCAAGTGAAACTTAGTAAACAGTTCAAATTACTCTTCCATTACATGATAGAGCTGGAAGTTGTCATGCACAATTTTAAGACTTAGGTATTTCAAATCATTCAACCACTTATAAGAGAATAGTAGATAAAATGAAGAACATACAAATGAACAAAACTCCTGCGATTTCATACAATCATAACTATAAGCAATTTAGTTTAAAGGTATCCACAAACAAAAAGAAAATCAAACAAATTGCTCAAGTGAAGTAAAAAGAACCATTCTCATGGTCAGATTACTACAAATTCATATAAAAAAATCATAATCAAATCAAGCCTAATAAAATGTTCAATCCATTGATTAATGGCTATACTATTTAGATTAATAAGTCTCTCCAGTAAAAGTCTGATAAAGAATCTATATTAAAAAACTTTCGATTGAGATCCTCCTACAATAAGACTATTGTTTGATAATTTTTGTATAATTGCAAATACTTATGAATAATATATCACTAAAAAAATTTACTGAAAATCTTAAAATGCTAACGATTCGATTTGTTTACTAATTAAAACAGGAGTGCCAGAGTCTGAAAGGTGATATTCCTATCAATTATTTTACAAATGTTTCACAATTCATTAAATTCTAATTAAATGCTCTAATTTTTATTAAAATTGGTTGAACTCTCTTTTCTCATTTCTACTTAATCTAATTATTCTATCAATTAGGAAATTTATGATATTTTTTTTTGGAATTGTTTAAATCTTGTTCTATTAGACCAGGAAATCTCTCATACTAGTCCACCAGCTACAATTGGTAGTAAATAGAATCAACATTTGACAGTATAAGAGATAATTGCTAAAATATAAGAGCTTAAAAAATACCAACTTCCTTCCTCAAAAACTTACCTTTCAGCCAAAAAAATTAAATGCCCTGTAGATATCTCCTTTGTTAATGACTCTTGATATTTCAATGTATATATATTTTTGTATCATTTATTTATATTCAGTATCAATTAAGCTAAATCAGTCTAAGAAACAGAGTCTTGCGATTCTTATCCATGTTTTTTTATCAATTCATTATAGTCAACCTCGTGCAATTCTAGAATAAGATACGTATTAATGTTCTCTTCTAACCTATATTTTATGAGATTACTCATAGTTATCAATAATTCTTGCTATATTTCAATACTAAACTCTTTGAATTTAGCAATTTCTATAGAGAATAATTCTTATTCAACTTATTCTATTTATAAGATTAAATTCTTTCGATAACCGTAGATCAATGCTTTTAACTGCTTTTTTATCAGGTTTTCGTTCATATCACTTATATGTCATGCCATATTTTTTAATAAAAAGAACATTTTAGAATATTTCAATTCTAAGCCGACTCCACTTTTAATCAATAAATATATATTTTATTTTCAAATTATTATAAACAAAAATAGTAGTATTTTTGTACTTTATAATCGAATTCCGATAATGACCATCTTTAAATTGGAAGTTTGCTCCACTTTGGCATCGTGGTTAAAACAAGATTTTGATTGATATAAAGCACTTAACACACAAACTCATAAATATTTATCAAATTTAGTAAATAATTCAACAAGCATTCCAGCTAGAAATAAGTTAATAACAAAGAAGATTGATTTACAGGTATAAACGCTGTAACCGAAATGCGCTTTTTTAGAAGCACCTTTAGGTTCCTAATACACATTTTATGAATTAATTTCTTAATGAGTTTGTGTTCTATAAATATATTTTTAATTTACTCTTAAATTTCTTGTTTTAATTGGCCAACGTGGTTTTCAGTTTTTTAATTATATTAAACCATAATTTCTGCAATAACCTTAGTGAATTGACCCTTGTCTATTCCTTGAGCTGATGTTAAATTATTATTTTACACTGAGTCATCAATTAAAACTTATCTGCGATGTCTTAAAGAAACTGGTAGGCAAATGTTTTCTAATCTTCGATCTGATTATTTTCGGGTTGTTGCAATAAACACATAAAATTATATTGGTTTTTTTGAAAGTGATACAACGTGTACTCGTTCTAGGATTAAAATAAGGATTTGAAATACAATTTGAAATTGTTGTTTCTCTTCATTATTTTTAATGAATTTGAGCTATTTCAAAATTAATGACTAGAAATCTTCATTTGATTCAGTATATTCACATAATATAAGAGATCCTTTAGAAATAGCTGAAAATAGAATCATAAAATATTTATTTAATTCGTTTTTAATTAACAAGCAGTAGATGAATAGAGCTTTCTAATTAATTTATAAAACATTTTATGGGAAATTGCAATATAAATGAGAAGCAAGAGGATTTGCTAGAAAGCAACAGTACTTATACTTCCTATACTAAGTTACCTCGATATCCAACTTCCAATTTATTGATGCAATAGGCAGAGGGGGATTTGGCAAGGTGTGGAAGGTGAAAAAAAAGAAAAACAAGTTGCTTTATGCATTGAAAGTGATGTCGAAGGCGAAGTACTTAAAATTGAATATATTTTGAGAATCATCCTGAAGAAGTCGGTTTAGTCGGTTATAAATGAGAGATAATTGTTGAGTAATTTGAGACATGGGTATATGTTAGATTGTAATTTTCAGATTTTTGATAAATATGCAAAGTGCTTTTCAAGATAAGGAATATCTGTATTTGGTAATGGATTTGTTAACAGGAGGAGATTTGAGATTTCATATAGGCCGATTAAGAAGATTCAATGAAGAATAAACAAGTAAAGTTTGAAAATTTGAATTAGAATTTTTTGCTGCTTGTATTATAATAGCTCTTGAATATTTACATCAGAATGGGATACTGCATAGAGATTTAAAGCCTGAGAATTTGGTTTTTGATAGCAGTGGTAATTGGTTTAAATAGTAAAGTGAGGTTATTTGAGATTAACTGATTTGGGTATAGCAAGAATATGGAAGCCTGAGAATTCTTCAGATACTAGTGGAACACCAGGTTACATGGCTCCAGAAGTTATGTGTCGTCACAATCACGGAATAGCAGTTGACTATTTTGCTCTGGGAGTTATAGTTTACGAGTGCATGTTAGGAAGAAGACCGTATCTGGGAAGGAGCAGATAAGAAATAAGAGAACAAATGTTATCAAAGTAGGCAGCTATTAAAAGACAGGAAATACCTCCGGGATGGAATATGTAGGCAGGAGATTTTGCGAATTAAGTAAATATTTTATTTGACAAATAGTTACTTTAAAGAAAGCCTTAGAATCGGTTGGGTTCAAATGGTCCTGATGAAGTCAAGGAACATCCATGGTTCAAAGATTTTAATTGGCAAAAGTTGGAGAACAAATTTATGGTTGCTCCATTTATTCCAAATGTAATCTGTGCATATAATTTACTAAGTGCGACGAGGATAACTACTTACCATCAGATGGCAGAAAGGATTCAGACGACTCCCTTAGTTAAGAACAATAACTATTGTTAAGACGTAACTCAATATAAGGTATGTTGTAATTAAACTACTAAGATTTATTTAATGGGTATGATTATGATAGTAGTCAATAACAATCTTCATAGAATAATCTTATGATTGTTTCAAGCTAATCATCAACCAGATTGAGTAAGCCTCCTACTTCCTCAAGCACTCCTAAATCTTTTAAATTATGAAATTGAGTATTGATATTAGATACTTCAATAATGATTAGTTGTATAATTTAATCTTATTGAATACTTAATAACATAATATCATGCTCTTTCTCTCTTTCTTGGTGCACATTTTACAATATCATCCACTCTCATAATCAATTCAGCTGCCTCACTTGCAGCCATAACTGCTTACTCCTTAACTCTCATGCATTCTTTGATTCCTAGTTCCTTCATGTCTCCAACAGTTCCATCATTCATATTCAATCCAGAAGATAAATTTCCCTTTTACAATTCCACTTTGAAATTTTATATTAATTCAGCTGAATCATAACCTAATTTGATTAATTATAAAAGAATACCTCCATTATCACAGATGATAGTAGGAATCTATCTCAATGCTCTAGCATATGCCTCTATAGCTAATGCTTATTTTCCTTACACTTTCTTGGCTTCTTCTTCACATGCAGCAGCCATTTGCATTTCTGAATTGCCACCTCCCCAAACAACTCTTCTATTCTTGACTGTAGTGATTAAGACACACAAAACATCATGAATTGATCTATCTACTTCATCCAAGATATGAATTGAAGAACCTCTCAGTACAATTGTACAAGCTTCATTCTTTTTGCAACCTGTGAATTTGATCATCTAAAAATATATGTAATCTAATATGTACCTTCTCTTCTCCAATCATAATTTCTTCAATTAAATCACAATGTCCTAATACTTAATCTCTTCTCTCAGGAGCATCGAATGTTGATAAGATTTCAGCCCCAGTAGCAGCAGCCACTCTTTCCATTCCTTCAAAATCAGCATGTTCAATAACAGTAACTCCAGAATCAGCTAATAATTATTCAGGATAGTTATAGATAAGTTATCTATTTACAAATACTGTTGGTTAGAATTTAAGAATCTTATCAACCTTGTGTTTCATCTTTTCTTTTTCTGCCGCCTCAATTTCAGCTACTTTGTCCATTGAGTTCACCTTGACTTTGGTACCATAAATCTTTATTTTATCATAATCCATGGCTGTATTAGCAACCAAGATTTTGGCATTTTCAATTCTTCTCTTACAACCAATTGTTATTTATTTCTTGAGAATGAATCCATCATCCAAATATGAATCTCTGATAGTTCCTCCTGGAAGCTTAATGATCTAGATGTAATCCAAATTAGAAGATCCCTTCAATCTCAAAACTGCTTTGACACACAAATCAGCAAAGTAATCTCTGTCTGATGTTATCAACTTTGAACTCAAAGTTGTTCTAGCAATCTTGATCAAATCATTATGGAATTCTTAAGATTCAATGTCATTTTCACTTGCTAGACATGATTATGAATATTAATACAAATATCTCTTAATGTCTTTAATGCCACATCTCTAGCTATTCTCCACCCTGCTATCACATGTTGTGGATGAATTCTTTTTTAAATTAATTTCTCTCCTTCTCTTAACAATTCACCTGCCAACACTGCTACTGTAGTTGTCCCATCTCCCACTTCTTCATCTTGAGTTTTGCTGATCTCAATCAGAATCTTAGCTGCTGGGTTCTCAACATACATGGATTTTAAAATCGTAGCACCATCATTAGTAACAGTGATGTGAGTCATCTCTTAACCAGGTCCTGTGGGTTTCAATATTTTATCCTATCTCTTAATAACAATATCATACCATTCCTTTTGGACCTAGAGTTGTCTTTACTAAATCAGCCACTGCTATTGCGCCTACAAAACTTTACTTAAATTTTAAACTCAAATAATACCAATCTGGCCATCTCGCCTTTGTCCTCTGTAGCTTCATCCTTCAAAACTTATGGCAACACGTTCTAATGATTAAACTATTGCTTACTCCTACGATATCCATTATTAATGTTAATTAAAAAAGAAAATATTTTAATCAAATATAAAATGAGCATCAAAGATAATAAAATTGAACACTTCTCCTAATTCTTAAAATATTCAATAAAATAAAATATTTGAAAAATTACAAAGTTAATAATAAAATTACATTAAATCCACATACTCTATGAGATTTTACAATTATATGTTTAAAATTAGATATTTTTCAAATACACCAATAAACATTATATTCAGTTGATATATATCCAAAATTGATTAGGAAATATATAGAGGGAATAAATATCCTGATTTTGCAAAGGATTGTGATTTATGCATAGTATGCTGGATGAAAATTAAAATTTGAGTGTTTTTCATTAGAATCTAAAAATAAAAGAAGAATAGCTTTTTGGCTAAATTATTTCTAAAAGCTCAGTATATTTAAATTGAATAGATTAATAACGTTTAAACAAAAAGACAAATAGAGTGAGATTTTGATATGCAAATGATATGAATATCTAGATGATTACAAATAATTAAATTAATATTTATTCACATTTGAATAAATCATTCTAGTAATTAATTGTTTCTGCAGAAGGTATTACTATAAACATCTCGCACTCTATTTAGTCCCTGTATTTAACAAAATATAAAAGTGAACTATTAAAATTCTATCCAGTCTAATAAATATCATTATGGTTTAAACTTAGATATGTGGCTGTTACAGGAACAACAAGTCCTGTAATATTCTTTAAAGAAGTGTACAAATATCAATAACATCGTTTATAATTCTCTAAGTATTTATTGTGTTGTATTGTATTTTGTACAGTTATAATAAAAAAATAGTCAATTGAGATTTCAACTTCATATCATGAATTATTGATTTATGTTCAGTAATAACATTAAATTAAAGATGTTCGAATGGAATCACATTTATTAAAGAGAATTTAATCGAGAGTTTCAATAATATTAATTTTTTTAAGGAAGAGCATTATTTGACCCTGTAAATACAAGAAAGTATGTGCAAGAAGAAGAAAGTAGTGATGAAGACTTATGAAAATAATTCTTTTATAATTATTTATTTTTTAATAAAAATTACATGTTTTTTAATAATAGTGAACAGAACTTTTAAGGGAACACTCCTTTAGGATATCAATTTGGAGGAGCTTACACCTTTGGTACATCTGAACGAACAGATTGGGTTAAAAGAGATGATAAAGTTTAATCGAAAACAGAATAAGCAGCAATGTGCGAGAGATTTGAAGAGACCCTCAGAATAACTGAAAAATTACGACAAAGTTAACAAAAATCTACTAGATCCAATTTTCCTAGAGATGACAGAATCAAACCAATAAAGTCAACAAATCCTCCTGTAGGGCAATATAATCTTCATAAGTAACTCATTTTAGATGAAGAAAATATCAAGAATATCTCAGACAAAACACAATAAGAAAAAAAAAAGGCTTAATTTACAATTCAAACTTCGTTAGGCAAAATAAAACCAAATGGAGAAATTGACACTCATCCTACATGGGTGAATGGAAAAGAGCAACAATTTAGAGAAGATCCAATAGGGTATGTGCATCGATATATATTAAAGTCCTGGATCTTATAATCCAAACATCCCTGGCAAAACTCAAGCTCCCATATCATTTGGATATAAGGAAACTTTTAATTGGACTAAAGATGGACCTTCGCCTGATAAATATTACAATTCTGAGACCTTCAGTTAATTCAGAACTACAACAAGTTGGTAAGACACAAAGCATAGAAAGACTGGGTTTGGTTCAGCACCAAAAAATGTTTGGCCTAAATCAATTGACCTTGGACCTGGATAATATCAACCAAATGAACTTCCAAAAGGCTTAACCATCTCATTCCCAAAGAGTGAAAGGCAATATTACAAATCATCTGACATTCCTGGTCCAGGTGCTTATGCTCCAAAGAATGTTAATGTTAAGAAAGCGTTCAGTATTGGACATAAGTACATTCCTTTTAAAACATCAGATTTCTATGTTCCAGGCCCTGGAAGTACATATTTAGTATTACTTAGCTTATAATCAAAAATTGCCATCCAATGGTAAATATATCTCAATGCCTAAAGATAAAAGATAAGATCTAGTCACTCGAGAATCAACACTCAAGCCAGGCCCAGGCCAATATATATAAAGCACAGACACCATCAAACCTAAAGAAGTACCAATAGAAAATTAACATGGTTTTGGTGTTGCCAAGAGATATGAATTGGCAGAAGAGGAAAACATTGAACTCCCAGAAAAGACTGAATAATAAAAATAAGAGGAAAGAGAGAAAATTGGATTTTCAACCTTAGGAGGTCCCAAATATTCAATGAGATAAAAAAACGAAAAGTAAAGCATCAATCAAAATCCATCTCCTGGCAAATATGAACCTGATTACGATTACAAATATGGGTAATAATCTGAGTACAAACCACCTTATCATTATACTGTTCCAAAGACTGCTACTCCTTCTATGGGTTTTAGTAACAGAAGTGATCCAACGATTTCAAAATTTAAGGAAATTGGACCTGGAAGTTACACTGCTTTGCCATCACAATCGGGTCCCAGAATAAGGTATATCTTATAATAATTGTTAGCATGCCCAAAGCTGCTAGATTTCCTATTAGAGAACCAGAAGATGTGGGTCCTGGTTCTTATAAAATTGGAACAACAATCGGGTTAATACCAAAATATCATTTTGAAAAACAAAGAGATTAATTAGAAACTTCATTAACACAATTTGATAAATTTCATAAATGAAATATTTAATTATTTTATAAATACATAACACTATATTAAGATTTTACATAATTTTGTACATGAATCAAATGGCAAAGACTTATTTACACAGTAATTAAACTAAAATTCTTCTATCGGTAAAGATTCTTTATTTTATTATATTAATTTTTAATTAATTTTGATTCGAAATAAAATATGGAAATATATGGCAACTTTCGAACAATTGGCTGTTGGCAACCTTTTTAACAATTGGCAAGTTCAGATCTGATTAAGTTCAAAAGAATTAAGTTTCCATAAAATAAAATAAAATTTATTCCAGAAATTGCATTTTATTATAATTGAATTAACTAAATTAATTAAATTATTACCCCAATTAGGAAAAATGGATATATATTTTTTTTCTACATTATTTCATAATTTTGAATATTAAAGCTTAGTAATGTTTATAATTTGATCAGAATTTCATCAGGGAAATGGCGTGTTATCAATTTTATATCATTGATTATGATAAATTTTGTTAAATTGTGATTATAATGGTTCTCTTAATTTATTAATAATGTGTAAGATCTTAAGTGCTATCATGTATTTAATTACAAATTAATTATTATAATGTCTATTATAGCTAAAAATTATTAGGAAATTGTGGAAGAAAACAGTTGTTTGCAGAAGAAAACTATTCGGAAGCCAAAAAGAAGAAATTAATATACAGTGGAATTTAAATTTGGATCAAATATTAATACAGAAATACTGAGAGACTATTTAGAAGTTTATTACAACATTCCTCCTTAAATTGCTGAAAAGTAAGTTATAAGACTTTACTCCAACATTTAGTTTCCAAATGATTTCAAATTTTAAGCTAAATTAGGTAATTTGTCGGTTGATCCTCACTCCTATAATTATAAGGTAATAAGAATTGATAAGAAAAATAATTTGACTATATTCACTCTAGAAACAATTGATAATCCTTTTACACCTTTTGAACAATTCTTTTAAAAAATTTAATCATGTAATCCTCGACTAGCACAAAGCTTTTCTGCTTTTAATACCAGAAATTTAGACACAAACACATATAAGTAAGCAAAGGAAAAATTTATAGAAGACTTTGAATTGTAGTTGGACTCTGCGTTCACTTGTTATTTGTACAAATTAAAAAACGGTGTATGTAAAACAATTTAAAGAGTTATCAACGACAAATTTATGGATTTGTTAGGAATAAGTTACTCAATGTTGGAGGATCATGTACTGTCAACAAGCACATTACCCTTTTCTACTTACATTGATCCAAATGATGACGTTTCTGAGATACTTTCTGGATTATTTGAAGGGAATATAAAATAAGATATAAGAACAAGAGAGGTCATGAATTATAATGGCTAGATATTTCAGTCTCGAGTTTAGAATAAAAGCTTTTTTACTTATGATGAAGAAGAGAATGCTTATTATGAATATGCCTATTATATTTATGACTGTGATCCTAGATGGTTGACTAAATAGAGAGTGATGAGAAATTAAAAAGAATATTTTAATGAAAAATGGTTTAATTAGGACAAGTTAAGAATAAGATTGGCATCGGAAGATTCTTAGTCAACTTAGTGTAATAAAAACTGTAGATACAAGAAATTGGATTTTTGATATGTAAATGATTCTGAAAATTAATCTTAACTTTCAGAATCTTAATTTAGTATATTTAAAATCAATTTTATGTTCCTTATTCTAAAAAGGAGAGTTGATTGTAATTTCGTAAATTTACAATTTATATCACATTCAAATGGATTTCCACTTACAACTTAAATCCTAAATGCATTTATCATGTTATATTGCTCTTAATTATAATAACATAATAATATCCAATTTTAATTATTAAGCATTTATAAACTTTAATTAGAATTTGAATTTTTTTTTTAATCTTTTTTAACTCCTTATTGCAAAATCATTATTAAGCTTTTTCATAAAGCTGAATAACAAGATATTTTACAAAATGATTTATATTTATTTTTTAAACACAAATTAGAATAATGAACCATGTATTCAGTTAGCCATCTGATTTGTCTCTCCAATAAGTAGGCACATACAAAAAGATAAAGAAGATGAAGTCAAAAGCAAAAGTCTAGAATGGACCAAATAATTAGAACGTGTCTACTTCAACTAAGGACGAAGTTAAATATCTATTGGAGTTGACTTCCTCTAAACAAGTAGACAAAAAGTAATAAACAGAACTTCCTAGACCAACCAAAACGAGTTCTTACCTAATGGGTCATTTGGAAAGTGATATATTTAACAATTCTTACAAAATTATTTCATTACAACAATAGAAACATGAAATAATTGTGAAATGTCTACCTTTTAAGGAAACAAATTTGCTTGATATTAAGAAAGACTTTCCTTTTTACATAAATTTAGATTAGGTTTCTATGAATCTTTATAGTTATGACACACAAAGAACTTTAGAATGTATAAAATAAAAAGAAGTTCCTCTAGAAAAATTTGAATTCATCATAAATCCAAATCAAGATATTATCGGATGTAATCGAATAGTCAACAATTCATGGCTCAAAATGTTTGGAATCAATTAAGACATGATGATTCATAATTTACTAAGGAATTAGTCCTTCCCATTTGGATGGGGTCTTGAAAATTAAAATATATAAAATTAGGCTTCTAATACTTTTTTTAATAAAAAGTTGAGAGTTTAGTTGGTTTGTTATAATGGTACAAAATTCCATGCAGATATCCAGGTGAGATCAGAGATCGAAACAAATTCGAAAAACTAATTTATATAAAGATATTAAATTTAATACTTCATCAATCGAGAGAATTTGAGTTTATCATAGGTGGAACAAAATTTCCAAATGTATTTTCAATTAAAGGATCTTACTTAAGAGTTAATGGATAAATTTATCGTTAAAACAAATAAGCAATGCCAAATAAAGAAGTTGTGATAATATGTATATTTCAATAAATTTATATAATAAAATTTAGAAAAATAATATTATATTTATTATTATATTTTAATATAAATTTTTATATAAGGTTTAATAAAAATATAAAATATAACAACTTGAATAAGCTTTTATGTATGGTAAAAAAAAATGAATCAAGGAATTAATTTGGTATATTTTAAATAAAGATTACATATAAATTATTCAACAATCATTCCAATAGTTAGGGTCATTTTACTTTATTTATCTAGTTTAATCCTTAAATTATTTTTATAAATTATTTTAATATTGACAATCTAGACTGATAATTTGACCATCCTAATTTTGATTGATTTGAACTCCTCTGGATTTTTGATACATATGAACAATATGTAATTGGTGCATGTGATGTCTACCTTCATTTTCAAATTGGCTAAAATAATTATATTTATATTTTACCCTGGGTAACAAAAGTTACGAGCCATCTCAATATCAGTTTAAACTACTTACAGATTTGGGTCATTGAAATTTTGCAATTTGATTTCTTAGTTAATATTTTGGAGAATTTGCTAACTTGCTTAATATTACCCTTATTCTGCATAAATTCTTGCTTACTCAAAGCATTCTGCACCTTTGACTCTATAATAATTAGGAAGAACCTCATTTTATAAATCTGAATTCTTAATTTCAATAATTTATTCGATAGTAACTTTGTCTCCACCCTCAACTGGATCAGCTTATAACAGAACTCTGACTTCCTGCTTACAAGAAGCTTTGTAATCAGCCACTTCAAAAATGTAATCTTTTCTAACTCCAGATAACAAATGCGGTTAATAAAGAGTGAAGGCTCCCTTCCAAGAATCATAAGCCCATTTATCTCCATAAGCCTTCTTAATTTAGATTTTATTTGAATTCATGGGTTAAACTGATAATTGAACATGGTTGGCTACAACTGAAACTAAACCACCCAAGGCTTCAGCAAAACATTCATCAATATTAGTGAGATTAGGAACAAAATAAAATTATCCTTCTTTATAATGAGCAATTTCTGACATTATCTTTGGACAACAATCTCTTCCAAAACCAAATGTTTTGATTGTAAATGAATCACGTATGTTATATTAGTATAAATCATCTCTCACTCTCTCTTCAGCTCCTTCATCCACTCCATCTGATAACAAAAATATTGCAGATACAGGATTCTTGTATTTTCTATGCTTTAAAATCGATAAAGCCATCTTCATACCATTCCCTATGTCAGTTCCACCTCTTGCTTAAAGAGATGATATTGCTATTCTAAATTTTTAAATATTTTCTTTTGTCACCCTCATCAACCTTGTCAATCTGTAAACTCTGCAATCAAACATTATCAAACTTAATCTATCACATGGCTATAGGAATGTTAGCATTTATTTTAAAGTTTTTCTAACCAGCTTTATTTTTTCTCCTTGCATACTACCACTATGATCAATTAAACAAACCTAAATTATAAATTTTCAAATACCAAGTCAATTCCTTATCTTGGACACTCTTGACCTCTTTAATTGATCATCAAGATGTCATTGCTTTTAATAGTTATCATTAGAGCAACATTTCCTTAATTTCTCAATCCCTAATTTTTATAGAATCATCTATACCTATGAAGATGCTTAAATAGAGATGTTGTCTCTGAGATCATACTTCTAGGCTGTCATGTACCCTTGTCCTAGAGAATTTCTCCCATAATTTAATTTATTATTGCTCGACTAATACACTGTCTAAAAGTTATAGAATGATGATTACTATCATATCATCGTCATTAAATCTGCTAGGATTCTAACCAACAATAGGAACTCTTCCTTCAACAAACACTTCATCTTAAACTGATATATTTGGGGCAAACTATTGTCCTTAAAAATCGTCAATCCCTGTACATTGGTTTCCCATTTTTAATATTAAGTGATTATTTTAATCCGCCTTAATTAAATATCCTAGGAAATCTAAATTTATAAGAATTTGTATCAATTAGATAACTTCATCTAAATCAAGCTTCAAATTTATTTCTTTGTTTTTATAAGTAAGTCAACGGTTTTAAAACCAATTTTATGAACTTTCCATATTTTTGAATTTGTTAACTAATAATTTTGAAGTATATCTAAAATCAAATTTGGATCAAAACAGCAAAAATCTTTATCAGAATGGCATTCACCATATGAACTACCCTATTTCTCATCTCAAAATTACTATTTAAAATGATCCACCATTTTAGACCATGTAAGCAATACTGCGAACTGTAATATTTTAATATACCATATTTCTATTAATACAACAAATTTTATATTACTGACCATTATACTAGTTGTTCACCAAAATATTTTTAGAAGAAATAACTGATATTTATATTAATGGTATAAAATTATATCAATTAATTAATATTAATGTGGAACTTATAGAAATTCTTAATCATAATAATAACTAAGTAGTAATCTTACGAATTAGATTCTTTATTTTCTAACTCATATTTAGAGTATCTTCTATCAAAATTATGATATCATATTTAGATATTTAGAGTATCTTCTATCAAAATTATGATATAGAATCTATGACCTAATAGCTTTTTCCAATCTATATTTAGTTTAAGAAATTAGTTTATTCTTTATTTACTTAATAAAACATTCAACGCAGATTAAATATTGATATATTGATTATTTTTTAATTATTAAGTAAATGTTTCAGTAGTAATTTGAATCTTATCAATTTGATTCACAAATTATTAATTAATTTTCATCTAGTTCTGAGATAATAGGTAGATTGTGAATTCATCCGTTTACTGTGTAAAAACTGAAATGTTATAAATTTAATAAAGGAATAATTATGTAATATTTGTTAGAATAGAAAATAAAGATAAATATATTTTCGAAAAATCTCTTGGCACTTACCTAAGAGCAGTTTCGAACACATTAGGTAATTCCATTTAGACTTATTGTAATTTATTATTAACTTAAGTGCTTTATCTATTAAAAATATCTTTTACAATTTAGTTTAATTTATTAAAAATAAAATATTTCTTAACCATTACATAAATTGATTATTACAGAAAAAGAAAAAAGTAATATGAAATATTAATGATTATGGATTTGGTTTGAAAACATATAAAAGATTAAATTAGGTTTTCTGTGATTCTTCAATTGTTGGTTGTAACAAACACATTTAGAAAGGTGAGATAAATACTAAATTCATCAAGAATAAATCATAAAATGTTAATATTGAAAAAATAAAATATCATAATTTTAAGGCTTCTTTTGGAATTGTTATTAGTTTTGGACTCATTAGATCAAACTTTAAGGCGAATTCTGTAAACCTTGTGCACAAAAACATTTCATTCTAATATTGGAATAGACTAATACTTCAAAATCTTCAAAGATTTCCTTATGATTAAAATATGTGTGAGAAAATAATCTATAGAGTCTTCTAACTATAAAAGCAAAATTATTGGTTGCATTTTGAGGATTAATTGAAACTCTAATAATTAAATTATTAACAACCTTGAGGGGTATGTTTTGATATTCGTTAAAATAGATGTGCTCTAATCTAAATTATGTATCATATAATCAATAGCTGAACATTCTTATGCTTTTTTATGTGCAGCACATAAGTATAGCCAATCTTCTGTGGCTTTCATTTTTGGACATGTTTAAGCTGTGCATAATCCTTTTAATTATGTAACTAAGAGATTTAATTCTAAAATGAATTGTCTTAAATGTTCATATTGCCAAACATGAATATCTACTTCAGGAGGAGGAGTAATGATTTATTTTATGTTTGATGAGTCAGCTCCTAATTGATGAAAAAGTTAGATTACTTATTAATTCTTAAATGTATTCCTAGACTGCTAAAGGTCCATTCATTTGAGAGATATCTTCAACATCCCCTAATGGTAATATGGAATATGATACATGCCCATAGAAATTCTGCTTTGGTGCCTATTCTATTTCGACGCATTTTTGAATTTCAAATATATAATATATTATTAATGATGATAATTATAAATCAATTTTTCTTAGATCTACTTTTTTTAGGGGTTCTGGATCTTTCGTGTCTTTCATGTCTCTCTATTTTATCTGACTTCTCGGATTTCTCATATTTTATAGCAATTTTTTTAACAAGCTATGCAATTTAAAGAGAAAACTCATCCTCTTTTTAAATAGGAAACACTTTTACAGCTGTGTTTAAGAGATATAAATCTCTTTAATGTTCTTTCTTATATAATTTATAGAGATCTTAAATATCCTTTACCTATTTTCTATAAATATCAGAAATAAACTTGGATTTAAATATTAAGGCTTCACCAGTGCAATGATACTAATTGTACAAAAATTTTTCATTGCTAGATTAATTATTATATTATTCATATAAATTTTCAACTTAAAATTTAAAACCAAAATCAACGACTTTATCATCAACAGGTATAAATATTCCACCTAAATCAATTGGATATACATCTTTGGTTTGTCGTCTAATTTCCTAAGCTGAATTAAATATTGTTTCTTTAGAATTATCACATTTGTCAGCATATTATAGTCTATATTTTCTATAGATCTCTGTCAATTAGGTAATTTTATGCACATAGATTTGCAAGGTATGTTCATTAAAACCATAATTAAAATAGTCTGTAATGTTGGAATGCCACTTATGAGATTTTCGCGGTTGTCTCTAAGGATTGTTAGCATTATTAAGCCATTCTTGATATTCTTTATATGCATCATAAAAGGACATAGAGAAGGTTTCTGGCTTGGTTAATTTGTACTACTTAAGTTTATTTTGATCACTCATCAATATTATTATTTAATTAATAATATACAATTAAAATGGAAATAACTCTTCTATCAAAAAATTAACAGGTAAATCTAATCCCGATTCTATTAACACAAAAACATATAGTTAATCACAATTGATTGTTCTTAACAAATCTATTGCCCTCACTTCTTTGTTTAACAGTTTTAGACACTGGTTTTGAATATTTTTAGTTGAATTCAATAGTTCCTTTAGCCTCGTCATGGTTCTGCTATTTAAGTAATAGAATTACATTTAATTATTGCTATTACTATTACTAAATTTTTTATTATTTAAAATAATTTGGATCACCTTCTTTTGGGTCAACTGGCAATCCATCTATATTTTTTAAATTTCTTAGTTATTTGATTAGAGTTGATCTATATGTTTAATATTCTTCCTCGCCAATAAACATGGGACAAATTGGATTTTTTATGAGACTCAAATGTGTTAGTTTAGGAAACTTAGATTAGCAATCTTCTATGAAACTATCTATAAATAGATCAGAATTACATTTCTAAATTATTAAAATTATTCTTATTTGCACTTAAAGTAACGAGTTGTGGAAGTTAAGGAAAATCATTTAGATTAAAATAATAATTATTATCAATGATCAACGTCTCTAAATTTTGAAAATAAGCAAATTCCTTTCCAGATTTAAGCAAATTGTTCTATCAAAATAATAATAAATCAGTACTGAAATGTCCAAATGTTTGATTTCATTATTCTATATTTGAGTATATTCACTTAAGTCTTTTAATTTTTTTCCAGCAAGAATTAACATTAAAAATAAAATAATTAATCATTGAATAGTTTCATCTAATTTAAATGCTATATTGAATTTCTAGTATTTAGTTAATAATATTCAGAAAGTCAATTATGCTTAGCATATAACTAAAATAACTATCAACAACTTTAATCAAACTAATATTTGCTGATTATTCACTTTATCTAAGACTTACTTGTATTATTTCAGCATTCAAATTTATTTATATATCTAATCTTTTCAATTATGAATGAATAAATAATTTGATTTTAAATAAACCTTTCAAGGAAAGTATTGCTATCCATATTTATTTAAATTTGAATATTAAAAGGAAAACCTTCTGATTGTTTTTCGAATTTAATCTCAGTGCTAAAATAAAGTAGGGATTTAGTCCTTAAGGAAATTAATTTTCATTATTATTATCTATATCAAATATATCATTTTAACATAAGCCTATTCTCTTAAAATAAAGAGTAATTATTTGATTTTAAATTAAATGAAAGGATAATATTTTAACTAAATTAATTCTTTCTTATTAATATTCAATACTAACTCTTATTTCCAATATACTCCTATTTTTTATCTTCTTTTGCATCAAAATAAATATTATTCTACTCTTTTAGCTATTGATTATCTTAGATTTAGATTTTATAGCTAACATAAATCTTTGATAGATTTTGAATAGAGCTTCTCTTTTTTATGTAAATAATTGAAGGAATACACATATCGTCTAATTATTCAAAATTAGTTGAATTATGCTGTGCTGCATTATTCTTAATAAAATTTGTTTATATAAGCATAATATGATAAGCCAATATCATTTGATTATTTGAATTAGAGATTATTATAGAATCAAAAATATCCATTAAGAGAATATCAAATAGAAATATTTATCAATAAATGGTAAAGATATTAAAAACTTGGGTAATTATGAATAACTTAAAAGTTACTATAATTAATTATCATATGCCTTATATATATGAAAAAGAATCATTTTTCTCATTTTTAGATTTGGCTAATCTTTTTATCCTAATCATTTTGTTCCAGAATATCTTTAATCACTTTAATTCTTTCAGCCATATCTTAGCCTTGTATTTCGAATCTAAATATAATTGAATAATTACTTAACATCATTTTAACTTTGACATTCGAAAATACATGTTTCAAAAAATTGTATAAAAAATAAGGGAGCCTAAGTCTTGAAATCCTCATAGGAGTATTCATCACAATAAGGCTGAATGCCATCCGATCTTTGTTTCCAAATAAGAGAAAACAGGCCTTTATTATCATTGGATTGCAATTTTACTATTTCTAATTTGTCATTGGAATTAGCTAATTTTTCTGGTGCTTTTCTTAAATTTAGATATTAAAATTACTTAGGTGTTTCAGGGAGATTGTTTGTAGTATTGGAAGGCTAAATGATATTTATTTTATCTTATTGTTAATCATTTTTAGGATTGTCTATTATTTCTATATGTTTGCTATCAATTTTATCTATTTTTTTTTCTTTTTTGTTTGATTCAGTTGGAGGCATTAATTTGGGCATTGCTACTCTTTTGATAGCAGTTCTGGGTTGTGATTGAACAGTCAATTATCTGATTTCTTCTAGTTTTTTTTCATCATATCTTTCACCAGTCAAGGAGAAATAGTTATAATCTTCAATGAGTTCTTTGTATTTCTTCATAGTTTCATCAGATTCCCATGTGGTTTCTTCAAAGCCCTTCCATTTAACTTAGTATTTAATTTGTCCATTTAAGATATTCTTTTTCATGATTTTCTCAGGTTCTTTCATCATTTTAATTATTTAGGTAGACAAATAATTGTTCCTACTCTTAAATATGTAAAATATCACCAGGCAAAAATTTAATGTAGAAAATTAATAAAAATTATTAACTATAATATTAAAAATTAATTTGATATTAAAAATAAAAAAATGAATTTGAAACAATATAAAAAGTCAAATTAACTTCCAGATTTTGAAACATTAAAATATCATAGAAGAGTTTAGGTGAGTAAGAATCCAAGCAATTTGATTGAGTTTGTAAATGTAAATAAAAAATTTACTTAAAAAATTGAAAACATGAGTACTCGTGATTGTTTAACTGACATATTTTTGAAAGAATTGAGTGAAACAGATCAATAATAAAATTATGAATACTCTCCAAATGAATACATTAATTCTTTGATTGTTCACAGAAATCCTATGTTTTTATAAAAAAAACATGCAAAAATAAATTGAATGTGTGTAATAAATTACTTTGTGAAATATAAATTATTAATTTTCAGACTACAACAACATTAGTGTTATAAACTCCACAAGTGTTTTCACCTCTCTTTAAGTGGATGTATCCCTTGTCTCCCCATGCGGCACTCCATGAGTTCTTGATTTTTAATGAATTTTTGTCATAACCAACAGCCAAAACTGCATGATTTAAGCTTTATTCACAAGTGCTGAAAACTTTATCATCAGATGGGTTATAATATTACCAGTTGGTAGCATCGACTCCAACTGAAACTGGTCCTTCATTAAGATATGAAATCAAAGCTTCTTCAGTGGCTTCTAATTAGACAGCTCCCTTAATGTGATAAGCACCTCCCTTGATTTGGCATGATCCTTAAACTCCTTTCTAAAATATTAATATGAAAATAATACATATGGATAAGCAGCTTGAGTTGTGATACCACTTCTCTTGACATATTGTAATGCTCTGTATGGGAGACCACCATTGCATCCAAGATTGAAATCTTAGAAGGTTGAGCAATCCAACAATTATTATTCTGATAAATTTGGTAATTCACCAGTGGTTTTGAAGAAGAAACCTTCCAAAACTCCGGTGGTACCGAAAGTCCAGCATGAACCACATTATCCTTAGTCCTTAACATCGGTGACTGCTCCCTCTTTTGACCAATCAATTCTTTCAGCGGCTTAGATATTCTTGGCTGGGATTCTTTCCAAATTCAAATCTTCTTATGTGATCTTAAGGGTCAAATAAGTTTCAGCGAATTCCTCTTTTGTTAAATCGAAGAAGATAGTTTCACCGAAGACTCTTTTTCCTTATTACAAGTTGACTGATTCAGCATATAAGACATTCTATGTGTAGACAGCCATTCTGTAGGCATCTTCGGTTTATGAGTACACCTTTCCGAATTTTTATTTGAATGTTTGATATTTTGAGGCGAAATCAAGTTATTCTGGTTGATTCACCATCATGAGTGTTCCAAGGAGTGCGATTGTGCCTAAAGCTAATAATGTTTTGGACATTTTGTAATTTATTTATCAAAAATACAACACTGCCATTTATGAATTCAATTTCTTTGATGTCATTTATAATTTGACCTTTACGTCAGAGTTTTATTATTATCATTATTATATTCATTATTCTATATAGAATGAATTTAATCAAATTAAATCTCAATATACGAAAAAAATACTTCCGTCATCGTTGATAAATAGCATATCATAGAAGTTTTAATTTGTTACCAAATATCTAGTATCTTCCCTTAAGACATCTATCTACCCACGAATATTTCATGTTTCTCTTTAGGCTGAGATCTCATTACACAAGAATTAGTTCCAGAATAACAATCATTAAGTGAAAAATAATGTTCTGAATTGAATACAAATCATTAAGATTTCATAACCGAGATCTTAGAGTGATACTATGTATTACAGGAGTTGTAAGATAAGGATAAATGGAAGTCGTTTCAATAATTTTCAATAAAAGGTCATTTTAGAATTATGAGTATTCATTAATATATTATATTCTGGCATCTTTGGCGCATAAAATTAAAGAAGATGAATGAAGGGGCTGTTATAACTTTAAAGAGTGTCTAATAACTATTTTATATATAGACTAAATTGATTTATCAATATTCCAATTAGAAAATCTACATGTAAATTGATTACAAGTATCTCATAGATCTTGTGTATCTTGATTAAGGATTCTTATCAATAAATAGAGTTATTTTTTTTAAACTATTTCTACATTGAAAAAAGGATTTAATTATAGATTCTCTATATTGCTACCATTAACAAACAGTCAGGAATAATAAGACTATGTAATTCTGAATGTTTATGCTCAGAAAAATTACATTACTAAGAGTTACTATTGATAAAGATTTCATATAAAACCTATATAATAGTTAATTATGAAATCAATTTTTGAATATAAAAATTAAAGAAATAAGTATCAATAAAATCCAAAAATTATTATCTACATCTATCAAAGTGAGAATTGCTTAGTCTTGAATTAGTCTTATTAATATCAGATTAACTTTATTCTACTCATCAATATTGAAATAACAGAAAATTAAATAAAATAATAATATTAATAATCAATATAAATTTCTAAAGAAAGACTTGAATGAAATGTTAAAAAGATTTTCAAAAAATTGTATATTACTATTTCAATCTATATATTTTGAGACATAATAACTACTATTAATCTATTCTTTTTGGTTTTAGGATTCATTCATAAATTCAGAATTTAATGGATATTTTGGAAAATACATATCAATGATATTATGTTTATCTATAATCAAACCCATAGAATTGAGTTCAAAATTAAGTGCTACGAGCAACTTCCTCTAAAACTTCTTTAGCAGGACATTGACTCTAATGTTTTGGATCAAATTCTTTACGATATTCACTGTTATATTAACCATTATATGATGGATTTAAGGTTGACTATATGTATTGATTAATGTATTTACATCTTGTTTACCTTTGGCACTTTAAGTTGTCTCTGGTTTGAAGGGTTTATATGAAGATTTCGATATTGATTCTGCATAAAATTTCAGATCCGGAGGTGATAAGGGTGATCTATATAATGATTCTAGTAGTCTATTACTTCAAAGCTTTGTTCATATTCTTACAACTTTGTACTGGTGCTGTCTAAGCTCCTTAATAGCTATCCTTATAAATGCTCTTTCCCATAAATGGCATTTCTTTGATAACAGTAGGATTGTTTTATGGTAATAATTGAGGTGTGTCACCCATTCCCCAATTTAAATACATATTATTATAGGTTGAAATCCCAGAGAATGGAACGCCGCTAACAGTAGGTTTGGATGTATTCTTCTGTAATTCTACTTTGCTATTATATCCTGGAAAGTCATGCTAAAATAATAGTTTGCGAGTACTTACTTTATAAGTGGTAACATTTCCTAAATCACCTTCAGCCTTTGGTTACTAAAAAATGTTTTAGTTGCATCTTGATCCATTCTCAGGAGTCTTTTTAACAAACTCCTTTTAATAGATAGTATAATTTCCATGTAATTGAGGTTTGTTGACACAATTCTTACTATTGCATTTATGTTTTCCACAGTTACATAATGAACATAGACACTTTCCTAAAATTGATAAAATTTTGATTTCTCACCTCCTAAATGATCGAAATATTAGGAGACATCTGTTTAGTTATCTCGATTTGTTTAGGAACTCATAATCCTATCGTAGACTTCCTTAAGATGATTATTTATATTATACTTTCTTTTTTGAAGATAACAATTCATTGTCTACTCCCTAAGACTAATTAAGAGGACATCCTTTATTATTTTAATTTGGAGTAGATTATTAATCTAAATTCGCTTTGAATTATTTTGGAGTTTATTAAGCCATTTTATTAATCAAATAATTTATATTTATATTGATAATAAATTTCATACATTTTTAGCTATTGCTTTCTTTTTTTATAGTTAATATGAATTAATCAGGATGAAATTATACTCATTTAATCTGATTACAATTATTCAATTGTTCTAAATAAGGAAACACTTCGACACTAAAGATTACGAGTTATTTTTAAGAATATCAACTTATCTGCTTGTATATTTAGATAATCATATTCTTAATAGGCTTGCCTCTTTAATTATTATAATGTTGATTTCAAGCATACATAAATTTTCATTCATATAATATGGAAAGTAGTTGGTTTTGCATTATAACTATCCCAATAGATTATTTTCTACATTACCGCTTGATTTCTGTCTAGGATAGTGTAATTTGAGTAACTAATATTTTACCTCAATTAGAAATCAACTAAAAGTTTTAGAGAGGAAAATATTTTATTTTTATATTCTTCGTAATAATAATTCTAGTCGATATGTAATAATTTGTTTCAAAACATAAAATTCATTATCAAAGGAGCATTTATATCATTTATAAGGCGACAACTATTTTAATTATAAGTTGTGCTCTCCTATGTATGTAGGATCATTTACTACTTTCCCACTGAATATAATCTAAAATAAATGGGCATTGATAAAATAGGATGTCTAATAATTGTAGTGATAAAAATGAATAACTTCAATTATTTTGAATTACTAATGTTAAATTCGGCAGTAGAACAAGAAGATATTAATTTCAAAATACTGTTAACCTGAGAAGAGGACAAAATTTTTATTGCCAATATTAATGGGTCAATTCTTAAAGGGTTATACTATTATTAAGGAAATAAAGCGTTATCTAGAAGATTTATTAATATGAGAAGAAGACTCAATCGTAATGAAATCAAGGAAAATCATAATTGAGAACAAAAAAAGTATAGAATATTGGAAACCAAAAATAATTCAATGAAATTATATATATTCAATATAATTTTTATTTTTTAATTAACTTTAAGGTTTTATGGAAGTAATGTATAACATTAATAAAATTAAGGTTCTAATTAAAAACCACTATCCTAGTTTTGATAATGAAAAGGTCATCTTATACGAAATAGAAATTAATTATGAAAATAAATCTTGGAGAATCGAGAAAAGGTATCCTCACTGTATTTAGCATAAGGTTTAAACAGTTTAAGTAATTCAACTAAAGACTAAGAGAATATTTTGGGAACAATATTCCTTAGCTGCCAAAGCAGACATACACAACCTTTATTGTAAGAAAAACTGAATAACAGATAATTCAAAGAAGAAAAGGACTAGAAGATTATTTAAAGCAAATTTTATAGAATGAACAAATTGTCAACTCAATAATTTTTAAAGAATTTATCTAATCTCCGTCATTTACAATATCTAAATTATAATTAGATTATGTAGGAACATTTGAGTTAGGTCTAAGGGATTTCTATTTTTATGATGATGCAATATTTGTTCTATTAGCAGAGATGAACCCATTAAGTAGAGCAACTAGAAATTTTCACAATATGAAGTTCCCTTGGTAAGAAGTGATAGCTACTTCTAATCTCAAACCTTTGGGATATTTGGATTGTTATATTGGGCCATAAATGATTTGGAGAAAGAAATACAACTCATAACCAATTTGCATGTGTGTTACTAAGAACAACATTTTAGTAGGGTAAATTGTATATGTAATTTTGAGATTGGATAATGGAATAATCAATCATCTTTAATTCAAATCAAAAAAGCATATGCTCTAATCTTAAGACTTTCAATAACATGGTGGCAGGATTATGGGTTTGCATATTTAAGGAGACAATATATATTCTGTAAGTAAAGATTAAAGATATAAAGTAATGAGTATAAATAAAAGTTAAATTTATATTGGTAATTTTGATAACTTAACTTTTGAGATATTCATCATAAGCATGAATTAACTTGTTTGAAATATGATGAAGACAGGGATTATTCATTTATTGGAGACAGAGGTGGAATCATTTATGCTTACAATTTAGATACTTTAATATTTAGTCTGGATACTAACTTATAATTTATTAGGGATCTTATCATTAAAAAATCCAAAGATACAATCATAGCTATTGGATTTTAAACAGGTTAAGCAATAGTGCTTAATATTTTTGATAAAGTATTAATTTAAATATAACCTAAAAGGAATTTTAAAAACAGGAAGCTACTTAATTCAAAAACAAAATTAAAAGTAGATGTATTGCATGGTCTCATTTAAGAGATGAAGTTTACATAGGGAATTAAGAAGGATATGTTACAGTTTGGGATGTTTAAAGAAAAATTCCCATTTATGAAATCAAGCTTCATAATGGCCCTATCACTAAAATCTTATGGAATGACGAAGAAGAAATCTTATGCACATCTAGTAAAGACAAAACTTTAAAGGTATTTTGTACTAATTTTTAGATCACCTGTTTTAATAAAAATAAAAGAGAAACCCTAATTTAAAAATTTAGAATATCAAATATTAACTTCAAAGGAAATTCATGATTATAGTTTGATTTAAAAGTTTTATTAATTTTTATTAAAATGATTTATTGTTTTTAATCCCTAAAAGTACTTATTATCATTTGAATTGTTCGATAATATCGTTATAATTGAAATTGTTCTATGTTTTGCTTATAAAAATTAGTATTAATATTAAAATCTTGAAAGTCTACTAGATGAAATTGCTAGTCAATTATTTAAAATATATATTTATAAAATAATTTTTCAAATTTCAAATTAATATATTGATTTTTTTTCGAGCTAACTCAGCTTTGTATTTATCAGCAATTCCATTATCATTTAATGCTCTTAATTTTGTATCTTTGATATTTTCTAACAGTTTTTTTTCATTCAACATTTTGTCTCTAATCTTTTTTCCTTCCTCTAATCTAAATTATTAAGAGGAAATTACTTATCTCTTTCTTCTTATTTTCTTTTCTCCTCATTCAAAGAAATTTGTTTTCTTAATTCATCTGCATGCTTTTTAACAAGAGCTTCTTTATCATGAAATAACTTAAGTTCATTTTCTCGTTCTTATTTCTATTTCTATATAACTCTTTAAAATTCATCTCGTTCTAATCTAGCCTATATTAGTAGAGATTTAATTATACTTATTCTTCTAGTCTATCCTGTTTTTCATATTATTACAATTTCCTAGCTTCATGTACTTCATGATTTAATCTCATTTTTAATTCTGCTTCTTTTCTTTCCTTTTCTCTTGCTTATCTTTCATTTTATTCCATAGCTCTCTTGGCTCTTAATGCATCTAATTCAGCTTATCTATCTTATGCTTTTTCTTGCATTTCCCTCAGCCTTTAAACTTCGCGTTCTTTCTCTTCTTTAATCCTCCTTTGCTCCTCTAAGAGTTCAGCTTCTTTCTGTGCTTTTTGTAAATTGTATTTGACTATCATTTCTTCTTCTTCTCTCTCTTCCAACTTTCTTTTTTCTTTTACTAAGATGGCTCTGTCATTGGCTTCTAAGATTTCTTCTTGGACCTTCTGTTATGATACTTTTTTTTGCATAGCTTTTTATGCTTCCTCTTATTATAGTTGCTTAATCTTTTTCAACATAACTTATCCTTCTCTTTCTTATTCTTCCTTATCTTTCAATCTAACCAACTCTCTCTCTTTAATTTATTCAATTATAATATCATGCCCATGCTTTTATTCAACTTTTCTCTATTTATCTTTCTCTTCATGATATTTAATGGATTTCAATCTTTCTATTTCCATCATCAAATCCTTTCTCTTTTCCTAAACCTTATATTGATTAATCAATTCCTTTTTCTCTTGTAATTGCTTATCTCGAACAGTTACACATTTAGCATACATTACCATCTTATTCATTTCCTTAACATCATCCATCTACTCATTCATTATTTCTGCTGCCTAAAATACGAATGGAATCAACAAGTACTCTTGCAAGAAGTGAATCTTTTACAACTTTATCCTCCTCTTATTATGATGTCAACGGAACTTATTTTTTTTTTTCTTCTTCCATTTGCATCATCCTTTATTTTTTCGCTTTGGCAGCAGCCATCTACTTCTCTTTCTATTCCTCAAGCAATTTCTTTTAGTGTAATTGCTCTTCTTTAGTCGTAATAATTGCATTATTCTTAAAGCATATATATTAAATCTTCTTACTTTCATCCTCTACAATTCCCCTTCCCCAATCACAACCACCTCTGGACTAGAAGCATCACCATTTCGAACATTATTTACAATCAACTCTGTCTATTCTTCACTTCTTTATTTATCTACATTATGCATTTTTATCATACTTTAGGTTTCCTCTGCCAAAAGACTCTTTTTAGACCTTTTACTTAGCTTGCTATTCTATAATTCAATAAAAAGATTTTGATACCATTATTCGATTAAATTAGACAATTTAAATAATAATAATAAAAAACTTTTTATTTACCAATAAAATAATATTGCATTATATTTTGATTCTACTTAATTGGGATTTTAATTCTTTATTTTTTATACCTTTATAAATTGCTGATTACTTTTATTAATATGTTAAATATAATTATATTTGTTTTCCTTGCCTATTCTTAAGCAAGCAACTCCTAATCACACTCTCCTTAAATAAGCAATACTAATACTCATCTATAACTATTCGATCCACTAATAATTGGTCCTAATAATAATAGCTTAATAATTGTAGAAAATCCAAACATTCTTATCACCTTTTACTAATAATAATGTCCTTATAGTTAGCAATTCTTTAACGAGTTAAACATCCTTAAAAACTAAACTGATTAATTGAATATCACTTATGCAATATATGATGTTGGAAAAAATGATTTTTCTGCTTTTTAATCTATTTAAGCCTATGGTATTGTGGAAACACCAACTATAATGCTATTTTAAAATGAAATTCCGCATATGTACATTGGCAAAAAAAAGTCCCATTTAGTTTAGCAATGGATTTAAGAAGTAGTTTTATTTTTTATTCTATTTAGTTTTTTAATGGTAATAATCATCCGAAAGAAATATTCTCTTAATCAGAATTTAACTCATTACTAGAAGAGAATAAAAATGTTCTTTTCTATTAAAAAAATTCTTCCCTGAATTATGATATTAGTTTTGATACATTCTATTAAGTTGCTATATAAAATACTAACCCAAATATAGTATTTGCTTACTCAACACACTATCAAAAGAATGACCTATTGAGTTTAAAATTCTATAAAAAAGAGACAAATGAAGAATTAACTTTTAATCATTTAATCACTCTTGAAAATATAAAAAAATTTATTCTTAAACATTCACTTCCTTTAATTCCAGAATTAAATTCAGAATCATATGAATTAATATTTTAAGCAACCAGCTTCTCCTTTATTTTATTTACTAATTTAGATGAATCATCAAGATAAGCTGAATCATCTTTTAAAGAAGTTGCAATAAGTTTCAATAGTTCTTACTAATTTTCAAAAATAAACATTCAGAATGACTAATACTTCAACTACCTTGATGAATTAGGTGTCAATAATGGAATAATTCCTAAGATCGTAGCTTTGAATGGGAAACTTAAATATAAATATGAAGGTCCAGATTTTTCAGTAAATGGAATTAAATCCTTTGTGTTTAATTTAAGACAAAGTAAAATCAGTTCGTACAAATTATCAGAGTCAATACCTGATTATGAACAAGCAAATTCACTCGTTAAAGTAACATAAATATTAAATACAATAGACAATTGTTGGCGAAAACTATGATACAGAAATAAAGTAGAGTAACAAATATATATTATTGAAATATCACGTAAAAGGTTGTTAACCTTGTGAGGAATTGAATCCAATTTATGAAGAATTAGCGTACCATTATAGAGAGGATTAGAGATTATTATTTGCAGAAATAGATATAAGATTGAATGATTTTACTGATCTTTATTATCCTCGATCAACACCTGATATCATTCTATTTCTCCAAAAGAATGGTCAAAGAAAAGCAATATTTTGGAATTAATAAGAAATGACGTATGATAATATTTAGATGTTTGTGGAATCTAACATTTAAGTACAGTAATGAATTAATATTATGTACTTTTTAATTATGAACAGACAATTTTTCAGATAGATTTAATTAGATTAATTTTACCATCTTAAATATCTTCATATAAGTGAATATGAAAGGACAATCATTTCAGAAATGATCATATCAATTTAAATTGCTTTAAGAATAACTTAGATTTCTCATTTTAATGATATTGAATTTATTACTTTTTATATATATATATTTTTAATATGGGAAGTGGAGCGAGTAGATCTCTTACAATTCCAGTTGTTTATGAGGAATCGTAGGCTAATAATCTTGCTAATTTTAAGACTACTAACAAATAGAAATTAACAATAACAGATCCATACATGAAACTTCAATAAGGTTACCATACTATTCCATTAATTGTCAGAAAAATAGACAAACATTAGGAAATTATGGTTGTTCATGGTGTAGTAGGTTTAAAAAATTTGGGTAACACATGTTATTTCAACAGTGCAATACATTGTTTAAGTCATACATAACCTTTACTTGATTATATGTTATCGAGGGTTTTTGAAAAGGAAATTAACAGGAATAGCAAGTTAGGATCAAAAGGTTAGGTGACTGAATGCTTTGCTTAATTGCTTAGTGATATTTGGAAGGATGAAAGAAGTATTGGAATGAGTACTATAATTCAGGGGAATGATGCAAAGGACAAGAGTAAGGACAATCAAATGAAATAAAAATAATATGAGAATTGGGTAGATCCTTTACGGTTACTTTTGTTGATACAGAAATACTCAAAGCGCTTTGAAATAGGATGTAAACAATTAGCACATTTAATTAGAACAGGAAGATTGTTAAGAGTTGTTGAGTTATTTATTAGATATGATTCATGAAGATTTGAATAGATGCAAGAAGAAGGAGAATATCAAAGAAAAGGATTATACAGGTGAGCCAAAAGAAGAATGGGCTGCAGAATCTTGGGGTGAGCACCTTAAAATCAATAAGAGTATTGTGGTTGATTTGTTTTAGGGATAATTGAAATCTTAAGTTGAATGCAAATCATGTCATTATCGAAGTCATAAATGGGAACCGTTCCTCTTTCTAAATTTACCTATCAAACAATAAAAATAACAATAATAACAATAATAATAATAGTAATCGTTTTTATCTAAATCTCTTGGGAGTTCTCAATTAAAATAGGACATCACTTGTGAATTGACAGAGTGTTTAGATCAATTTCAATAGGATGAAACCATCTAATGGAAATGTCCTAAATGTTAGGAGACCAGAGATTGTAAAAAAGGTATTAGAATATGGAAATTGCCCAATATTTTAATCATCCACCTTAAGAGATTCGAATATGGAACTAAGTCGACTGGTAAAATCACTTAGAAAGTCAACTTCCCTCTCAATTAATTAGATATGTCTCCTTATTGTTTTTAATAGAACGATACTGTTTATAATTTATATGCAGTAGCATAACACCATGGTTCTTTGCAATATGGCCATTATGTATCTATTTGCAAACATAGAGTTGATAATTAATGGTATATGTACAACGATGATGCAGTCCTTAAGGTATTATTGTTCTAATTGTAGATCTAAGACCCTGAGAAAGTAATTGTTGATTCTTAGGCCTACGTTCTATTTTATTAGAAATAAACAGAAACCATTTTCAGATAAACTATCACAAACCCTAGTTGTTGGCCTCACAATCAAAGCGCTAAAAAATAAAACCTCGATACTCAACCAAAAGAATAGCTTTAGTTGATGGAATATGAGGAAAGCGAATAGAAAGGCTAATTAGATGAAACCAGTCCTCATAATATCTCGGGTAATTCCATGAAAATTGATTCATAAAATGTAAAAAAGAAGCATTCTCTCAATCACCTTATTAGAGAACAAAACAATAAATCAAATTCTATTTATAAACGATAACGGCCCTCTGAAGATAATGAGAATAATAACACTAATAAATAAACTTCTATTACTAAAATAGAGGAATAGGTAATTTAATTCGTATTAATTTGAAAGTGGGGTTTTGGACAAGATAATGACAAACAAATGGAGATAGATAAGAATAAAGATAAGAAGCCCATTGATTGGAGATCTAAAGGTTCTCGTAAATGAATAATTAATTTAATTTAATAGTATTTTTCCGTTAAATAATTTATATTCAAAATGAAAACAAATCAAATCCCACGCTTTTTTTGTGTTGCTGATTTTAATAAAGAAAATTTTAACAATGGCACCAAACATCAAAGAGTACAATCATCACTGGCAATCAGAGAGAAGTCATCAAACTCATTCCACACAATGATCCCACCTTAAAAACCATAATTGAAATTAAATGATGAATCTAGTAATCGTACAAAAGAAGGATTTCATAGAGTCAAAACAGACTCAAATATGTCTATGCCTTTACGAAATGGTAGAAACCTCAGTATCACTAGCGGAGTTACTACATTATTAACAAATAAAAGCTTCTAATTACCTCAAAAAAATGATAATCCATAATCTGTCAATGCATATAAAAAAGAAATTGTGCAATATATGAGATAAAAAAGCGTAATTAATCTAATTTAATGTAGTGTCGATCCAATTACAAACTGAATGCTTTATAATTTCAAACTGAGATTACAGAAAAAATGCGCAGTATCTTACTTGATTGGATAGTGGATGTTCATTTTAAATTCAAATTAGATACAGAAACACTATTTTTAACTATTTCAATAATTGATAGGTAAATTATGTAATAAATTTGAGAGTACTTGAAATTCACTAAATTTCAAAATCCAAATTTTAACTTTATGGAGTGACTGCCTTATTCATAGCATCCAAATATGAAGAAGTTTATACTGTTCCTCATGTAAGAGACTTGGTGTATGTTTGTGACAATGCATATACAAAAGAAGAAATCCTGGCAACTGAGGGAAAAATAATCTCACTGTTGGGATTTGATTTTCTCACAACGAGTCCTCTTAGAATGTTGAATGTTTATTAAGAGACAGCAAAATTGGATCAAAAAAATTACATGCTAGCAAGGTAATCAACATCTTTTAATTTATTTTTAGATATTTAATAGAACTCTCAGTTTTAGAATATTCAATGATCTAATTTTCAAACAATGTATTGGCCAGTGCTTCTATCTATCTGGTCCATAAAATTAGACGAATCCATCCTTCATGGAATTAGGATTAGATGGTACCACTTACTGGATTAAATGAATTGGACATTAGAATATGCGCAAAGGAAATGTGCAGTCTATTGTAAAATTAAGATAAAAAGTAATTTGCATCGATAAAGAAAAAATTTTCTATGCCAAAATATTGCGAGGTCTCAAAAATAAGAATAGAAAAGAAGCCTTCACAAAATCTATAAACCCTTCCATAATGATTTTGTTTTAATTCTCATCCCATTTAATTAATTTTTGTCCATATTGATTAACTTTATCTATAAATGCTAGTCATTTCTCAATAACAAAATTAGATGGAGTCTATTATTCTTTATAATATAATTATTTAATTATATATTATTATGAGCAAGGCAAAATCGAGATATTCAACAGAAGAGCAGGCTGCTGTTTAATCCAAAGTTGTAATTTAAGAATTTAAATAAATTAGTAATCCATTTAATTGCCAAGCATTAAATAAGAATAAGTTAATTCTGTATCAGTTATTGCTTTAAGTGAATTATATTAGATTAAAAATCATATATAAGGTGAGAAATAAACCAAAAAAGTAACATTAAATATATCAATAGACACTTGATAATTAAAGGCTTTGGGCATAGAGAATAACAAAGTAAAGACAATAAAAAGAGGCTGAGAAATTAGAGAGGTTCACTAAGGAAGAAGAAGAACGAAGAAAAATTGATAGAGAAGAGGAAGAGTATTAAGAGAGACTTAAAAATGAACTTGTAAAAGAATCGAATTAAAAAATATTTGATCAAAGAGCAGAGTATGATAAAATTAACAAAATCTAGTGTTCGTAATTTGAAGGCATAAATGATGTTAAGTGAAGTTGAGAGAACTAATGAATAATTGAATGCAATTAATAGGGAATAAAAAGAACTCAGAAAAATACATGAAGAGGAAAAGGAAAAGGAGTATGAAATGCAGGAATATTATAAAGAATAGGAATTAATGGTGAGAAAAGAGAAATAAGCAAAGAAGAAAAAAGAATGCAATGAGATCTTAGCTGATTAACATAAATAAGTCAAGGAGAGATATTTGAAGGAAATGATGTTAGATAAACAAGAAGGATAATTAATTAAGAAGAAAGCAGAGGAAGATGAAATTTTCAGAGAGTAATAATTAAGCATAACTTAGACAATAAAAATTAGATATCAAGCATAAGCAGTAGAAATTACTCAAAGAACATGAGGAATTCATGGAAAAGAGAAGAGAATTATAAGAACTCGAGAAAAGCATTTTGGATGATGAGGATAAGAAAATAATTGAGCATGAATTTCACAAAGAAAAAGTGTTATAGATGAGAAAAGATAGAGTATAAAATTAATATATATTATTAGGAAAATTAAAAATAGTAGAAAAAGGAATAACTCAGAAAATAGATTTATGATCTTAGAGTGGAACAATAAAAATAATAAGAAGATAATTATATGTAAACCATTTAAAAACATGCAGAGGAACTCAAACAAAAATAGGATGAAGAATTGAAATAGAAGGAATTAGAAAAAACATAAATGATTTAAGATGCAGAAAATATGAGATTGAAATAGCTTCAAATTTAATAATAAAAGAAGGCAAATTAATAGGCAGAATAGGAAGTAGATTTTAAATAAAAATTAAAAGCGTTAGAATAATTAGAATAAATAGAATAGCTACAAAATGATGTATTGAAAAAGAGGAATAAAGATTTATAGGATTATTAAAAAATATAGATAGTAATATATATATTTATACAAGGAAGCGAAAAAGTAACAACGAAAAAACTAATATATGCAAGAATTGAAGGAATCTTTACAAATGCAACAGCGAAATTAAACTGAAAAATAAGTATACTCTTCTTGGGCTCAACAATGTATTGAAGAGTGGAAGGATAATGGCAAGAACATATTGCCAATGGTGAAAGCACTTTATTAAACTGAATGAATCAAAATTTCGATTTTATTTTATAAATCAAGTTATAGTAAATATATATATATATCGTTTTTTAATTCTTTAATATAAGTTCTTTTCTTGATATATTATTAAGAAAAGAATGAGTTTTATCTTGAAAATGTATTTAATTTTCTAGTTCCTAATAATAGAAAAGTTTAATTTTTAAATATAAAACTCATGTATGGTTTTACATAATTGTTTAAGAATTTTTTGGCATAATAGAATAACATGATATATATATATAATAGGTGAATCATTATAGAAAGTTGGTGAATTCCTGTACCTCACTTTAGCAAAGTCTAAGGAAAATGGAATTTCTTCTATTAATATAAAATATTATATTACTCTCTGCATATATTGACAAGTAAATCGTCTCTTCTAAAGCTTAGCTTTCTTCCAAAGATTTTATACAAATGTTAAAATCTTTATAAATCATTTCTCATATCTAGCTACAATTTGTCTAATTTGGTTAATTGATTTGATACTTGGATGCAAGGGAACCATAAGTTTTTGTTCCCTGAATGTCTTCTCTACAAAATCTCGTAGTTCTTCTTTATCAATTACTTCATAGTGGGCATACTGACAATTTAGACCTAATGGACAGACACCCGTGGAAAAGAAAGATCGACAAGGTTTAGTTCGTTTATTGCCAAAGTTCTCTATTCTATGTGGCTCATGTATAAAAGAACACTTTCATTTCATTTAAATGTACCTTGTCTTTGTATTGGCAATAACCTTTTTCTTGAAAGTTCCGACAGATTTTGGTTCTTAATTATTGTCTTTTGCCATCTGATTAATCATTTTTATCGCCTGGTGTGGCAAAGCTCTTCTTTCTTATTGTAGGTTATTTAATTAGATTCTCAGTGTCCTAGTCAGAACCATCACTGCAAGTAGAGACATACATTTAAGAATGATCAGTGCTGTAATTTTAGAGCATTTTCTAAGGGGTTGTATTACAATGTGAAGCCATTGAATATTTAAAATATTAATATTTGAGTATTTCTAGTTTCTCTTTATTAAATGTGGCAAATGAAAAAAACTTACAAATTTAATTTTAAATAATATAATCGTTAAACTATGTTAACATAGAAATTCATTTCAGATAGCCCTGCAAAAAAAAGAGATGAAAACGATGAATAGGATTACATATTTGAATAGTTAGAATAAATCAATAAACGTATATACAATTACTAACAATTGATCAAATAAAAGATTAATATTTTACTAGGCAATAATACTATGAAATCAATCGATTATGACGGTCTCTAAAAATAGTTGTCAGATCTTAGATTGGAA